GTAACTGTTCCTTACTCTGGGGTTAAAAGGATTTTGTGGCCGTTTAAAAAAAAAAAAGAAAAACGAGCTGGCACTGTTAGGGGCAGCCAAGTACGAGGTGGGTCCTCGGCTGAAGGACCTCGCGTGGAGGTAAACAGGAGAAGTTGCATTAATTAACATGCAGTAATCGATTTAAGCCGGACAAATTTCGCAATTAGCTGCGTCTACGTTATAAAAACACGATGTCGGAAGACAACGAGTTGGAAAAGTAAGTGGCTCTCAAACTGTCTGGTCTCGGTTGGTAGAAAAAAAGCTAGCGTCTGCACACACCCCCAGACAGGTTTCCTCCATGGCTGTAACCCCCCGCCATCTGCTGATAGGTGCCCTGTCTGTGGTCCTCATGCTGTTTAACTGCCAGGCAGCTTTGAGCTCCGTGTCTTTGAGCACATTAGGCCCTCCCGGGGACGTTAGCCGCCGGCGGTGTGTTGTGTGAGGTCGGCTGAATCGGTGAGTCCCCTCTGACGAGACTCTGCTGACTCAGCGGGTCAAACGGGGACACTGCTGCTCTCCCTCATTCATTCAGTCCGTCCTCGTGATTCACTTTCTACTCTCTGCATCTCTCTCACGTAATTAGATTACTCCCCCCTTGGCTCCACTGGCAGGTTTTCGCCATCTCCGTCCTCAGCTTCACCCCATCGTCCTATCGTACCCTGAATGACTCTCTTTTTTTTTTTCTTCTTCTGCACGTGTGTCGTTTTTCTGGATCTGTTCATCCAGGCGCGCCATCGATGAGCTCCTCAGAGAGACGGACAGAGCCCGGGTGAGAGCAGAGACCATGGGCCCCGCAGGATGGTGAGCACTGTGTTTGAAATGTCCCCTAAACAAAGCCTGATGTCTGACTGTTACATATCCAGAGGTTTCTACTTTAGATTTCATCCCACGTTTGATTGTATTAGGCATCGAATAGCCTATGTTTAATTAGGTTATGGGTCATTAGCTTGACTCAAGCATAAAAACAAAAACAAATCAACTGCAACATCCCAGAGTTATAGTCAGAGGCCCCAAAAGAAAAGACAGAGTGGACTTTGATCTCTGGAGGAAGCTTAGGATCTTCCATGTTTGAAGGAAGAAGTTGTTTGTCTTCTTTTAGTCTGATGATAGAGAGCACATCTCTTTGCAGTCATCAGTTTGGCATCAGAGCCAGTCAAAGACACCCACCAAACTCACTAAAAGGTTGTGACAGGAGCCTCCTCAGGTCTGCAGTGAGGACATGTGCAGGCCCTTTCTGCTTTCCACAGGGACTCTCTTTTAAGGTCGTGAATCCCTTATTTAGTTAGAAAGTTCTCCATCCATCCATTATCGTTACTGCTTACTATAGTACTTTATATTCTTTTTAATTCCCCCCCCACACACACACACACCACACACAACTCTACTGTTAAAAGTGGATACTTAATATTTAGTTAATATTATTCAAGTCATATTACAGTCATGTAGAACATTCAACATCACTCAGATTTGCGCCTCACACTACACTTGTCTTTTTCATATTAAGGTTTCTAAGCTCTGAGCAGAGTGTGGGTGGAAATATGTGTATCTTTGACTGGTTTTGTTCAGCAACACTTGAATCAAGCTCACACAAACATCTTATACACAAACATACATATTTGTGTGTGTGTGACTTTTATGTATATATATGTATGTTTTCTACAGTGGTATCCACATCATTGTTCGCTCATTTGTCAGGTTGAAATGCCCTCTGAGAAGCACCAACAAGCGCTTCCTCCTCAACACCCTGCGCTCCACTGGTCTGCAGCGGCGGTCCGAGGAGCCCAGATCTGGACACTCCACCAGCAGGGGGCGTCTGAGGAGCGAGTCCCCGGACAGGCGCAGGGACAGGAGCCGGTCCCCCCCAAAGTCCCACAGGAGCAACGGAGGCCGCACGGACCACAAACATCACCACAGGGACAGCCGCCAACACCAGGACAAGCGGTCAGACAGAGAGAAGGACAGCCGCTACAGACACAGAGAGGACAGGGGCCGGAGACACGCTGATGGACAGAGCAGAGAGAAAAGCAGCCAGGAGCACAGCTCTTGAGTCACCTTGGTTTGGGAGTGAAGCACTTGTTCCACAGAGTTGAAATTGATCCCTAACAAACCTTTACACCCTTCCATAGCTGCAGTCCAAGGAGACCTGCGCTGTTCACCTTAAGACTTAATCTATAAGTCCTCTCCTCATAGGAAAAAGGAAGACGATTAGTATCTTGGCTGTTGGCTAATTAACTTTTAAAGTTTTTTTCTAAAATCCCCACACGCTCCAGCTAAAATCATTTCAACGTCTTTAAAAAAAAAATCACAAAAAAACTGAAAGGATAAAACGCCAACCAGGATTCTCCTCACAGTTTGGTGTGGTTGTGCGACCCCATATCAGCCTCCAAGGTTTGATCTCAGTTAGAATGTGCTCAGCATTGTTCGGTTATGGCTCTCCTGGCCGGGATGTTTGCTTAGGCCACACTGCCGTCCCCGCAGGGTAAGCCCGGTTTGTTGTGTGTCCAGCTTTCTGACAAGCGGGGACCAGCTATCAGAAACGGCTTTGTTTGTGAAGGGAGAAAAAAAGAACTTGTTTTCTTATAACTTCACCTGAACAAATGGTGACACCTAAAAACATTTAATTTAAGCTAGGCTGAAATAGTTCGTGAGGGGTTTGAAAGATGTTTTTAAAAAACTTTTCAAGCAGCATTTTCATTGGGTTTTGTGGGAATATGGGGGAGGGGGGGGTGCAAAGGACCAGTTGAACTAGCTGAAGCAGTGTAAGTGCTGTAATGCTGTCTGTGTGTTTCCTATCCATTTGGCCTGTCCCCACAACCATTTTATTGTTCCCAGCGCTTTACACGCGTGGCAGCTGTCACTATTTGTGGCCACATCTGCACATATGGCACCTTTAGTTGCATCGCTTCTCTTCTGCCCATTAAAAATGTCTGGGGAAGCTGTCTAAAATGCGTTTAACGTGTGTCATGCTTCATAAATCATGTTGTCTGTCTCCACCAAAGTGGAGACATAACAGCCTGGGTTAACTGTTTCCTTCCTCTTTGCAACAGTGATCAAATATAAATACCATTAAGCCATTGTGTGTGGGGGGGTGTTTAGCATAGATTTGGTTTACTTGAACTTTATTACCTCGCTGAGTGCCCCATTAAGATACCGTGGAAAGTGCTATAATTGCGTTTGAAGATCTCAGTGCAAATAGTCCGTTGATACCGCGCGCGCGGTCGGAGTAAAAGCGGGATTATCCCGTGCAACGCGCTTGATAATAAGCATCTCACATTGTTTTACGGTGCGTCTCTGAGAGTCGCGGGCGAGTCTCCGCGCGCCCACCGCCTAATTGAGTTCATTCGCTCTCTCCAGCTTAATTGGTTTACCACGAGAGTTGCTGTCTAATGGGGCGAACACACACGGGGACGCCACCCGGCTAATGGCCGGCAAACACGGCGAGAGTGCATCCAGTTTGCTGTCGCCAAGGGCCTTTTGGTGCGGGGGCCGGCGGGCCCACGCGCGCAAAATGGTGTTAAATGACGCATTTACAAAAGTGTAATGGATAGGTTTTCAATCTCAGAAAAGGGTAAACAGAGAAAAGACAGTGGAAATAGTTAGTGTTGTTTTTTTTAACCCCCTTTGAGTTTCCAAGACGACTGCTTCCTCGGGGGAGCCTCTTATCGTGGGTCAACCAATGTTTGCACCCTCACGTATTGATTCATCAGCCGCTGTGTGCAGACTAGATATGTGTCCATATAAAAAGTAGGTTGCTGCTCTTTTTGAGGGTACTCCAATGTGCCCTACATAAGGAACACCGTTGTTCCATCCTCTGAACTAACGCTGCCTCTGGAGTGTGGAAGCAGGGTGCCGCACATTCTGCTTTTCTCTGGTCAGGAGGAGAGGGGGGGGGGGGACACGCAGGTGGATGGCAGGTAAACGTCGCGGGTATTTGCAGAGTGGCATTGATTTACGCGCCGCTCCGTTCAATTTACTGAAGGGAGAGGGGGAAAAAAGCTGCTGAATATCCTGGAAACTGGGCGCCACAGGCCTTGTGGTTCTGAGCAAACAGTGAAACCAATGAGCCGGGCGCCGCGGTCACATGGTGGCAGAGTGACACACCTGCGCGGAGCCGCGCGGGCCTCGCAGTTGCGCCACAGGCAGGTGAGGGCGCGGGAGGGCGCAGCTACGGTGCATGTGCGCGCAGACGGCCCCTCGGAGCCTCTGGGTCCCCGCCAGCCATGAATCGAGAAGAGCATTACTACCCCACTCAGGTGTTCAAAGACTCCTGCGCGTACCAGAGGTCGCAGGGGGATGAGTTCAGCCACAGCCCGCCGCCCTGCCTCTACATGAGCAGGCAGGTGCACTCGGTCTACACCTCCTCGTCCCTGGGAGCCTTGGAGCAGACGAGCCTTCCCGACATCGCCCCCGCCTACACTCTGCCCGGCGTGCGGGAGGACCCGGGCGTGCTCCACCTGCACCAGGGGCTCCAGCAGCCGGCCCTCCCGCCCCCGGGCTATGGAGACCCGGCCGAGCAGGGCAGATACCACCTACCCTTTCCCTGGATGAAAACCACCAAATCCCACTCTCACACCTGGAAGGGACAGTGGGCAGGTAAACCCTCACAACTCACTTCATTTAGTTTTAAGTAATTCGGCTAAGGTTTTTGCCAATCAAAATCAAAACCTTTTTTTTAATATATTTATTTATTCATCGTCAAACAAGATAGTTTCGAATAACTTTATGGGAGCACCCTGTTTCAACAATATGTTCCTGGGTGTTTCAGTTTACTTTGTCGGCTTGTAAATGGCCCCGGAAGGTCGGAGCTTTTACCAGGCCTTATCCTTTAAAAATGTAGGGTTTCTCTGTCAATAATATCTATTTTTTAATTTACAAATCACCTAAGCCACCAATGAATGGATATTGTAGAATACAGTTGTTATTACCTAAAACGTAGCCACAAACTTTTGATTGGTGGGCCTTATGAAAGACTTTTTCATGGGTGCAGTGAGCCCAGGCTTTACTGTTTGATAGGTAAAATGTGCCAATTACTAAGCTAATTATTAAGTTCATTTAGTTTTTAATGGTTCTGAGTAAAAAAGAAAGTTAACTTAATTTCTATTGGACATTGAAGTTTAAGTTTTTTTTGTCCCTGCTGAATTTGGTTTCTGAATTCAGAAAATATCTGCAATTTAAAGACCATTGTTGTGTTGATTTTGTGCGTTTTGGCAGATTGTTCACACAGTCTGGTCAAGTAAAGGTCATCTTGTTGTGAGATGAGAGTCTGAGAAGTTTTAAGATGTGTATATTTCTGTATATTTTGGTGGGATTTTTCAAGAGGCAAAAGTTGCCAAATCTTCCTAAAAAGTACCGTAAACAAATCTGAGCCATAACATGGAGTCTTTAGTATTTTCTTGTGATAAATGTTATGTTTGTGAGTTTATTATTGGACTTATTTGTCCTTAAACCATGGACTATCTGAATGTTGAACCACGGTCTCTTTCTGACTTAAGGGCCTTTTGAGGGTAATCACGAGCTGTCAGACTCTTACCCAGGGTTCGATCACAATTGCTGCTTTTGAACGTTTACTCATCTTTTTAAAGCCAATTATTCTTGTTTTTGCTGTACATAACCCTCAACTGGTGGAGGACTCTCAGAAAACAAACACGCATACATACACACATGCACATATGTAGATATATATGTGTGTGTATGTGTGTGTGTGTATGTATGTATGTGGAGATGCAGAAGATTATTGGGGCCTATATGTTTCAATCTTCTGTCTATAACCCCACCTCAAGAAAAAAGGGGGAAAAAACAAACAAAAAAAATTAATGAAGTTGTGTTGGATCTTTGGGACTAAAGATAAGTTGGTGTACTTCAGGTATCAAACCACAATGATTTATCTGTTAAATGAGACGGCCTTTGGCGGAGATACTTTTTTACTTGCCTTCACATGTATGATACATTTAAATGATAAACTTTAATTCACAATAAATAGATAAAAAACCCAAAGAATCCTCATTTAAAAATCGAATTAAAAGCTCATCAATGTCAGAGAAATTATAAAGAAAAAAAATAATTTCAAACTGGTTGGCCGTTGGAAGTTGGTGTTTTTCCAACAAATAAACTTTTTATGTTGTTGGCTCTATATATTTTTTTGAAACACTACATTTTTGTGGGTTTAGGCGCTTACGTGATGGCCGAGACGGAGGAAAACAAGCGCACGAGGACTGCGTACACGCGCGCCCAGCTGCTGGAGCTCGAGAAAGAGTTCCTGTTCAACCGCTACATCTCCAGGCCGCGGCGCGTGGAGCTGGCGCTCACTCTCAGCCTCACCGAGCGCCACATCAAGATCTGGTTCCAGAACCGGCGCATGAAGTGGAAAAAGGAGGAGGATCGGAGGAGGGCCCGGGGCGCAGACCCGGACCAGGACTCCTCGATCACCTCCGGAGACCAGGGGGAGGTCTCAGGAGGGGTGTCCTCCACAAACGGAGCCCACACTCCCACGCCGTCCGTCTCTCCGCTGCGCGCGCACACGCACTCAGTGTCCGGGCCCAGAGAGCCCGCGTAGAACCAGAGGATGCTCTTCCCAGTTAAAGACTGAAACCTGTAGTGACACTTAAGAGACCCTTAAGAGACACTGTGGGCAGTTTCATTTGACGGCAATCAGAGGTGAAGAATGTAAAGAACATCTTCTTCTTGGTGCCCCCAGAATTTAGAGACCCATTGAAATAGTTTCCCTTGTCATATCTCTGCCGGTCATTTCTGAGAGGAACATTAGTAGATCGTGCATACTTTGAGATATTCTACTCTGGACACCAGAGGGCAGACAGAGACCACACATGAATAGGAGCCCCCCCCCCCCCCACACACTTTAGGAACAGCAGGGTTTCACTCGTACAAACACTTGCTCGGTCAAATTGAGTTTTCTTTCACCTCAGTCAAGTGGAAAGTAAGGAAATATGTTTATGAAAAGTGTGTATCATATCAACTGTGTTTATTGTCCATATATCAGTTTCAACTCGTGTAGGTCCAAACAAATCTAAGCCAAATCCTGAATATGAGTAATTGGTGGACATTATTTTTATTGTTGGAATCATTCCTATTGGATGGATCAATAACACCGACGGTAATTTTGAAATAAAGTATATATCACAGTCTCTAAGTCTGACGGCAGTTGTCCTTCCATTCAGGTTAAACTGGAAATACGATGCAAACGTCACAGGTTCAGATTCACAACTTGTTTGGAGCGTCACTATGCACAAGACCTTGAAGTCTGAGGCGGCAGATCTTCTTGACCTCCTCGATCCCGCGCGCCAGCTCCACCGCGCGCTCGTTTCTGCACCTCTCGGACAGCTGGAGCAAGATGCTGGCTTTATCACTCATCCGTGCGCAGATGACAAACGGGAAGCCGAAGCGCTGCTTGTACTCGTCGTTCAGCCGTGCCACGCGCCGAGATTCTTCCGGGCCCAGCGCGTGCATCCCGGCTCGCGCCTGCTCCTCGCGCGACTCTCGGGTCAACGTGCCGCTGTGCAGGTCTCTGCCCGCGAGGTCCGGATGACACCTGAGGATCCCTTCTTTGCCTAGACGAGTATACAGATTATTTCCCAGAGTTTTTTTTTAATGGTGGAAGCAATTCACAAGACACCAAAATGTAAAAATGGCTTAAATATTACGCATTTTAAAAAAGGTTCTCACCAGATTGTGGGAGAGCATCGATGAACTCATGTATGGCGGCCTCCAAAGCGTTCAGACTTGCAAAGGGACGTTTTGTCCACACAGCAGCTGTGATTATCGGACATTTTTCTACCACATTTCCGAATATATCAACAAAATCCTCGTAAGGAAGACCATTTACTGCAGCAATGTCCATGCTTTTGGGGGGACTCTCTTTAGTGGTTGCACAGGCAGTGTTTTATGACCTTCGGACTTGTGTCCACACATGTGCCCCCCCCCCCCCTTACTGGCTCGTGTTAGTGGGATGGGTTAACTCTTATCTCACAGAGCAAATAAATAATCTTGAATTTACAGTAATGTGAACAATAGTGGCCTATAAATCCGGACTTCATTTGATCTGTTGCAGTATGCCTAAAGTGCTTATAGAGGCCTGGACGTGTGAGAAAAAACTTTGCACCCTTTTTCTAAGAAAAGCACTACTGAAAAAGGTAAATATTTACATTTCCACAAAATGTAGTTTAGGCTACTTCAGCCTCCAGAAGTTAAGTTGTGAACACAAAACTGGCCCCAAGGTAGCTTTGTCATGTTGTGCAGCATTTGGGTGGAAAACAATTCACGGTGATCATGGGCTCATAAGTAGCCTGATCAGAGGATATTTACACAAACTCAAGCTGGAGACTCAAGGATATTATTGTGAGAACAGTATGGACAATATTCTTATACAGATGAAAATGGCCTGAATATTTGTATATCACTGCGTCCACTCTACTCCAGCTTTTCTTCTCTCACTAAGATTGTCAATAATCATAGGCTGGTGGGGCTTCGCTAGGTATCACAGGCATAACACTAGCATAACAATTTGGCCAGAGGAGGGTTTCACTATAGCAGCACCATGAGAATACAGTAAGTGTTGGCAGAAAGACCCGAGGATCGTGATTGTTAAAGCAAGTATCCAACATGAATGTATCAGCTTTTATCAGTAGATAATAGGATACTAACATCTAATTGATAGAAATCACAAACAGTTTTTTGGTTATTAAACAAAAATGCAACCGCAAAATAAATCATATGGATAACGAAACAGAGGGAAAAAGATGACCTAATCTGTTCTTTATTCTTTATTCTCATTGGAAACACTTAGCAGTGATCACCCTTGTTCCTTCAATAACTGAAATGCATTTCATGGCAAGTATACAAATGATAAAATACAGCATAAATATATACCAAGGATTTTTAAGATGGTTGAATATGTAGAAACAGCATAAAAATGTGGGAATAAGACGCTTTCATTTATACCTGCTAACAATATTTCTATACCAGTAAAATATGCATGATGAAATATAAAATTGAAATACTGTCAGTGGCTACATTATTTTGATACGACTGAGGGAAGGGCTGATATACACATATCAGCCACAAACTTAAAACAACTGCTCTACTTGCTACTTTCGTTTGGAAATCCTGCATTTAGGCATTGTCATGGATGCTCTTTGACACTTGTCACCAACCTAGACATCACAACCCTTAAGCAGAGGCTGTCCATAATAACCCCCCAGGCAGGGCTCAAAAGCACAGAAAAGAGTATGAAATATAACCTACCTCCAATTCCAGTGGCATCTGTTGCTAACATCCCTCTTTACCTCTGGGAGCTCTCAGATGTTTTATCTATGCCCTCTTTTATCTAAGTGCTCAGAGCTTTTTTGGTGACAAAAGGAGGACCTATTCACAATTAGGCAGTTGATCCAAACTTTGTGTCTGATGGGCGTCCATTTAAAATCAAGACTATTTTTCTGTTCAAACCCACAGACATAATGGAACATTGTCCCGAATACTAATACGGACAGAAAAAAAAGTAATATTAGATAAATGCTACATATAGTTAAAAGTGAATACAAGCAGTGCATTTACAGTCATCATTGGGATTATCATTAGACTGTTGAGAATTTTTCAATATATCTTTTTTTTTTAATAGTTGGAACTTTAGCATATAATAGGTGATCACTCTGTAAGAGATGGCTTCAGAAGATCCTCTTCAACTGCGACAGCCACAGAGTTTGACGCTCCCGCCTTGCTCTCCTCAGTCGAGTAGGCTCGACAGTAGTTATTGGCTGACGTCGCTTTGTTGTCATTCTGTTTGGTCAATGCTGAAATGTCCAGAATGGTTGTTGCATTCTGGTAGTCGCTGGAAGTCTGGTCGTGCATGTTGTAGTAGAGCTGTAAAACGGGAAGGAGCTCGGTTAGGAGGGGGAGCACAGCGGAAGTGCTGGACTGGACTGAAACATGCTGACTCTGCGCGGCAGGCCTATACCTTCTCCTCTCTGTCTGTGAGCTGGTCGCACATGAAGGACACCAGCTTAGAGAAAGACGGGCGATGGCAGGGGTCGAGGGCCCAACACTGGCACATCATATCATACCTGGAGAAAAAACAGGAAAATTAAACTCAATGATCAATTTAGAAAAGTCAAATACTGCTACACTACATTACATTATAATATAGTTATTCAAATATTCACATTAATATATAAATGAGGGATTAGAACTTTTGCCACAATTCAACGCAGCCAGTTTGAAGACACCTACACAGACTCATCGGCGTAGTACGGACACTCCATCTTGAATCCTCTCTCAATCATTGAATAAAACGTGTGATCCACCTTCACGCCCGGGTACGGAGTAACACCTGAGAACAATTGAGTATTTATTTGTCACAATGCTGGAAGTGAATGGGTTTTTAAATGTGCTGCACACTGAAAGCGCTGAAAACTACCGAGTGAGAAGATCTCCCAGAGCAGAATTCCGTAAGCCCAGACGTCACTCTTCATGGTGTACATCCCCTGAAAGATGCTCTCCGGTGCCATCCACTTCACCGGTAAACGCACCTGATGGGCAGGCAAGTTAAAGATGAAAAAACACACACACAATCGAAACAAATACAAGTGACAAGTGTGTCATGGCACATACGTTTCCTCTCACAACATAGTTGGAGTCATTGTCGATGTCCCGAGCAAGTCCAAAGTCGCCAATTTTCACCAGCCGGCCATTTGTCACTAACACATTGCGAGCTGCCAGGTCCCGGTGGATACACTGCAGAGAAACCGCCACAGTCATCAACATTTCTAATGTTTGACGTTTGAAGTGTGTGTTCTTTTTGTGAGAAAATAAACTGAGCAGTGTTTCTTTGACAAGTCTGATCCCCTTAAATGTCAGAAACAGTTTAAAAATGCCCCAGGCTATTTCCCAAATGCCAGCATAGCATCCTATGGTTGGTAGATTTTCTGACTGATGCTCCAAAGCAAAAAAAACAAAACAACTATAAATCGTTAAAACAGATCGAATTGAAATGAAGCAAATGTCAATTCTGTGGGCTGAAAAAAAGGATGAGAAGCTTCACAGTTTGCCTCATACATTTTTGGATGAGAGGAAGTCCATGCCTTTGGCCACTTGGAGAGCAAAGCTGAGCAGGTCGTCAAAGGTGATGGCCTGCAGGTCTTCAGTCTGATCCTCCTGGTCCTCATACATTTCCGGGTCTGTAAACATGTTCAAGTAAGTTACAAACCAATGTACATGTGCCTTGTTTTAAAAAATATGCACTTTCTCTAGGTCTGAAATAGTTTCTCACCCTCATCGTCGCAGGCGCTGAGGGTGAGGAGGGCGATGTTCTCCTGGCCCCTGGTGGTGGAGCTGTGCATTGGCACGTAGTTGTCCACTGCTGAGGATGGCTCACCCAAAACACTGCCCACATTACAGTCAAAATGTTTCCAAAAACACAAGAAAACTTCACATAATTTAAACAAACAAGGGACCAAAATCAACAATAAAACATTAGCATATATTTGATGTCATATACAAATGCTGCATTTGTTTTTGAGCCCTTTTTCTTAAAAACAAGTGCAGCCAAATGCCATTTTATGCTTTGTTATTGTTTTTTTTTAATTGTTTGGCCATTGTTGACCTATACTGTTCTGAAATCCCCACCTATTGTCATTCTTGACGTGCAGGTTCTTGTAAATGTTTCTGAAACGGTCCTTGGTAAATGCATCCGTCACTGACTTGTTGTAGCGGTCGCTGTTCTTTTTCAAATAGTTAAGGAGATCTCCATAACAGCAGTATTGGAAAATCAGGTAGATGGGTCCTATGAAGAGGGATATAATGACAGTTAGTAGACTTCAATGCCCTACTCACAAAGGACATGCCAAACTCTAACCAGAAACTCATGCAAAAGAAGTTGGCTGTATAGGATTGCGTGTGCGTGTGTGTGTGTGTGTGTGTAAACGTACCAGAGTCCGTGCATGCTCCGAGGAAGTTAACAATGTTGTTGTGATGACCGATGTGAGTCAGCATCTTCAGCTCAGACATGAGAGCTTCTTTCTCCACTGACTGGTGTTTTTCTGCACGCCAAAACACAAGATCAGACACGAACACAAAGCTGTTGTGCTGCACTCCCAGAACAAACACCGACCTTTGAGCATCTTGACAGCCACTTGCTGTGAGACTCCAGACTTGTTGATGCCATAAGCAGTCGCCTGGAGCACCATGCCAAAAGCTCCAGAGCCCAGTTCTTTACCTGAGGAAGGCACAGAAACACTCTGAGGAAAGTTTCAACATGATCATTGCTTATGTGGACCCAGCTGAAGCGCCCTGTCATGCACGAGATATCTATGAAACTTGGTAGTAAATCCATAAACTGGAGTATTTCTCAGATGGTTATGTTGAAAACTAATCGCAGAGACAGAGGTCTGTTTTGTCGAGCAAAGCTTGGGTTCTCATCTTCAGCTCAATTTGTGGTGACACAGAAATGCTGCCGGGTGCAGACGGAGGGCAAACAATTCTTCTCAAGCAGCATACTGTAGTTTGCCTTAAATAAATGTGCCAAACCTATAAATTTTGTTCGGAGTATTAAAATCTAATTTAATGTCTATTGCTCAACGTAATTCATACCCAGCTCCAAGTTCTCTCTGGGGAACTCCCATTTTTTGTCGTACTCAAAGTCCTTGAAGTTGATGTAGATGTAATCGTTGTCATTGGGTCCAACCATCTGGATCATCTGTAGCTGGGGCTGATACTGGGGTTTCTGCGGGGAACAGAAGGGTTTAATGTCACGTGCCTCTGTGCTCATGTGTTGGTACCTGAGCTGGTGTATAATGCAGACCTTCTTTTTGACAAAGTACACGAGCACCAAGATGACTACCGCCAAAGCCAGAATGAGAAGAAAAGTTCCCACTTTCAACAGTAACGTCTCACCAGAGGTCCCCACAGCTACACAACACACAATTTTATTAGTACCAGGAGCTGTTGATCATCCCACCGTTACTTAATGAAAGCAGTGAGGGTAGCATTACTTTTTAAGTGAAGGGCAACGGGTGACGCTGTCATGGTGATGGCCTGACACCAGGACCCAGCTGAATTTGTCAGGCAAAACTTTAAGCACTGCCCAGCGATCTGGTCTCTACTGATTGAGCTTGTGATGGTCCTATTGCAGAAGTTGGCAGAACCGGGTTGATGGCCCCGATAGACCACCTTCCAGGATGAATCATTTTCACAGCTGTAGGGACACAGAGAGAAGGGACCTTTCATCATTTGGGCTGCAGCGACCTCTGAGCCTAGCCACTGTGAGCATAAATACCTGTCATTTATCAAGGTGCCAGACATCCAGGTGTAGTTAGCTGGCACAAGACTGGCAGTCTCAAAGGTGATGTTATCGTCGTGAATCTTGGGGTTTAGTTCAGGTGTGTCTGCAGGAACATCAGTGAGTTAAAGACACTGAAGCTTTTAAAACATACGCTCAACACTGAATGTGCTTTAATTACAACACCAAATTTACATACCAACAACACAAACTGTAACATTCTTCGTTTCTTTTCCTCCTCCACCTGTAGCCAAGTGTAACTTATAAACTCCGGATTTGAGCGCACCGCAAAACTTCACAGTCCTAAGAAAACAGTCAAATCACCAACAGATTAACATTCTTCAATGTATATTCTTAGTGTTCCTTTTTTTGTCTATCTATATGATTCTGGATGCCGCAACTTTTTCAGAGATATTAATACTGAGCTCCTCAAAAATGGCTTTACCTGTGTTTTGTTACCCATTTCTCTCTTGTGCATGTAGTCAGGTTTTTATCAGGAGCCTCCCAGTAACACTGCTGCAGCACAGGGTGGTAGGACACATTTGCCTGCAAGCAGGAGCTGCGTGCGTTTTGAGCTGTGAGGATCTGTTTATCCTCCAGCACGGCAGAGAGGACACTTTCAGCTAAAAAGATAGGAATAAATAAGCGCATGAGTCTGTGCATCATTCAGTTATTCTGCTGTGACAGATGCATCCAGAAAATAATGAACTCTACTTACCCTTAACCTGAATATAAACAGACTTATTTTTTTCATTATCCTGAGAGCAGCTGTATGTTCCACTGTGATTAAAGTTAACTGATGGGATGAACAGGTAAGTCATACTGATATCAGAATGAGAGTCCTTTTTAATGCACATCTGGATCTGGAAGGAAAACATTGATATTGATATGGTGAGGTTCAACCCGTTGATTGATTTGTATCTTTATCTAAAGAATATATAAATATATGGTGTGTTGTTGATGAAACCTTACGAGAAAATTGTGACCTAACTATAAAACTTCGAATGCCTCATTAGAAGAACACAGTACCTTCTCATTTCCACACGGAAATGACTTTTCCTCCAATTTTTGGCCTTCTTTCTTCCAAAAAGGATCACCTGAATAGTCCATTCTGCAGCGGAGCAGAAGAGACTCACCAGGGCTCACAGTCATATTGGAAACCTCGTCACTGCTCTTTGAATTCAACTCTAAATCTAAAACACGGGAAGGTCCAACATCATTTATCATGAAGTGTTTACAAAAACAGCAGTTTATAAAAACAGCTTTCCAATGATCATTTTGTGAAAGCTAGTTTTTTCAGGCAACACATACATCTGCTGCTAAGGTTAAACAACTACATCTTAAAATCTACTTGCCATAGTCATACAGCTGGGTGCACTCGTGTCCTTCAGCGTTGGTAGCGCAACACATCACTCCTCTGTCATAATAGTCAGAACTAGATACGGCGTCCTCCCCCTTTTTATTACTAGCATTTGACATAATAAGGAACAAGGTCAGTTGGAGAATCGGGGAGTGAAATGATTTCTTTAATAAAGCTGGTGACAGTAGGACATGTATTTGTTGGGTGTGCAAGGGTTAATATTAATCAATAAATAAATGGATAGCATCTTACCCAGTCCACAGCAGAGTGGGCTTTGGGGGGAGGCCCTCATAACTGCACTCAAAATCAGGAGATCTGCCTGCTTCATTTACTCTGACCAGCATCAGCTTTGGCTTCGAAGGATGTTCTGAAAAGCACATCAATTTATTGATTATTTTAATGTTCATTTTCTGTTCTTCATTTGACCCTGATTGGGGCGGAGGGAGTGGGAACATGTCCCAGCCACCATCAGGCAAGAAGACTGCCAATGACAAACCACACTCATCTCTAATGCCAATTTAGACATTTAAGCATGATTTAGACCTCTAAAAAAAGCATAAATTATCCAGAGAAAAGCCTACACAGCCCCAAAAGAAAGACTCAAAATGAATCACGTTTAAACCAGTAACGTTCTTCCTATGAGTTGACAGCTGACTGAATAACCCAACAGTCCCTGCATGGAGATGACGAGCTTCTTACCCACAAAGATTGAAATGTTGGGAGGATTAGGTGTGCTCAGTTGGTCGGCCGTCCGAGAAGAAACCACCTGAAAGGCAAGAGTTTATGTTAAATCTTTCTTTACTGCGAGCATTTAACTGTTCACTATTGGGAAGATTTAATGTGGAAATGGAAGTTTTTTTTTATCCAGCCATATTCAAAGTATATCATGTTCAGCATATAAGCTCTTATGCGTGACCCTTAATTTAGTTTTTCAAACAAGGATCTCCATCATTACTACTGAAATGAAACAAGCTGACAGATTTAGCCAAGTTGCCGTTATTTTTTCAACCTCTTGCCGCGCTTCTGTTTTTGCAGACTTCTTTATAAGGTTGTCTAATATGTGTTCAACCTGTTAAATATTTGTTCCGCATATAGTCTAAATATGTGTACACTTTATTTCATCCGGGCTGCAGGTGAAATGTCGCTTGATGTTTGTAGAAAACTTGGTACATATGTTTCGGTTTAAATATCTCATATATCCACAGATGTTTATAAAAAAAAAAGAGTTTTTGCATTAAAAGTGAGAGAAACGGCAGGACCTCATTTTCAGTTTGCAGCAGCTCTTACCGTGTGGTCATCAGCCGATGTGCCTGAAATAGTGACAGCGCACATCAGCAGAGCTGCTGGAGAGACAAAAAAAGAACAAAATCATCAAATATTTCTGCATGAATTCAGCAAATGAAAACAATTCAGAACATAAAAGGTTGTATTTTTAATTAAATGAGGATTAAAAATGCTAAAACACGGTGAAAGCAGAAGATACGTTAACTATTAAAATATTAGTTTGGTATATAGATTATACAAAATATTGTGAATTGTGCATACATTATTCTCCAGTGTGATGGATTTGACAGTTAAGCCGGATGTTGTTTAATTTGCCCAAAGGGGGATTTACTCCTGTTCAACAAGATGAACATATTTTTCCAAAGAGCATCATTAAAAGAGTAAAACATCAGTGTTTCCATTAAAAGAACAAGTATGATTTGTTTTGTAATATTGTATCGTTATAGTTCCCTCATTTTGTTATCTAATAACCCTTTGCTGATATTATTAATTTGTATTATCAGTATTTATCAATGTGTTAAAGATGATGATCAATGTATAAAGATGGCTCAGCTCAAATTTCGCCTTTGCTGCTCTTTGCTGAAGTTCCTCCCAAAAAACTGTTCAGCAAAGTGTTTGTGTAAAGCTATTCTATCTTTAAACAACTATTTATTAAGTTACAAATAGTTTAGAAACCTTTTAAAGTCTACCGTTTTATTTTCAAGTCTCCGAATCTTCACTAAACTAATCTGATAATAATATGACATCAGATTCAGTAACGCGGATCGCAATACTCACTCACCCGCAAACACACTCTGGTGCACCCACAGCGTCATGTTCTCCCCCTGTCAGGTGTCACATACTCAGGCTCTGGCCACACTGAAGCTGCAGCGCGACAAGTGTGCAAGTAATACTTAAAAAAGAGGAAGTGTACGCAGTCACGCATGAGGGCAGCATGCAGGACGGAGAGAAACCCAAAAAGAATCGATTAAAATAGTCTGTCATGGCACGAGCTAATATCACAACAATACGGGATGCTATAACTATATAGTGTGTGTGTGTGTGAATTTAATTAATAAAAAATTCTGAATCTCATATAAGTTTTGAACTTTGAAATGATCTTTCACTGAACCATTGCTTTTCTGTGTTTTGGTTTAAAGATGGCCATATATTTCCCCTCCGGCAGCACTGTGAACGGAACATTCTCCCCGTGCGGTGCGTTTGTTCGCAGCTTGCATTTGGAGCAGGTGAGCGCGGCGGTACCCACAATGCAAAGCTCTGCTAGCTGCTCTCTAGCAGAGCAGCCTGGCTGCGAGCAGAAAACAACAACAGGCTATTTTGCAGGGAAGGCGACTGCATGGATAGCGACAATAACGACGACCCGGATTTCACGCATGCAGTCGTTTTGCTTAAACCAAAATTGCATCTTAGCTTTATGATGTGAGTAGTGGAGGATGTTAGATATACTCCATGAGCTGAAGTGATATTATTTCTTTGCTTTACGGGGAAACTGTTTGTAAGCTAGCTGGCTAGCACGCTAGCTCTCTGCGTCTCTATGTTTGAGTGTCTTCCGGCAGCAGTGGCGGCAGCAGCGGTGCCATGAACAGTGGACTCCCACCTTCAGCTGCTCCGCTCGGGGGTGCCGGGATACCCAATGTCAAGGTGAAGTTTTGCCGATACTACGCGAAAGACAAAACCTGCTTTTATGGAGATGAGTGTCAGTTCCTACACGAGGATCCGTCCATGGCAAGCCTGCCGCTGCACGGCGGCGGCGGGAGCCCCGTCCCCTTGCCTATGGCCGGTGGTGGCGGGACACCCTCGGGGTATTCCCTTGGAAATACGGCGGCGGCCATTCCGGGCGGCGGAGGGACCAGTGTGTCCAAGAAGACCGAAGCATTGGGGCCTGCAGGCACGTCTCTGGAGGGGCAGTTGCTGGCCAGTAAGTATACAGAATCAAGGCCTCTCATGGGTTGGCTCACTGACTTTATATCAGGGCCTTTTGGGACTGTGATATAATTTAGCTCGAGGATTCACTCGGGCCTCTTTACCTCTAAACAACGTGGTTAACGTTTACGTGCCAGATCCAAACCATTCAGTCTGCAACTAGCCCGTAACGTGCTCTGTAGCCGTCTTGAGATTATGTTTGTTTTAATGTTTATTAGTTATTTCTGCTGTTACAGCCTTTAACAGTAGCCACGCTCCTACAACTCACACGGAGGCCCGTTGTCTCTGTATGACAGCTGTGAGTGGACACATTTACTAACGCTAGCTGATGCAGCCATTAGCTAGTTAGCGTTAGCTACACTAGCTTCGAATTTATCGCGTTAACTAACTTTAGTTTGTTTGGCTTTTTCAGAAAAATCTTAGATATTTTAGAGACTGTTAATATTAATCGTTGATGCAGTTGAATATTCTTCATGTCAAATATAGCGAAGTTCATGTTGTGCACAGCATGTTTGCATTAATTAGCGTGTCAATGCTAGCTGATAAGGCATTGTTTTTGTTGTCGTGCAATCTTAGCGTAAACAAACCGGACACAACAGGCGTTTATGTGTGGCTGTGTGTGTAAAACTGCCTGAAGTCACTTTAACCTGGAGTAGCTGTCGTAAATGTCATTGTTTGACTGAATAACGCCTAGTAGTAGCATTTAACTGTTTTTGTGCACTGTTTACATGCTTCATAGTTAGCTCAGCTTTTCCAATTAGTTTGACACATATGTCTCCCTGAAAGTGACATCGATATTTAACAAAATTATCTCTCCAGAGTTATCCCTTGGTAATATAAACCGTGAAATCTAGCTATTTTCTTTTTACAAACATCATTGGTAAACTTTATGTCTCCATCCACAGTCCCAGGAATGGAGGGTGCAACTCTGAGCGATGCCAATCTTACAAACTCTTACTTCAGCAGCAGCTTTATTGGAGTCAATGGGTTCGGAAGCCCGGCGGAGTCAAAATATTCAATGATGCAGGTAATGGCTACAGATATACAGTATGACAATCCTTTGTGAGAAATGAAATGTAAAAAGATAGTGTTCGGATTTGGGAATAAATTGTGTGCCAAATATCAACATAATCAAGCCTCATAGCTTGTTCAGACCTTTTTCAAAAGTGAGGTGAATCTGCAAATGAATAAAATCTCAGCTGCACACTTTTACCAAAATTCACTTTTAAAAACACAGCAGTTAAATGCAAATGTTTGTGCATTGTTCACACATTTAGTTCCGAATGTGGACATTACAGATAGAGCTGTAATATTAAAGGGCATTTTGTTTCTTTTAAAGCGTGTAAGTGTACATATGTGAAGCCTGTAGCCAACTTGCTGTGGCAGGCAGTAACTGAGCTCTTATTGCAGCATTTTTAACATTGCACAGAATGTTGGTTTTGTCTTCAGTTACTTTAAAGCCTCCTTACACTGCTGACATGCGGTTGCTTACAGTAAACACGACACTAGCAACTTCTGGTGATTCATGATGATGTGTTTTTTCCACCTGGCTGTTAAGGACAAACTGGCAGTTTAGCAGCTGCTGTCTTGAATTCATTATAAAAAAACCCAAAGAAAGCTGTTGTTTCCCAAACACAAAATAAATTAAATTCCCCTGAATTTAGAAGACCATGACTCCGGTATCGGTGTGTAGAAACTCAGAGGTATTTCATTTAATTTTTAGAATTAGGGTCCTTTCTGTTTGCAAAAACTTGTTCTTGTGACTCCTTTCCGAGTTGCTCCCGTCAGAAGTTTGTGCTACTGGACACCACTTGACATGTGTGGGAAAAAACAGAAAAGCATTTTTTTTTGCGCATGATGTACAAATTTTCAACTGTATTTAGAAACTAAGGGAAACATTGCTGCAGACCGCTTTAAAACAGTGTTGTTTTATAATACATTTTTTGCTGATTGACCTTTTTGAAAGTTGTTGATCTAAACTTACACTTCTCATACTAGCATACTTTTTTCTATTATTTTCATGGTATGCATGAACTCCTTATAATGTGTTTTTGTCTGAGAGGCTAACAAAACATTTTGATGCTGCTGTCTTAGCGAATGACTACCAGCAGCAGCTCTCCCAGTCTTCTTAACGATGGTGCCAAGAATTTCAGCCACAGCGCTCATGGTAAGACACCCTCAGAGCACTTCAGAGTAGATGACACTCATGTGCTGAGTCGTGAAAGTGTGGCTTTTCAGCTCTCTACACTTGATCCTTTACAGATCCAGTGAACTCCTCGACATCCTCACTGTTCAGTGATTTTGGTGCTCTTAGCATTTCCCAAAGGAGAAAGGTGAGCAAAAAGGAAACATTGTTTAGTTCATTCCTTTCTTTGCATAGAATATTAACTTGAAACCCATAAATAATATTTCTTCATTTTTCAATTGAAAGGTAAGATAGTTGTAATAATCTTTTCATGTTTTGCATCTGTCTTTAGACTCCTAACCCAGCAGCAAGTGAGTTCATCCCAAAGGGAGCTCCACGCATGGCCACCTTGGCACAATCTGCTGTCCAGGCTTTCCCCTCTCCCCTCTTCGCACATCCTGGTCTCAGCAGTTCAGCTGCTGCTCTGGCTCCAGGTGAGAGGTTTTCAAAGAGATTCGAACAAAGATCCCCGCCTTTCGTCAGCTTAGCTCCATTTCTGGTTGGCTTCACTGCAGTCTTTTTGTAGGATGTTTAACATTTTCTTTCTGTCTACACTGTAAGGTATGTCTTTGTCTGCTGGATCTTCTCCTCTCCACTCCCCGAAGATTACACCTCACACCTCACCTGCTCCTCGTCGGCGCAGTCACACCCCAAACCCAGCCAATTACATGGTGCCCACCACTGCGTCTGACCAGGGCGCACACATCATCCAGAAAGAGACTGTAGGGGGGACCACCTACTTCTACACCGACAACACCCCAGCACCGATGGCAGGGATGGTACGTAAACAAAGCCAGTGCACCAGGAAAGCCTTAAGGTCTTCTAACCAGACATCAAACAGGATGGAGCATTACACAATCCTATGTCCTAACACAAAGTGAATCAAATAAGTGTTTTTTAGTATCAGTTTAAGGCGTTGTCATGAGTTCATTCTCTCTAACCACACAAATGTTCCAGGTGTTTATGGGCATGTCCGTGTTGTCACATTACTAATCAGATACTAGTCATTCATGTGTTAACAGTGTGGTTTTTAAACACTTTTGAGATACTTTACACCTGAACAGTTCTTTGATAACTGGATTTATTTTGTGATATTTATTTGCATAGCTGAATAATCCTGAAAAGAAAAGTAATGTTTTTGCCATCTCACTGTATTTCGTTTCTCAGTAATTAGGAAGCTGTGCTTTTCTGGTTTCATTGCAGGTGTTTCCTACCTACCATATCTATCCATCCACAGCGCCCAACGTGGCTTACATGCAGCCGAAAGCCAATGCCCCGTCCTTCTTCATGGCTGATGAGCTCCGACAGGTATTGCTCAGTTATGTTTTTTTTTTCCTGCAAATATCTCCCTTTCCACTCAGAAGGGAATATATGATGATTGCCTCCTGTTTTCCCCACAGGAGTTGATTAACAGACATCTGATAACTATGGCCCAAATCGACCATTCGGAGAACCCAGGTACCGCGTCAGCTCTAGCTCTGACTGGTAATGACAGTGAGTCTGTGAATACAATTTTTATTATTTTCGTTAATGATCACAAACAATCATTAAGTTTCTTTTTTTTTTTGTCAGTGAGTTTTGTTTCTGGGTTCTTTGGGTCTTGCTTTCTGTCACACACCATCCTTTTCCTTTGTCAGTAGCAGTTTTGCAGTATCTGGCACAAGACTTTGTTTTCATTCAAGATCGAATAGAATTCTTGTATTGAAAGTACAAACTGAGACCTCTCTGAATCAAAATGTTCATTTAGACTTTTTCAAATTTGGTATTTAGATTTTGAACAAGAGCCTATTTAAGTTTGTTTTTGTTGTACCTTTGTTATTTATCGTTGCATTAATTTCTGTTTGATAATCTTCTGTAATTGCTGATGTGTTTTTGAAGATGTACCATCTGAGGTGGACAGTTACCACAGTCTATTCCCCCTCGAGCCCCTTCCCCCACCAAACCGCATGCAGATGCAGAAGACCAGCAACTTTAGCTACATCACCTCCTGTTACAAGGCTGTCAACAGCAAGGATGACCTGCCTTACTGCCTGAGGAGGATACATGGTGAGAAACAGAGCCAGAATGCAAGCTTTTCAATGAAGCAGATGCCCTCTGTATAAAGTAATGAATGTAAAAATGGACTTTTAGGGCATTTTTCTCTGCAAAAAGTGAAAGGTGGAGCCATCATTTTTCAAAACCTTGGCAAAAAGGTTTTTGCTTTTGAATTGAATGGCCAGGCTTTCAACAAACCGATGCACGCTCTCTTAGCATAAAAGCTATTTATTTGAACCGTGCATTCCTAACAATAAAAGAAAGGATGCAACTTTTTCACATGTGTCACTGATACAGTATATCAAACGTCTTACTGACAAGCTCTCAATTTTTGTGATGTATATTTTGCTCTTGCTAGGTTTCCGCCTTGTTAACACAAAGTGCATGATGCTGGTGGATATGTGGAAGAAGATTCAGCACTCAAATGCGGTAACACTGAGAGAGGTCTTCACCACTAAGGCCTTTGGAGACCACTGTGAGTGTGCGATGGATGCATTTTAGACTGTTGCTGGTTTCATTCTTCTGCTTTATGTAAAGTTAGTTACAGTCACCTTCTCTCTGGTGATCTCTTAACTGCAAATCGTAACTTTCAGAAGGCTTAAGAATCTAACCCTTGTTTTCTTTTTTCCTGGCACAGCGTTGGTTTTCTCTTATGACTTCCATGCAGGTGCAGAAACAATGTTTAGCAGACATTTTAATGACCCAGCAGCAGACTCGTACTTCACGAAGAGGAAATGGGGTGCGTTTTTTTTCTTGTTCCCTTCTTCTAAAACTCTGAAATAGAAGCGGCATCACCTCAGGCACTACACAATGTGACCAACCCCTGCCACAAACGCATCACACCGTCAAGATGTGTTTCCTTGTCTGGAAATGAACTCATACATCTGTAGTTAACACTTTATATTAAAAAAACAAAACAAAAACAGAAGTCATATTTAAAGGTCAGTGAACAGATCTTGAGTTTTTTCCCCCCTCTCTCTTGTCTCTGAACTTTACAGTTAGCATTGATATGTTTTCGTAAAAGAGACCTGAGAGTTTGGAGGAAATTGTGGCTGAAAGTGATCCCAGGGCAGGTGCTAATGTGTAGCCCACTAATCTGAAGGGCAGACAGAGGAAGCAAAACCATTAACACAAAGTTCTAGTTTGTAGTAAACACTTACAAGACCAAAGCAGAACATGCAAAAAAAAACACCGCCGAACACATTTCTGACTAAAATGACCTTTGATAAACAGAAGTTTTGGGCTAAATTTAGTGTGGCCATTGAGCCACAGGTTAATGTAGCAAAACATGCTTCTCTGCTACCTGTTTTCCACAACAATCACGGTGGTCAGTCCTTTCCACATCGTTTGCGTCTTATCTGGAAAAAAAGTTTGTCTGACACACATGCTAGATAGGGATGGATCTGGCCCCGACATTTCCTAATAAACATCAAGTGTTATGTGTGTGCAGGGGTTGTTGTAAATTAGCAGTGAATCATTTTCAACCTGGATGTCCCTTCTTTACTTTCTCACTGACAGTGTTGGGTCATGATTCCCAGAGTGAGTCACTAGTAAAAAAAAGAAAAAAGAAAAAAAGCCTTCAGATGAGGGAAATATTCTGGCCTAGGAGAAAAACATCTGTTGACATCTCACTGCAATGTACGTTGGTCACGATCAACTCTAAACATTTAATTGTGGGGTTGTAATTTTGTAATATTTTGAGTCACTTTCCAAACTGCATTTGTAAATATTTGAAAATGAAGCAGATTAATGAATGGGTATAGTGAGTTAAAACTGGATGAGAAGGATGATTCTTGGCATCAAACCTTTGATAGATGGTGTCAGTTGAAGATTACAGAGGAAGCTGTGACAGTTTCACAAGTAATGCACATTTCTTGGCTGCTTTTGTGTGATAAAGTAGATTTTTCCATGTGCAGGGCAACACGAACCGCCTCCACCAAGGCAGCATGCAGGTTTGCTGCCAGAGTCTCTGATCTGGGCTTACATCGTCCAGCTCAGCTCGGCCTTGCGGACCATTCACACTGCTGGCTTGGCCTGTCGGGTGATGGACCCCAGCAAGATTCTTATCACTGGCAAGACCAGGTAAGACTGTTTTAGTCATTCTGCTTTAGACTATCACGTATAACTGTAAATGGCTGCTTAGGGAACACTTCCTTTATTTATTTATTTATTTTTAACTCAGAAGGTGCTACTGACATGTTATAAAAAAAAAAGTGTTATAAATTTCAAGGCTTCCTGTTTTTTGGTTTTCACAGCCATGTAGTTGTGCACAAACTAAAAGTTCTAATGGTCTCCATCCTCTAAGGTTACGAGTAAACTGTGTCGGGGTGTTTGATGTCTTAACCTTTGACAACAGTCAGACCAACCATCTCGCCCTGATGCCACAGTACCAGGTATTTTATGTTTGATTATTTTAGCACAAAAGCTCTTAAACTCAAAGCATTACACCATGTCTGAACCATATAAAGAGAAATATTCATGTGTGACTGATATAAACTTTTATTTCTGTACTGTAGCAAGCAGATCTAGTGTCGCTGGGCAAGGTGGTGCTGGCTTTAGCGTGTAATTCCCTGGTTGGCATTCAAAGGGAGAACCTGCAGAAGGCCATGGAGCTTGTGTCTATAAACTATTCTTCAGACCTCAAGAACCTCATTCTGTAAGTTGTGCTTTAAAGTATGAATACAGTTTCTGAAAGAGCATGCTTGGGATGCGTTGGGTCTGTAGATTATAACAGTTTCTGTGTATTTGCAGTTACCTGCTGACTGAACAGTCTCGCCTGCGCAGTGTCAACGACATCATGCCCATGATTGGGGCCCGCTTCTACACTCAGCTGGATGCGTCGCAGATGAGGAATGATGTCATTGAGGAGGACCTGGCCAAGGTAAGAGGGAAAGGTGCAGTGTGCACCAAGGTGCGTCAGAGGCCACGTGATTGAGATGGTTTTATTTCAGGTAGTCTTTTTTGTCGCTTAAGAATAATTGGCTTAGTTGGGGAAAGTTGCGTTCAAACTCATTGACATACACAGTATATTTAAGGTTTGCAGTTGGTCGTCATACCAACGTGTGAAGTGACTAATATGAAATCATTGCTTTTCCCCCCCTGTCTTTATGTCCAACTTCCTCTTCAATCCACCACCATATACTAAATTAGCAAACCAAGAAGTTTGAGTATGTTACTTGTAGTATTTTAGTTTCGTACTCAACATGAAGTGTTTTTACAGTTTTGCATGAATGCCCATGATGTGGAGGCGTCATGATAACGCAGGCTGTGGAAACGGTAAAGATTAACAGAAATAAATGCATCACTGTGGTATTACGCAAACTGTGGCTGCCAGTAATCTGTTGGTTTTCATGCTGGTAAGTATTCTGTTTACTTGCATGTTTGTAAGTTGCTTTTTTTTATACAGAGTTCCACATTTCTGAGGAAATTAACGAACATTACTACCCTTGTAAGGAACAAGAAGTGTGATAGAGCAAAGGTCTGACACCGCAGAGACACCCAAACTAGCGTGGACTGCTGCCCGTTTGATGTGTGAACACTAATGTGGAGAAGAAAAATTTAAACGAAATAAAACCTCATTGTTCAAACTTGACGAACAGGAAACTGTACATTTTAAGAATGAGACTGATATCCACATTGAGAAAAGTGGGGGGAACTATCATGATTTGGGCCTGTCGAGTTGAAGTCTAGCTTGATCCAGCTGCCATGTTTAACGACATGAAGTGAGAAATACCCTCAACTTCCAGGAGCTGAAGCTGTATATATTTAATTAGTTTGTTGCTTTCTTCGAGTACTTGTAGGTCTACTTTTGACCTACAAGTAGACCTACAAGTAATTGAATTATGCTCATTCACTAATACAAATTTTTTTTCACTCGTTACTTTTTCCAGTTTTTAAGGTTCTATTATTATAAGTTAGTAAGTTAGCGATAACAGTTTTCAAAGTATATTAATTCTGGGAAGATCTTAATAATCTTTGTCTACGATTTCCCAAAGATCTGGAAGCTTTAGGTAATTTGATCTTCAAGAATAAAGTCAGCCGATATCTTTTCTTTGTTTTTGGTCGATGTATGAGTACCTCATACATACAGAAGTCAAACGGGGGTTTCACTGCAGGTAGAGCAGGAAACCCAGCACGCTGATGTGCTCCTGCTGATTGTGTTCCTCAGCCTATCGGCACACTGAAAGGTGAGGGGGAAAAAATCCCCCAAAGCACCCCAAAAAATCCCCCCAAGCACCTGATTAAATCAGTACAAACCTAACAGAGCCAGCTAGCCACCCAGAGGCATGTTAATGCTGTTAACCAGAACAGTTTTCTTCCTGCCTCAAACTACTGGTAATATCTCACGCAATCTGGCTCCAGACATTTCGTGGAGAGTTTTGATGCCTTGCAGGTTTCTCTGTCAGGTTGAGGTAGAAATGGAAGTGTGTAACTACATTGGCAGAAAAAGGATGAAATGACCCTGCATTTCTGATGGAGGAAGCCAATACAATTGGTTGATTGGTTTTCAATAATTGTCACTTTGTCCAACAGTGCAGAAAGCGTTAAAACAGGGTGAGACAGGCAGAGAGGATGAAGAAAAAAGGAGAGGCAGGAGTAAATTTTATCGGCAAAGACTAAGGTGAGCTATGGTCCCGTGGACCTAAAAACATCCAGGTCTGTGACACCTTTAGGTGCACATTCAGCGCTGCTTCAGCTGGAGCAGGAAAATGTTTGAATCGGTTTGGATGCTGAAGGGGAGGCAGTGTGTCTGAAGCATGCGGGAGACAACGGGGGGAGAAAAGTTCATGAGGTTCCCTCTTGGGTTGATACCAGTCTTTGTTTTTAATACACAGCCACACCAGCAAGGAGTGGAAAGCAAGTTGATCGGAGGAGCAAATTTTTTTTCTATTATAAATACTAAAAACCTTTAAATGCTATCTGCTACATGTGGCTAACCTTCTGATATTTTGATTACTTTGACCAGTGGGAAAAGTTTAAAATCTTCTCAGAAATTCAGGGTGACGGATCTGTGACATTTCCTCAGAACGTCTTTCGTATATTTGAAACACACTGGTGCTTGGCTTCTATCTCTGGGAACTCGGAAACCCCCCCAGCCACGGTCGACATATTACTAAAAAGTTGTCTGGATTTTTTTGGCTGAATATTTTCCTTTCACTGCAATTAAAAAGATAAATGCATAATGAATGTAATCTTTAGATTGATTTAATAATTTACAACAAAGCCTCTGGGTTCACCTCTCAAATGCTTTTTATGTCACAAGGGGTAAAGTAGAAATGGTTCCATCCCATCATTTGTCCTGCAGAGGGGCCTTAACGTCAGCATTTACACTACTCTGCATGTAACGGAGGACTGACCTGTGAGTGAGTGGCTCTGACTTCTGTGGACTGAGGACAGAATGAAGCAAAGAAATGGTTTATGTGGCGCAGGGTAAGAGTCTAAGTCCTGTCTTTTGTGGGTAGTTTCAGTGGCCTTTAGTGTTTTTTTTTATAGAGGAAGTGTCCTCTGGAACTGTGTCAGGGTCTGACATTTTGTTTGAGCAGAAAGCCGGCTGGCAGGTTTCAGTGTCTAATAGAGCTGCTTGCTAAAATGATGCCTGCTTATTTTGTAGAAACACTTGTTCATCGTTGACAACTGGCCTCCTGAAGGTGTATGAATGAAATGCTTCATGAACATAGAGCGCGGCAACACTCCTGTCCTGCAGACACCAGCAGCAGAAACATTTTCAGTGTAGGAAATGGAAAGCTGTTGAAGTTGCTCTTTTTAGACTCTACTTTTTACTTTTCTAAGATCTGAGCTGATGAATGAAGCAGGTGTGCTTTTTTTTTTTTCTTTCTTTCTTTTTTTCCATAGGAAGTGCAAAATGGCCGCCTCTTCCGCCTGCTCGCCAAACTGGGCACCATAAACGAGCGGCCTGAGTGAGTACGGTAGCACCAGCATCCGGTCTGTTCTGTGTCCGAGTGTTCGTGCCATCAACCCTCAGGCTTGTCCTGTGAATCAGGTTTCAGAAGGACCCCACGTGGTCGGAGACGGGCGACCGCTACCTGTTGAAGCTTTTCCGGGATCACCTGTTTCACCAGGTGACGGATACGGGGACGCCCTGGATTGATCTCAGCCACATTGTTTCCTGCCTCAACAAGGTCAGTGAAGAACACTCCTGATAAGGTGTGGTGCTATGAGTTTAGTTAGACTCATGTCGAGACCTTCTGTCTGTTCACTCCTGTAGGCATTGCCTAGAAACGTCCTGTTAGTTTGAAACGAAAATCCCTAAATAATGTTTTTTAAAGGTTTTATGCACAGCTCTAGAAATATGAATTTAAAGGGATTTTCCCATTGCCTTTATAGACCAGGGCTGGCCAACCTGCGGCTCCTGAGCCGCATGCAGCTCTCAGCCCGCTTCCATGCGGCTCTTACGTTCATATCCAAATTTCGCTTTGCGCCACTAGAGTTCCATATGGTAATTTCGTCAAACATGCATGTGCGTTCCCCAGTTGGGAACAAGAACATTTGAGCAAACGTTTCATGGCAAGTACGCTCTCTAAATTATTCTATTTTTGCTTGAGGAGTTGGTTAAACTGAGTTTGTCTTTGTGAGACAGTGCACAGTGTTCATGGTTGAAAATGACTGGCCTTTGGCCTTTATAGTGTAGGAGTCAATTTCTGTCATTATCATGTCAGTGTGTGACATTTACAATAAATCTGGCTGAGCAAAGGTGTGTGTGTGTGCGTGAGAGAGAGGAAAGGGCTGGGTGATGATGCATATGGTGTCGCTCTTTTGCTTAAAATATTTCCACACCTTATCTCTTTGTGGGTTCAGCTGGACGCCGGCGTTCCTGAGAAGATCAGTCTGGTTTCTCGGGATGAGAAAAGCGTCCTGGTTGTGACTTACTCGGACCTGAAGCGCTGCTTTGACAGTACCTTCCAGGAGCTGCAGGCTGCTGCCGCCGGCTCTCTGTAGCGCCCCCTTTGGGCCCGGGGTGGGACTGCCCCCGGAGCGCAGCATTGCACTACAGCGGAGGACCGGGCTCAGCAAACATCAGCTGGGTGAAGGCAGCGGGGCAGGGCTTCGTGAACCTCAGTCACATACACTGATCCCTGTCCACCAGGAAGGCTTTTCTAAAGTGTATTTTTTTTTAGTTTTCTTAAAACCTGCAGCTGAAAACTTAAAACGAAAAGAAAAAAAAAAAGGAAAAACTCGGAAGCTGTGATGTATGACATTTTTTTAGATTTGGGGAACAAAACGAGAAACAAACATGAGGTTTTGAACTTTTTCCTGCTTTTATTGTTTATTTCTACAGTTGAGGTTTATTTTTCTGAGGAGGATGCACTAAGATTTTAATTTTTTGTTAATTTTTTGTTATTTTTATGAATATGTGTGAGTGGCCCACAGGGTGAACAGAGAATTAAAGTCACACACATACACAAACAAACATGGACATGTGTACCAGAACAGACTCACAATTTCAAGAATACAAAAAAGAAAAAAAAAAAAAAAAAGAAAATCAGCTTTCTTTCAACTGCATCTCTCTGCCGGTTGGAGACCACACCCCTTCATTCTAACGCACTAGGAGACGGGACACACCACTCAAGGCCTTCATCGGGGTGGGATCGCACCTGTTTCATGAAATGGGTGGTCTCACCTTAGCTTTGGTTGTTGGTTCCCCTTGAGAAAGGACAGACCACTTGGGAGGGGGGGGGGTGGAAGCGTTTGTAAAACTGGAAAATTTGGATTTCTGACATTTTTGTTCAGGAGATTAAAGAACTATCAGCTCATATTTGCGGGTGGGCAGGCTTGGACTCGGGACCAGGGAGGTGAAGCATGGTTTCTATGGCACTGAGGAGGGAGCGTCTTCTCCTGAGGCCGTCTACCAAGTGTTTGTTACATATGCAGCAACCACCTTTTGTTAATGGACACTTTTGTGACCTCAATTTCTCAAGGACGGGTCATTTTTGGGTCTGGGTTCAGCTCACGAGTGGGGCCTCAGAGGAGGTGGAGCCGCAGCTGCCTCTTTGTGGAATGTCCTTATTTCGTTCCCCCTGCGTCTCTCTTAACCCTCCCATTTCTTTCTTCCTGTTATCCCAAGCTTCACTTCCCTTTACGGGGGTGCACATCTTGAGAAAAAGCAAGGCTTTTTTGTGACTTTTTACCAGCTTCTTTTTCTCTTTGCCAAGCTGTTGTGCAGGAATACACTTTGGGAATTAAGAGGGCGATTCATTTTTGCCTCCCTTTTGCTCTTTATTATGCGGTGGACCAATTTGAGCAGGGGTTTAACGTATAGGGGAAGGGATGGAGGGCAAAGGAGGAAGGGAACACTGACTGTAATTTGTTGTTTTATTTGACTTTTTAAGATCATAAATGTGCTGGAGACTAAGCAATGGTGCTGGCTGCTGCACTCACCCGGATGGCTTGGATTTCTCTCAGGATGACAAACCGCTGGAGGGGCCCGATGATTGAATGTGTTTGGCTGTCATTGGCTGCCCCGTGTCCAGTCAGATGAGTTTCAGGGGAGTGGGCGGGACATCTTCAGATGGAGGTTTTAGGAAGTTAACCGAAGTTCAAGGCATTGTGGAGATCATGCTGCGAGGGATTTGTTGTTGCCCAGAAGCACAGATCTGCTTTCATTTCACTTTCATTTTCAACATTAAGACAGAATTGGTGCAACTCAGTTTTACCCATTTCAAAAGAACAGTCCGAACTCTAGCAGACCACTGGTCTTGGTTCCTCTGCCTTTGTCCCATCATTTGAATGTGCACAAACGTGAGCCTTTGGAGCTGCAGGGTCACATGTAGGAACCACAATTCAAATAAAGGTGGAGCCCGGAATCGAGCACAAAGCTTTGGCTGCAATCTGTTTTTCACAACTTGTTCTTAAATTGGAGGTCTGTTCCTCGGGGCAACAATCATGCAGGGAGCTGTCTGTGTTAGATCATGTACTACTTCCTCTGTTCTCGTGAAATGAACAGATGGAACATATTTGGTGAATGTGGTGCTTTAGAGAACCCTCAGCACACAAGCTCACACACTTCAAAACGCATCCACACACCCCTCGACTCGGCCTACATAACGTCAGTGCTCATGTCACCGTTTTCAGCATCATTTCAAACACACTCCAGTTAATTAGTGATGACCTTATTCTCCTACCCCACAACAACACACCTACAATCACCATCTTAGTATGTTTTATGCCCCTCTTGTGTTCTTGTCTCAAATTTTGCAATATTTGTGTGTACAGCAGTATTTTAATAAAGAATACCAAAACTGATGCTGATGTGGGAAATCTTGTATTTTTTCAGTTAAGACAATTGCATTTAATCTGCAGCAAGCATTTAATCAATTTGTTTCTCTATATTAAAAATTCAACTTTGTAAGTGGTGCCGAAATCTAAAATCAGATTTTTGAACGGCAACAAATTGGTGGAAAGTCAAATTGCTACTTGTATTAATTGGTTACAGGACAAGAATATAGTTACTACAGTAATACAATAGAAAAACTGCATCTATGTAAGCGCACACATTAGTGTTTATGTGATGGGTAACATCCATATTTTCCAAGGCTCCACTCACACTGAATGTATACAGGCTTTAGGACAACATTTTGTCTGCGGGATTTTTTGAAAATAAAGCTTTGGCATCTGACACTTCATTGCAAAAATGCAAAAACCTCTGATGGCACCATCTACACAGAAGTGAAACAACCCTTTATATCAGGGATGTTTAAAAGAAGTGGATTTTTTTATGGTTAAATGGCTCAATGGTCTTATGAAAATATGACAAGGGGAACCATGCTGAGATTTAAACAAGTATATGTCATTCTCAAGTCAGTATTCAAGGATGTTTGATTGGAAAAAAAAAATTCATATCAGTTTTTCGCTTTGAGAGTATTCGTTCTTGCAGGCATGTTGAACAAAGAAACAATGTGTTCTTGTTTTTCAAATAAATACAGATATACATTCTGATTAACACAGATATGAATCAGCGGATAATGACTTTTTCCAGCATATGGAAGCTGTGTAAGAGGAACAGTTATTTCATACAGCGCTGCTCCTCCTCACATAGCTCTGAACATGAGGTACCAATATAATAAGCTTTAATAGTTATAGATTTGTGAATACATTTATCATAACTGCACAGGTTAAGTACTGTCAGGTAAGACTTTAGCTGCTCTTGGAAGTGGTTGTATGGAGAATAACGCCAGAGGAATATCTCATGGCTAGTGAAAACAACTAGTTAGAGGTTTTGAATTTGAATGAGATTCTGAATTTGAGGGAGGGAATATTTTTAAACTAAGTTTAAACTAAGGTGAGGTAAGAGGATGTCAGAGGAAAATTTTAATGACTGAGGGGGACAAAGATGTGAAGCTAGTAGTGTAAGTTCAGAGAAGCTAAACAAAAGCGGAAGCTGTCCGATAATTACACAAAACTCGAAGTTATAGGGAGGGGTAGAGGAGAGCAGAGTTGTAGTCCGGAGGAAGGGAGCCATCCTCGTCAGACAGCCAATCACACGGCAGAACTGAAAGCCTATTGTCATGGACACCTGTGATGTCAGTGCAGAGAAATGGCTTTTGGTGGTCTTGACTCTTCCCAAAGATAAAAAACCTACAGGGAAAAAAAATCAGAGAAATTACTACGCATTGATGAAAGGGAAATTGTATCATTGCAAACTAAAGTTTGGGGAAACAAAATTTTTAGATCTACACCTGCTGAGCTTCTTGTTCTTGGTGTTGTTCTTAATCATTTGTCTCAGTTCCTCTGATGGGAGCACCATCCCGCTGTCACTTTGTTCATCCTGAAACCGAGTAGGTTCAAACATGCCTCTCATCAGAGCGTGTATGGGACTAAAAGACAGATCACATTTGCCTTTGCTCAGCTTTTATTTGAGTATACACAAAGGTGGAGGTCGTGTCTTACGTCTGGGCTGCCATGCTCCTCGCAGGGCAACTCCTCAAAAGTCTGAAGTGTGGCCATGCCCCTCATGTAGCTGCACAGGAAGAGGTTCAGACTCAAATGAAACAGAAATGTACCTGCTTTCTTAACCAACATTTCAGTTTCACTTTCCTCACAAAACTCTCTCTGACATGTAGGATTTGAACTCAGTGTGTGTGTCAGGCCTCTGCGCTGATGTTTACATGCCTCAGGTTTGTGACTGCTAGTGGGTTTTCTTTGAAGGCCTCACGGCAACTTATGTTTCCATTCACGGAAGATCCCAGAGGAATGTAGTCCTTCCCATCCTGCTGGAGAGACGGAGGAAGAAAGTGTTGGGTTTCTCAATCTTTGTTAAAGTTGAATTTTTGGGGTAAGTTTTATATCTCTGACCTGCTGCACTCTCGCTTGAAGCAGGTCCCCAAGTATATCCACCAGGTTAGTGAAGGTGGGTCGCTCTGAGGGATTGGCCTCCCAACATGCCAGCATTGTGCTGTAACTGTAAACACAAGCAGATTCTTACTGACCAGCTCCGCCCCATCAGCAGACCACAGTGCTCCTCACTCCGTTCTGCTTCCATTGTACATTAATAACACATTAATAACACAGTTGCAGTTTTTATGAGAATACAGTTGTCCCACATGACAGGCGTGAGGGCGTGGTGCTGTAAAATACGAGGGGGGGGGGGGGATGTGGCGACGAAGACAGTTCGCTAAATGCATAAGGTAGGGTGGAAAGTGTGAAAGTAACACAGAGCTGAATGCACATGTGCAGTTCAAAAGTGCACTATATCTTGTAATGAAATGATAAAAGGCAAGTCAATCAAAGTGCTTTTCTCTGAAAAAAGCTGCGACACCAACATTACAAAATGTTACTGCTTACAGCAGCTGCTATTGTAGCGGAGCAGTTATATTTTTTCAAGTTTTATAGGTTATATGTTTTTGGTCATAAAACTTGAAGGAAAACATTATAAGAAATTAAGAGTAGCATGAAGATATTCCAGTGAATAGTTAGCTCTGTGCACATCACGTCAGCTGATGATAAATGTGAACGCACATCTCTGGTGTGCTGTATTCCGGCGCTCTCATTCTTGTTCCCCCTTTCAGCCGGTGGCAGAACTCCTCATCTATGTGAAGACCTGGGTATGGTGAAGCTCCTGTGAGACAGACGCATACACACGATCAGTCATACACTGAATCTTCTTTAGAAAAAAGTCTCAGTAATCTGCTCATATGGAAAAGCTTCTGATTTTCTAGCATTTAAGTTATTTTGTGCTCAGGTATCTTACCCAAAGAGAAGATCTCCCACAGCAGAATGCCGAAGGACCACACATCACTCTGGGGGGTGAACACCTTGTCAAAAATGGACTCCGGGGACATCCACTTCAGAGGGAGACGGGCCTGTTAGCCAATCAGAGGACACAGGGTTACAAAAACTCCATACACAAGGAGAGCAATGTGAGGCTCTAAACGCATACAAAACCTGCAACAATGAACAAAAAAGACTGGATGTTCTTACACATTCCTTTTTGCCACTAAATGAAGAGAAATTTAAAACAGACAACAAGACAAATATTGGCTATATGATTAATTTGTCTTTTTTCCCTCTCTTCACAACGCTAGAGTCTAATGATTTGGGCTATTGGCTACTGGCCCCTTTATAAAACAGAATAAATCCCTGTACTCACATCCCCCTTGCGAACATAGTCGGGGTCTTTGTAGATGTCTCTGGCTAGACCGAAGTCACAGATCTTTACCACTTTATTGTCAGACAATAGAATGTTCCTTGCTGCCAGGTCTCTGTGAATGCACTGATCCAGGAGGAAAGACAACACAAATTAGGACTTGAATTTAACACAGGTGTACACGTATGTGTGGGGGAGCAACAGTCAGGCCAGACCTTGCGAGAAGCCAGAAACTCCATCCCACGTGCCACCTGAAAGCTGAAAGAAATGAGATCCTCCAAGAAAAGAGGGGAGTTCGATTCAGACTGTGGATCTAGAAGGGGATAAAAAAAACAGAAAATGAAAAAGAAAGCAGTTTGATCATGAAGAAACATAGAAGTGCTCATTGGGGTGCTGCCTTACCAAGATCCTTGCATTTAGCATCCGACTTGGTACAGCTTTGGTTATCAAACAAGCTGCTAACACTACCTCCATCTGCTCCTTGGGCGAGCTGACAAGAATGAACGAGATCGTGGTTATCAATATCAGAGCCAAAAAAAAGGTAAGGGTTTCCTAAGTTTGTCAGGGAGTAATTCTTGTCAATTTTTCAGGAATAAGATTAAAAAAACTAACTTTCTCTGTGAAAATATCACTAATGCTAGTTATGTGCAAACTTTGGATGGAATTAAGGAAGTCAATGTCCTGCTTGAGAACTGATAACAGCTTTCTACCTCAAACGGATTGCACAAGCGAGCTTTTGAGTGTACGACTGTGCAAATATGCACCTCTCAAAGGGGATATTTCAGGTTTTTAAACCACATGCAGCATTGCATGTGTCTGCACACTAACACTTATCAAGACTTCATCTTTATTAGAGGAAGCTGCAGAACTCACCCGGTTGTGCACGTAAACATCTCTCTTATTCTTCAGAAACGCGGAGAGGTTTCCAAAGCGACAGAACTCAACAATAACCATCAGCGGGCCTAAATATAAAAACAAACACCCACATAGCCACGTGGTAATGCACATATTCATATGAAGGTGCAAACTCCTGATGAATGAAATAGAAAGAGAAGCAAAAACCACTGATAACAGGAACACGCACCTCCTGGCTTGGTGCAGGCTCCCAGGAGGTTTACCACATTCAGGTGGTTTCCAATGTGGTTTAAGATCTTCAATTCTGTCATCAGAGCCTTGTGTTCACTGGCTGTGGCTCCCTCTGGTGGACAAAATATATATAAGTAAAACCAGTGTCAAATTGTTATTCTTTCAATTTTTATTTTCATTTTCTTCCAGCTAGGAAAATATATCGTTGGTACCTTTGAGCATCTTGACCGCTACGGTCCTGCAGCTGGTAGCACTGTCTATGCCGACAGCAGATGCCTGAATCACTTTACCAAAGGCTCCACGGCCCAAAGGTTTCCCTGAGAGAAAAGGAAACGCCATGTGAGAGAGGGAATGACACGGAACTGGGAGGTGTGTCAATTAATTACAATTCACGTTCAATCCAGATGTAACAGGCCGATAGCAGAAGACTTCAGACCTCATCAACTGTCCTTTTAACCAAACCCACCCTGATGATGGTGGGAGCTGATTAGTTCCAGTAAACACAGTTTAAATACCCCATGTCAGAGTTGATTAGCTCACCACAGACAACACAAAGTCTGATTAATGGAACAGGAGTCCCTCCCAATAACAATATTCAGATAAGACCTATGAGAAAATCCTTGTATCAGTAGTGTTATCTTAAATACCTCCCTCCTCTCCCAATGAATTCCTCAAATTTGTGTAGTCTCAGTCGTCTGAAAAGTAACAGTGTGCAAAGATCTAAGTCTTCTTGTTTTTTATGTTGAAAGTCATTACCTAATTTAAGTCGTTCACGAGGAAACTCCCATTGGCTGGGGTCATACTGCAGTCTCTCACACTGCTCCTCTATTGGCCCCTCTCCTGTGTCCAGTATGATTGACAAGTATTCTGGTTTGGTGTGCGAGTTGTTGGACTTTAAGAAAAAAAAAAGAAGTTATGATGTATGCAAGATTCAGATGACCACCAAACACATGATCTTGAAATGAGAGTTTAAAAGGGCACTGCTCCAAATCCTCAACCATCTTAATCATATTTAATGTAAAGGTGTGAGCAGTTACATTTTTTAAACAGAATTAACAATACCTCCCAACAGGAGACCCCAAACATGTCAAATATGAGAGTTTGTAGTCAAAAGGCAAATGTGTAGTTTCTGAAATGTTGTCTTTTTTGCCTAAAAATCTAACCCAAAATGCAATTTGCACCTTGTATAGGAGTTTTTTTAATTAATCAGTCAGATCTACTGCATTCAAACATGTGGCTCACTGACTTTGCAGATCTCTTGGAAGACACAAACATTCACCAACAAGTTCATGTCCGGAAAAGTATGATCCAGGAGTAATGTTAACAATATCCTCAATTAAAACAAAAAGTGAACTGTATGAAGTACTTACTGGATATGAATATCATCTCCTTTATAAACCTTTTTTTTTATCATCTCACCTGTTTCAGTTTCCGTATAAAGAGCGTGAGCATGAGCCAGAAGAGAGTGGCCACCACACAGGTGCAAGTCAGGGTTGGAATTTCTAGAAATGATGTTTCTGACACACCTGTAAAAACACATAAAACAAAGTTGTTACAAGACAGAATTCTGTCATATTAGGTGCAAAACTATGAAATCTTGTTATTCAGTGTCCATATTGACATGGGTTTAATAGACAGTCCTCTGTAGGCCCACGTGGGGATTTTGTTTGAACCAAGTCTGCTGAATTACACAGTTCTGACCAACTGTTAACAGACATCAGATATCATATTTGCATGAGTAGTGCTTTACATAACACTGTTAGGGTTATTTCTAAATATATGAATAAGGGATAGATCATATAAAAAGTGGTGGACTAATTTTTAGATAAATATTTGTCCTCTGCCTCATGTTTTCAATATACATTTTTCCTGTCACAACAGATACACAACTTGATGTTTCGATCTTCTTCCTAACATGATTTTCCAGTGTGTTCTCTGTCACACCAGAAGCTGTAAAACCATAAATGCTCCTCATTAACTCCAATTAATTTTGATTGTTCTTTATCGGGAGGATGAAGAAATTCCCGGCCACGCTACAAATGTCGAGCCCCTCTACGATGCAGGCCGGGCCTTCCGGAGGAAATAAAAACGGGAGACAGCTTCCTTCCTGGCTGATCAGAACACAACATGCAGGCACAAAAATATACAGCCGCTCCTCTTTCCAAACCTGGATAGGGAAGAGAGTCTGCCACTACTGTTTCCAGGGGTCTCCTCCTCTGTTACATCCGGATGTGTGAGTGTGTGTGAATGAGGGAAACTGAACAAAAGGCTCAGTTCGTTTATGTTAAGACCTACTTTGATCAGTGTTTATTCAGAAACTGACGTGTATCATCTTCCATTATTAGAACTGACACAACACAGCTCTGTGTATAACTACATACAAACATACCAACAATGTGACATACTGTACTGCATGTGTACATCCAGACTCACATCCGTTTGAAGAGCGGGGAACAATGCACAATTAGACGTGGCCATGTATGGAGGAGCACCATCTTCATGAATGACGGAACAGCGAATCAAACACAGACAAGCTTGACAAACACACACTGCACTTACTGTTGACCCAAATATAGGCTGAGCTTTCTGCAAATCCCCTCTTATTGGTGGCTTGGCACGTATACAGGCCCTGGTCCTCCACTGTGATTCTGTCAATATGGAGGGTCCCATCTTCTGCTGATATGACTATACCTGCAGATGGTGGTAAACTGACTTGAAGGCATCGGGATATAACAGAGATTAACATGTGTTGGATCTTGTTTTTTTTGTTTTTTACCTGATCCCTGAAGCAGAGCGTGTCCATCTTTGTACCAGGTGATTGTTGGAGGTGGGACTCCTTGCGACGGACAGCTGAGGGTCACTGAGCTGCTCACATTAACAGTGCAGTCTGTCAAATTACTAAGCAACACAGGAGGCTCCAGAACTGAAAGGACACACATACAAAAAAAAAAAAGTAATACTAACATGAATGTGGGTGTGGGAAATTCCCTGTAGGCAGGTAGAACCCCGCCCAGCAACTGATATCTAATTGATGCAAGAGAAAATTCTTTATCACCTTCTCAGTCTTCTTTACTAATTTATTTTGGTTCTTTTGGGTGGTAAAGTATGCAGACATGCTTTTAAATGGGTTTTAGCAAGTTAACTTGCTTTTTTTTCCTTTTCGTTGCTACATAATACGTCAAACCTTTTACAAGTGCTGTTGTAGGGAAGTAATCACAGTGACTGCTTAAGTCTTTTTAGTCACACTCTTTTTGTTTTAGCCCTCTTTATACTTCTAATTCTCTGCAGAGAGATCAAGTTTTCATTTTTGCTTTTCTCCCATTTGTGGCAATTAGATGAAAAAAACATAGGTGGTGTTATGGGACATTACAACAGTTGGCTAAAAGTTACAAAAAACATCTTAGTGATTCAGCTCTTTGTCATTTGCTCTGCTACTAATTTTCCGAAATAACATAAATAAAAGTCATAAAAGCAGGATACTGTCATGGGTTCTCTTTTTATAACATTTTTGGTAGAGGATTTAAACACAAAGAGTATATTTGACATCATGGCACCTCATCATTTTTCCTTATAAAAAATTTCTGAGAAGATATGCTAGGAACAGAAAAGTCTGAGATATATATGGTCCAAAATTTGGCTTTTTTTTAACCAGTCGGTCCTCTGGAGCTGTGCTACTTTTGCCCAGTCACTGTGAGCTGGCGGTGAGACACATATGCAGAAAAGGGGCCTCAGCTTTGACTTTTGGGTCAGCTGAAACTTGGATCCTCTTGGGCAATTTCTTCTAAATATATTCAATAGCAATGAATAATCTGATTCTATGGTTAAATAAAGATGGTCAAGGACATGCACTGTGTTGAATGCAACCTCCCTCTAATACACTATTATTACCTACAACACACACTAAAGCTTGGAGAGAGATGGCTCTGTACTCCCTAAAAGTCTTTATCCCCATATGTGATTTCTTTTCCTTTCTTTTCTTCTTTCCACTCTAAACCCCTGCTGATCACTTTTCTCCCCTTGGTCACCCTGTCTCTCTAGTAACTCTCTTGTGAGGGTCCTGAGGGAGGAAGTTGACGTTTTGAGCCCTGATTGTATTGAGAGCAGCAGTAAAAGACACGAAGAAAAAGTCACTTAACCATGGCGACTGATTGTTGTTTCCCCTATCTTCCTCCTGGACAACAATTGATGATTGTCCGCGGGGGCCGAGGCCTGACAGTGTCTGATTGGCTGATTGTTCCTCCAGTTCTGTGCAGAGGCCTGTAAATGTGGCATTGTGGGAAGTGCCATTGTGTGCTCTTCCTCTAGACAAGAGCTCATTCCCATGTGAAAGAGGTGCTGAGCTGGAGTGCAAAAGCAAAGCTACAGTAGGGTGGGGCCCCAGGAAACTGAGGGGGGGGGGGACCTGATTCCCAAGCAGAGGTTTGGGTGTTTGTTTGCATGCATGTATGTGAAATAAAGGTACATAGCAACACAATGAGGCTGCTAGCTTATACAGTTAAAGTGTACCTAATGAGCTGAACTTTTTAAAGATATTGGCCTTCATTTCTAATTATTTGGCAATTTCTAGAAAAATACAAATATTATATTTAATTATTTAATTAATCTCAATCATATTAAGTAGATTTTTTATTTAACTGTCCAGTATTTCAAACATTTTCTGAGCACCGAAGACAGTGTGAATCGTTTTATCATGGAAAATCCTTTCCATATACCAGGACCAAGAAAACACAAGCAAACAACTGTTCCAGATGTTAGTACATAAGCACGTCAACTGGAGATTACTCACTTGTGACCACCACCTGTGTGTCCAGATGTGTCTCTTGCTCAGTGATGCGATGGCGTGCAGCGCATCTGTAGATTCCAGCGTCTCGGGCTGTGAGGTTACTCAGCAACAGGACCAGGGAGTTGGAGAACTCCCCTGATGTTGTCTCATGAATATTCAAAGCAGGGTGGCGGGATTCCCCAGTGTCCTGTATTTTTCGCCATGACAGCGCTGTGTACAGGTACTTGTTGGCTGAACAGGTGAGATGGAGGTCTCCCCCCTCTCTGGCCTCATCCAGTTGGTTCACACTGAAACCTCCTGGGACATCTAAGGGAAGCACAGAACAGACGAAGAGGTAGATTTACTGGAAGGAATGAGTGTAGAGAAAGAGGGAGCGGTATAACGCCATTCACAGAACCTATTTGTGATGAATAAGCCCTCTCAGTTTCCCAGCATGCGTCATGACGGCAGCCTGAAACCAGGAGAGTCGATTCCACCAATCCCCCATTTTCCAAACCTTTGATGACAATGTTGAATTGCTATTGTGGACAAAAGCAGCTAGTGGAATACAGTGAGAAGGCTTTTTATTTACTTTAGCCACTTGAAACTTCCCGTGGAAACGGCTTGAGAGTTTCCTGATGGCAGATAGTGTTTATCTTTCCCAAACACCCCAAGGCCTCCCGAAATAAAGTGGACCTGCCAGTCCAAGGAAGTGCGCTGCACGGGGAAGTGGAACGATAAGAGCCCCAGGTTCCTGTTTCGCTGCTGCTCACACACTAAGCTCCACACGCTTAACCCACAGACTAGTATGCACTCCTTTACACATACCAAACAAAGGGTAAAAAAAAGTTTAACCTGTATAGCTCATGACCCAAATCTAAGTTGACATCAGACACAAAAAACCTGCAGCGATGCACGCACGCTTAGAGACTTCTAGTTTGTTCGTGCCTCCATACACACCAATGTCATCACAGTGAGTGTTTTTAATTTTCATGTGCACACATTTCTGTTCATTTTTCAGCCATTTATTGTCCCTGGGGCTGTGCAGAACATCTGACATTTTTCCTTGATATAAAATACATTTCAGTAGAGTCAGAATTAGTTATTTCAATGATCACTGATTTAAGCTATCAATGTTATGTAATAAAACGTTTCAGACTCAGATTCTTTGAATAATCAAAATCTTTTTCAAGCTGTTTGTGGGGACTTCGCTGGGAATCGTTTACACTTAGTTGAAACTATAAGCTGAAACCTTCTACCGTTAGAAATGCTTATGGAGAATCCACAGTTTGGCTGAGTGAAGTGAGTAAAACAGGCAGATTTAATAGCAAAGACTGAAACTTGTTATTGTAAATGGGTTTAAGCAGGAGGAAAGATAACGCCCATGATTATTCTTCTTGTCTTGGAATAACCTGTGATGTAGAAGGGGATGTCTAGCTGGTCTGTGCCTGCAGAGTTGGAGGCGATGCAGCGATACACTCCAGACACAAAGGCCTCCGAAACAGTCAGGACCCCCACCGTCTGCAGAGAGCACAAACATCCTCATGAACAAAATAGGTGCTGAGAGCATTATGGAAAACACTCACAGAGGGCCAGGCTTGGCCGGGCTCCTCTATCACCAGTGGCAGGAATTTTATTTTCCATGATCCCACTGAGCAGAAAATGAGCAATTAGCAATTATTTATTTGGACAAAGACAAGAGTTTGGAATCAAATACTGCACACTGGGCCACTGACAGTCAGTTAATTAGCCACGAATGTCCCAAGATGAGACATTTTTCCTTGCTTTGAGCAATTCCCTGCATCTATCACAGTATTCATGTGTGTAAAGGTGAAGCTGATGAGGGGAACCTGCAACATCTTTTTCTTAAGTTTAAATATATCCAGAGAAGGAGACTTTGCAGTGATATCTCTTGAAGTTTCATTTTGATGAACTGTAGAGATAGTTTAGATATAACGTTTAAAAGTAGCAGTTGAAATGTTTCAAGGGAAAAAACTTCAGATGTGGCCCATTATGGGCTCAGTCCTTCAGAGATAGAGCTACCTTTTTCTTCCCCTGCAGCACTTCCTGTCTGTGAGATACGCTCAGGATCTGGTTGTATGCAGATGTGGCAGGGAGACTCTCCGTCACACGGCTCCACAGCGAGGAGGACGCTGGACACTCACACCTTATGGGAGGAACAGGAGGAGGAGAGGGACAGGGGTTCAGCTGTGTTGACACAAGACACTATATGATACTTCCAGGTGTGTGAGTGGGTGTTTTTCTCAGCTGTGCTCAGCAGGAGGAAGACCACAACCCCGGGAAATGCCTTGATCATAGCTGCTTGAAGTAATTTGTCATCACCGAACCATTTTTATCAATAGCATCATGTCCTCCTTCCCTGTCCTGCTAACTGACAATAGTGTAATTTTCGGGTGCAAGGTAATGCCGGATTGTTCAACTATTTAGGGTGCCGAGTTGGTATTGTCATCCTGTCAATTAGCTTCCTTCCATTCTTTAGAAACCATCCCACATTTTCAGGACAATAGTTCCTGTCCTCAATGACTCTCACAAGTCTAAATCCATAAAATACACAGAGGGAGAACTGTGGGAACTGGAACTTATGCAAGAGGCTTTGTGGTAATTTTACGCACAACTCGTCATGATCAGAACTTGTGAAAAGATATGAGAACAGGAAACATGTCTGGAAACGCTGACAGCCTGATCTATTTAAAAAATAAAGTTTAATGCAAGTAATAATGAAAATATGCAGAGAAGGTCTTCTTTAAAGGAAAAAGTGTTATCTGAAGAAAGCATGAAAGAAATACAAGGAATGAGTGAGTGTAAAAGATTTGAAGAATCCTTAAAGTTTTCATTCAACAAATTAATTTACAATTATTTACTTTTAGTTGGACCAAAATGTCCTCAGATTAACCAGGTTTGTTTTAGAACTTTATAAAAATATCTAAACTTTCATATAAATAATCTCTCAGATTTTTTCTTACCAAACTGATACCACAGATGTATCACTTTAAGCATAATATTATCCAATAAAGACATAAATAAGTTTGATAAATCTGACAACTTTGACTATTCCAGTTGCAAATGTCATTCATTTTAAAATAAGCTTTAAAAGGGCACAAAATAAACCAAACATACATATTAAACACATCTGAAAGCTCAGACAGGCTGAATTTATGTGTTACTGGAAACAAATAAAGAAATAATACCTGAAAATCTTTTGCCACATTAAGTCCTGAAAGATCTAAACTAACAAAAACATAATTTGAATGAAATGAAAACAAAAAGAGCAGAAGTTTGTTGTACATGACACTTCACTTGATTATTTCTAAAGAAACAAACAAGCAATGTCAAAAGTGAAACTCAGCGTGGGAGGTTACACGTATTAAAAGGAACCTCGCTAGCCGGGTCTCTATTTTAGTATCACCAGATAACTCTAATCAGGTCAGAGCTAGTGGGTGGATAACTTTTCAGTTGTTAGAAGAGAAGTTCTTTTCTCAACAATCTGGTAAAAATAGGTATTCTATTTACTTGATTTTAGAAATTGAAAAAAGGCTTTTATTGAATGACACTTAAAACATTATGTTACACCAGTTTCCTTGTTAGTCATTTGACTAAGGATCCCAAGTTCTCTTATTAATATCACATCAGTCTTAAAGATGAGAAGGTTTCAAGTTTGAATTAATGTCCTATACTGTAATATGTATCACCCAAGCTGTAACAAACCCAAATGTAGTTATTTGCATATTTCAATCAGAATAAGCTCATTACTTAATTTATTATCTACTAATGCAAAACTAATAAATCTTAATTCAGGAAAGGTTAATGCTCATAGAGGCCAAATGCACATCTTTAAAGCAATAAAGTTTTGTAATTTAAACTGAGACCCCCCTGATCTCACATTACTCACCACAGTAAGAATAACATACACAGCTGAAATAACAAATGGTTTTAAATGAGTGGATTTGATCATGGTGAAGAAGTGTCCAAATGGGCTGAATCAATTAAGCTCTAGATTGAGGGGGAAACACTTGTCTCACTTGTTTATTTATATAGATACCAATGAGGAGCGCTTTGCTATAAAGCACTAATAACAATGTCTATTAAAATCTAAGATATAACAATACAGTCAAGTTTAAAAAACATAAAGGGAAAAGAACCCATTTATGACTCCAGAAGCAGTTTTGTGAGCAAAGCAACCCTTTTTCTCTGGATAAGAAATAGGTGATATTTTTTTAAAACTACCTCATTATATTTTAAATGATGATTAGTTAATATCTTTTAACAGGTCAGTGTCTTTGTTGCTTAATTCACAAGGCAAAATAATAAGGTGATTAATGTGGGTAGATCACAAAAGCAAAAGAATGTGCCCTTGCTATTTTGACATCCTCACTGTACACCATCGTTTCCACCCTGTTCATTGATCTCCTGTCTGTTTAGGGATAAATCACTGCCCTTCTCTGCTCCCTGTCTCTGTCTGTATCCTTGTTGTCATCCGTCCCTGTCTGTCCTGAGCTCCTCCCTGAGTTTGGCCCCTCTCTTTCTCCTTGATTGCTCTTCCTCTTGGCATCGAGATAGTGTGTGTGACTTTACAAAGGACCCACCCTGTCCATGACACCATGGGCCCGACACATTCATTCATCAAATATGCACCTATCCCCACATCCACCACACCACTCGAGCCTGGTTCACGCCACTTCGCACTCCCACTTTTGCTGGAAAAACATTCTCACAAAGTTGCCCTCTCGCTCACAGATAAAATTAGTTGGACGGATGTGTGGATATGAAGGCGGTTAGACACAGAAAAAGATGTATACAGGCATCCAGACATACCACATCCACATTCATTCAGTGTGTGAGCTGCAGCTGCCTGGAAATATGAATGGACTAATCCAAATTGTGTATCAGTGGGGGTCATCTCCTTCCTTTTCCTCCTGTCCTGTTCTGTGGCCTGAAATAAATTTTTTCTGCTGTCCCTGCCTGTACCTCTCTCAACCCCAAAATAACCACAGAGTGTACAAATCAGTTCACAATAATAAGCAAAGTTTAATGCAGAATCTCAAACAATTGATATAACACGTCAATACATCTTAACAGATTCATACAGAGTTGGCAAATATTTTCATTGATCATATGTAAGTTAGTTGTATAAAATTATTAAATATTAGACTCATATATTACTCATAGAACATCTGTATACACTTTATGAATCACATTGGCAGACACCCGTAAAATGGGATACACACGAAAACACATTTCTGCACTAGCACACACACTGACATGCTGGGTTTACTCACATACCGAGAAATGGACGTCAGTCTAAGATTTTTGGCACTCATTCTCTTAAAATGGCTTGTAGTATCACAAAAACATTTGGGTTTTAATGAACTTCTGACACAAAGACAGCAGGGCTGTTACACTGACATCATTTGAAGCATAAAGAAGACATTTTATCATGGGATGACAATGGACAACACAGAATAGTCTCTGGCCTTTGCAAACTTCCTACATGGTAGGCGTCTGCTGACCATTAGTCTTTCATAGAGAACTGAAGGCATCCCATAGTGACCAACACAAAGTTTGTCCTCTCTCATGTTTCGCACATCCAAGGCAAGCACTTTTAACCTTCAGCCGATGGCTGGAAGTCGAGACAGAAACTCACAGCTTTTGTGGATGTCAGAATCAGATCAGGGCTTGGGACAAGCATGGTTCATGCACCCATTATAGTACCACTCTAGGACACAAAAAAGCAAAGCAGCTCCAGAAATTGTGACTGATGGATGGATGGAATTGCACTTATTCTGGCTCATAATGTCAGTGAAATATAACAAGCATAAATCTACGGGGCATCCTGGTATTGGAAGGACTTGAGTTGAGTAAATCAAGGAAATAAATAAATAATTAGTAAAAGCAAGTGTTCATATATCCATAGTGTTGTGGCTTATTTAACTCCTTGTTTCCTATGTCTCCTGGTCTTCACTGCTCAGCAGTGTTCAAAGTTTCTGTCCTTACTTTCCGGTTAGGCAGGCACCGGATCATCACTTGGAAATAGTTGGTAATGTCACTGAGGGCTCTGCGTGTTATGGAGAGGCACTAATGAGTGTGGGGAGGAGGAGAGTTCCAGCGAGGGAGGCAGGAGGTTGTTCCTCTGTGGGATGGAGACGGAGGATGCTGGGTTGGGGTGGAGGGCAGAGCTGGTGAGGGAAGGGTCTGGAGAGGTAAGAGTGGGGGGCAGTCGAGTTGGGGGGAAGGGGTGTGGGGGTGCTCTCAAGAATAGATCAAGCTCTTGAGGAAGCGGAGTATGCCACGTTTGAAGACGAAGGGACAATCACGCCGCTGGGAAGCGTCTCGCGTCGGAGAGGAAGCCAAACAACGAGAGGAAAAGCGCTCTGATTTTTGCACAGGAAGCCCTGTGTGCCTCCTGCCAGGGCCAGATAAGAGCGCTGCAGTTCCCAGGGCCAGACCCAAGAGTGGACCCAGGACCTAGGCGAGAGGCCCCCCATCAGCCTGGCCCAGACTGGCCCACTGTCCCTGGGCCTCCTCCGGCACGGCGTCAGGCTCGTGGTGCAGCCGGGCTGCAAAGAACAAGGGCCTAGTGAGGATCCAACCAAAACTACTGGTCTAGAGAAACACACTGAGTACAGACAGTGAAGCAGAACCAGAACAGAGCTTTACAAAGGACCACAAGTCAGTCAGCTAAGAGGCCAAATGTAATCTGCAGGGAGATTACGCTGCAATTATTCTCTCTTTGGTATGAAAGTGTAGCTTCAGTGTCAGCCTTCATGGCTTTTAAGAGAAATTGTCCTTTAGAATTTTCTACTTTAGTCTTTTATGTCAGATTGTTTAATCAGACAAAAAATGTAAATATTAAGCCACCAAGAATCAGGAAAATTTTTTAAATACCAAGCATTTACACCTTATGATCATAATGTGACCTGGCTTTAGTAGTGCAGATTTCATCTGACATCTTACTACAAACCAATCATATACGTACAACATATCCACCACAAACATGAGGTTTTATTCCTTTCAAATCTAGATCTGATGTTTTAGTGGTATGAAATATATCATCAATGTAAAGATGAAGAGGATAAAGGGTTTGCAGCGCTCAAGCCAGATTTAGTGTAACAGTGAATATAATATACTTAAGCACTGCCAGGTGGCATAAAAAGATCCTCATGTTTATTATGTCAATTATTTTTGGCTTTTGTCAGAAATGATCAACGTCATGGCATGGCGCCATGCGAGAGTGCCAGGGTCGTGGGTCAAGTACACTGATGATGTCAGTGTGTCTCAGAGGGGGAATAGAGCGTGGGCGGCTGCTGAAGTGCTCTCAGGTAATACTTAACCTTTCTGGCTTTCTCGTAAGGAACACAATAAGCATCTGACCTCAGAGAACAACTCAATCAGTGTTTCTGCCAAGTGCCTGCATTAGCACTCGCGTGTGTTTGACTTGACTCACTGACTATCTCTCCACATCACGGGGCAGGGCAATTTCTCATGAGAACTTTGTATATAGAGTGTGTGTCAGATATAAGAAAAAGCATCACAGGATGCACTGTGCAATCACAATAATAAACAGGCCTCTCACCCTGCGTCCTGGACAGGAAATTCATTAAATCATAGCGTTTGATTTCGAAACCAACAAATCGTGACTGAGAGCACGGAACTGACTTCTATTGAAGTGTGTGTTTTTTTCTCTGTCCTTTCAAGTCTGAGATACACCATGTACTGTGTCTGTGAATGTATGAGACACATACACACACACGCTCACACACACATGCATTTTTCTATGCACTTAAACAAACATATGGAAAAGGGCAGAAAGACAACAAAAATATGTGGGAAAAGAGCTGTGTGAGCAAGCAAACACACAAACACGGGCATGAAAAAGCACGTGCACACGCGTGGGTCTCAGCACAGAGTCACATACACACAGATACACACACATTTTCACACATTCCCATACATGAAAGGCCCCAAAGGCATCTGTTCTGGTTACAAGAAGGAAATGCTGTCTGAACACATGCTGAAATAGACAAAACATGTCTCGTTTTTCAAAATCTCACAGATGTACCAATGACTACCTTAAGCGTGTGTTCAGTTATAGCATTTCAGACATTTTCACTTTCAATTTCCAGAATAACGACAATACATTGCATTTGCAAATGATTAACTAATAAATCCCATTATTTCTAACGTTTGTTGTACAATCCTAATAATTGACTTACGGTATGGTATAACAACATTTTTATATCTCTTTAAAACCTTACAGCATCATTAAGGATTTCCATGGGAAAACCTGATGTTTCTCACATTGGTGACTAAATCCGCACTGATTTTAATCTTGTGTGTTACTCACAGGCCTTTGGACGGGCAGGGATGCCAGAGCCACTGGATGTGAGGAGGAGGGACTCCGTGTGACGTGCAGAGCAGGGCTTTTCTGCTCCCCCGTGGCACAGAGCCGGGGTCCTGCAGCGACACCGCTTTCTCCCCTATCTGAGGACTCACTGAGAGACGAGAAGGAGCCATGCAGGCAGAAGAGCCACGTTTAAAAGCTGTGCTGAGAGATGACAGGTAGAGCTGAGGATGTCTAATGGGTGGACACGTTAATCGATGTATCTCACCGTTGACCACGAGTGAAAGGGTGAGATTCTGGTAGAGCCCATGCTCCTTGATTCGTACAAGGACCGTGTACATCCCCGCATCCTCCTCTGCAACATCCCGAATGACCAGGGAGGTCCCATCCATGTGGTATCTTGAGCACTGCTCTGCTGCCACCATGCCATCCTTCAACCTGTTGGAGAAACAGAGGTTTTTTATTTTATTTTACAGAGAGTCAAAGTTCTCTGAAAGGTCTGGGACAATTAAATATATAGATACATCAATCTGAATTAAATAAAATAAAGAATTTAATTTGAGATTTAGATGGCAAGAATGATAATCGTTTATGAAGAAACTGCTCTGACATGTCACTAGTAAAAACAGTTATCCATGATTTCAGATTTTCTGGCCTGACAGCAGATGAATGAATATGATCCCTTACCAGATAACTTCTGGGGCAGGGAATGCTCGTAACTTAGGGGAGATTCTATAAAATTTTTGTCCTGCATGTGCCACCATCACGGATTCATTTCTGGGCTTCAGGCGGATGAATGGGCGGTCTGAAATCACATGAGGACATTTGTGATGGTTAGGAAAGTTAATATTAGATCTGCACAGCTGTTGTTAAATCTATCCATCTCAACATAGAATAAAAGTGAAACCGAAACAAAACATCATTGATGAGTAACTTGGAAATGTGACTGTGGGGTAAAGCTCTAAATGCGGTGGGATTTCAGTGGAAACACACTCACCATAGACGGTAACAGTGACTTGCTGTTGCTTGCTTTGTTCACCACTGGTGACACGGCATGTGTAGAGGCCTCTGTCTGAACGCTGGAGTTTTGGGATGGTCAGGATGCTATAGAACAACATGTGCATTGGATGTCTCAAGAGCCTTTTGGAAGTGGAGCCAGCATTACGACTCTAAAAATGGAGGGCAAATACAAATAAGGTTAACACAGACGGCTCACACGAATGTCCAAACAAGCAATCTGCAGGGCTTTTCAGTTGATCTACAGTTGCTTTTGAAACTAAATCTACTTTAATCTTTAAATGTACATTATATGTTGTCAACACTGAATAAGGCACACCTTACACATGTTTAAGAGCTAATAATTTTTTTTCCCTTTATTAAATATAGAAAAATATATAGAGTATAGAACAGAAAACCTTATAAATAATGGTTTAAGAGACAAACATGAAGAACACTCTCCATTTAGTGTCCATCAAAGGTCATTTGACATCTGAACCTGCACTTTTCTGGGTCACACTGAAAGGAAGTCTAACCTTTCCAGGATAGTCCCAGGTGATGTTGACTCTGGTGTTCAGCTCTGCAGTGGCAGTGCAGTTCAGGACCAATCGTTCTCCCCTCAGGGCCTGGACAGGGTCACTGCTGTTCAGATACACCTCCGTGATGTTGCTCACTGTTCAACATGGAACAGAAAATTGTAAAGTAAGTAAGCAAAAATCAATGGAATGTAAATAGGAAGGTATGTGTGATTTATGTCCTGCATGAGAGCCTGACCTGGTCTGTGTACAAAGTATACGCGGGACTCGTGTTTGACCCCGTGGATGAAGGTCTGGCAGAGAAATAGGCCGATGTAATAGAAGGTGGGAGTTCGAATGGTGAAGCCTTGCTTACTGTTCCAAATAATGTTCCTCTGGTCTGGACTCAGGCTAAAGCTGGGGAACTGTGTGGGAGGCAAGGAGAGGACAACACCCTTAACTTACTTCACTTTACCACAATGATGAGCACACAATCTCAAATCACAATCACAAATCTCAGATGCGATGTGAAAAGATTTCGACTCAACTCAGCTACAGTTACAGGAAAGAAAAAGTGAAAGTATGTTAATGTCCATTAAAAACAGGAAATGTGGAGGTAACATGGCCGTGCAATAATCCGAGTAATAATCCAATTCAGTTAATTGAATGTATTTGGGACTTCTTAGACGCACCAACAGACCCGTTAATGCCCTTTTTCACACTCAACTGACACCTAAGTGTGACGTATGGAGCGAGACCGGATCAGAAGTCGTCTCTTAAGACTACTGAGTTGATGCATTTTAATGTGTGGGAAAGTACTCAGATCTGATCACCTGGGACACAGGCTGAAACCAAACGTGAGCAAATACTGACCAAAAGTTATCTAAGGAACCGAAGAACCTTAAGGAGCTTTAAACCTCACCCTGACAGTCATTGGAATCTTGACACATAAACCACTTTCATACAGTTTTGCATGGCTGTGTGACATCCAGTCTCCTTCATCCCGAAGCAAAAGATAATTCAAGTTTTGGCGTTTATTTTCAAACTAAATCAATTCCAGTTTTGCTTTGGAACTATAATGAAGTGCCCAATTTGCAAAACTCAACGAAAACAAGTAAACAGGAACACATAAGCAATATAAAACACTAACAAATCTGCATTCACTCCATAGCTGAATTTAGCTTGTGATTCAGCATTGCTCGGTTTGGGTTTCAATTCTTTTTTCCACCATAAGTGACCGATCTAGCTCAAACTGCAGGGAAACACAAGTTTAAATTTGTGCAAATTTGATCCATCCTGAAGACCGAAGTTGGTTTCACTCTCACAATGTTGGTTTTGTAATTCTTGGCCATGGACACTTGTGTAACTGACAACCTTGTTGTTTTCTTGGAGGCAGCTACAAGGAAATGTTTTTCTGCGACACAGTGGAAGCCTCCCACCCTCTCTCTGGGGAGCAGGTAGACCCCCCCCCCCTCACCATCACTGTTACACACTTGCTTTTCCCACTCCTGCATGCCGAGTGTGAACTCACTAATATCCATCCTCCCAGACTGAGATGATCCTCTGCGACGCCAGAGAACCCCCCCCCCCCCCCGCCTTCCCGCACAGTCCTGTGAAGTAGATCCTTCCTTCTACATCCTCCTTCTGAACTCAGTGACGCCCTGTTTGACCACCATTTGTGCCCTCTGTGCCCCTCTTACATCCATCCTCTAGCCCTACTGTAAATGGAGACAAAGCAACAGTGGGGGCAGTAGCAGGGGTGGAAGGGCAGGAGGAGGGGCAAAGAAATCAGGATATGTGAAACGTGACTCCGCTCCATCCCGTTGCATCCTGTTACTACAGGATATAGACCTTTTGACTGGAACCCCAGGTCAACCCTGTCGTCCCAGACCTCACTTTCATGCCTTGAGTGAGAGAGCTGAACCTCACGGGCATTGTTCCCGCTGACAAGGGTCAGAGCAGAGACCTAGGCGAAGTGCAAAGTCCTTCCAGGAAAAAAACACTCCAGAGGCTCTGAGAGTGAGTAGATTCCTGGTGAAAGCGGGCCAACTCGGGGGGGAAAAGGAGGGCGATGGAGGAAGAGGAGGAGAGTTATTTTTAGAGCAATTACCTTAGGCGTTCCAGGGATTTGTCAGGAGATGGAGGCAGGACAAAAACATGTGTGTGTAGATATGACAGGTAGTGCCCGGTGCATTCCACTATGTTATTATTAGTTTATCAAGTTTTTGAAAGTTCCAAAACAATTTTCTTGTTTTCCTTTTCCTCTGTAAGACTTTGATCACACACAGCCAATCTTGTTGAGCATTAGCTTTTCCCCTCATGATTAATGTTTCTACATTAAAGTAATGAACAATAAGTAATCGAAAGATTGAAAACTCTCCTTTAGCAGTAAAGAGCAATTCTTTAGACTAACATTTGCATCTGAAAAGTATGGTATCTCTGTTTTTCACAACCTTTACCAGGAAAGGTTTCTCCTCCAAAACCTAACAAAATGGGTCTTCAGAAACATATTCACCCTGGTCAGAGGGGAGAAATCATCATATTTTCTGTTGACATTTCTATGTCTTTGGTCTTCATCAGAGTAGTTTTACTTGTTTTGAGCTAAAGTATCTTTTATCTTTAACTTTATGTGCTACCTTGCTTAATTCTTTTACACCAACAATGTATATCTTATTAATAGTGTATGAGCAGGGTAATGCAGATGAGCAAAAAAGATGGGATTTGAAGTAACAGGTAAACGTTTAAATTGATTTGACCACAGCCAATTTTCAATGTTTTCTAATACAATAAGTCCTGATCATTCATTTTGAGAATTGGCACTTCCATGTGCTGGAGCCTAAAGTAAACAGCTCAGCTTCCTTCAGCAGGGCAGCCAGCTGTTTAAGGCATCAGTTGGAGAAAGTTGGCAGATGGAGGGTAAGATTTTGGGAAGTTGTGATGGCCAAAAGCCAACGGGCCACTCCAAGTCCTATCTCCAGAGGTGAAAAACAGCCAATAGCGGCTCTTGTTCTGTCTGACAAACGTCGGTGTGGAAAGGGGCACTGGCAAGAAACGTGCATGCAACCACATGTAACACTTACACAAACATGCACTGATACACATGCAGACAGTAAGCACTCTAAATGCTTCCGTCCGCTCCCCTCACTCAGCACTCAAGTGCCAATACTCACAAACATATCCGCACACTTTCACACATATCCGCAGACGGACACAAACAAACGGACACACACGCCACAGTGCAATGGCTGCCAAGGCAAGAACAATGTGGCCAATGATCTGGACAGAGAGAAACAACTGAATGGTACATTGTGCGTGCATGGAAAAAAAAAGGAACAAGTAATGATGTTCACAGTGCATGAGTGGAGGAGATGAGCCGAGCAGGACAAAGTGTGATGCAAGCGTTTCCATCAATTAGAAAACCAAACGTGAGTAGAAAGGCGTTAGAACTGGTGCACATAACAGGCATCGTGACTCCACTAACCTTGATCAATGTGGTGGTGATGTTGGGATTGGTGACCCGGCAGGGGATGACCAGTGGCTCTTTCACCTTCATGTACAGCACGCCCGGGCTCATGGCCGTGTGTTCCACAAATGGCTGCCGGCTGTCTGAAAGCCAAACACTGCGGTCAGGGATGCACATGACACACATAATAAGCATGCAAAAATAAATGCACAGAGTTTCACGAGGAACATAAAAAAGTAAAACGGTAGAAAAATTGCTTTTGAGGGAGCCACTCTGATAATACAACCTTATTCTCACCCACGCTTGGTGATAGGATGCTTTTTGAACTCATCCATTTCAGCGCTGGATTTGATCATTACTCTTAATGTTTCAATTCAATTTCTGTCTTGTTCATTAAAAGTTTGGATAATTTCTCAAAATATTGATCGATGATCATCTTTATGAACTCTTATAGTTTGGAAAATAAAATGTTAGAGGTATCATTGATGTTTTTAATGTAACCTAACTGCTCCCTTATCAATGACTTTGATTAAACTGAGCTTCGTTTAAAGGAATATTTATGGCATTTTATAAAGAATATTTGTTTTTTTTTTATCCGTAGAACAGAGTTAGCTTTTCAATGATTTGGCAGGTATCAGCATGTACCTTTAACTCATAGCTAAGAATAGATTTAGCATTAGAGAAAGCCAAACAAACAACGGATGAAGTGTCAAAAGTACAGAACTTGTGCTGCTTTTTCATTTTTGAGTGTTGCTTTTAAAGACGCTTAATGAACTTATGCAGGGCTGTGTGCATCATTTCCGAGCATAAAAAAAGGATTGCTTCACCTTCACCGCCCCTCTACATGCAGGCAGGATGATGATTGCTGCAGCAAAAATGTGCAAAATGCACAACCAGGATTTGGTTTCTGAACTGCGACAGGGGGCAGTACAATGGACTTCAATTTAAAATGAAAGTAAGATACAGACTGTGTTGACTCTACAGAGTGAATGAATGTATCTGATGAGTGCATGAGACACATGCATTCAAAACGAATCTAGTAACTGCTACATACTCCCAGGGTACAGCTAAAACACACTGCAAACTGTGTTGGACCATAGTTCTAGATGACCACAGCATTCTGAGTCAGTTTGGTTTATTCCTGACTGGACAGCCGATTGAGACAGACCTGACAGTTCTCTAGAAGTTGCATAAAATCAAGCAACCTAATCTCCATTTTTGTCCTCTGTTAATATGTTCTAATCAGTAAATGTTGGTCTCTGTTTGGCTCAGAGCAGCAACCTAATAAACGCGTGCACCCCGGCGTTGTGATACGACTATCACTGATCACAACTTTATTCGAGTTAGTTGGAACAAACAGAATGGCATTAAACACTAAACCTCTACAGTCATGCGCAGCAAGAAAGCATTCCTGGATTCCTGCACAAACACACCGACCAACAATCATAGACACACATTTCGAAGAATCTAAACAATAAACAAAAACAAACAAACTTACACTGTCCAAACATACACCGTCCTCCACACCCATTCGTTGAATACCCATTCACCAAATGGCTGTGTGTAGTCAACAATAAACACACAGATTGTTTGGAGGCAATCAAAAGGCCTCTCTGTGTTTTCTCCCCTCAGATCGACTACTGTAATAGTTCTGTGCCATTCAAAGGTGTGGGTGTTGCTCCCTGTATTGTTTGGGACCATAGGGTGTTATTCAAGGAAAGCAAATCTCTGAACATTTGAACAAAAGTACCCCAAGGACTAGTAGACTGAGGGCTTCCTTCTCTTGCTTTGATTCCTAATAGAGGACTCGCGGAGGGAGGCAACATCTGAGCAACTCTGCAGGCCAAGTCTGACGCTTAATGGACATGGTGACCTGAGCGATGGATGGCCCCCGAGGGTCCTTTTGGCCAAACAGTAGCGTGCCCTGTGACCCTGGCCCCCAGCCAGGCTCCGCGCCTTATAGGGCTCGGCCTGAGCAGCGTCCACTTCCAGGACAGGGAGGAGCTGGCCTGGCAGACATCGTGCCTCCTCTGCCCACTGGATGAAACCCAGCGGCTGGCCTTCATCTTACCTCCCTCAACTCCACACACACACAAACACACATGCACACACACGCACGCTTTCCACACGCTGCCTCAACACCACCTCGCAGAAGCACAGTGACATCCCCCCCCCCGGCTCACCGCCTCCAGAGCCCTTCCCCTCCTCCCCCAAGCACAGGATGCTTCAAGCAAGGCTGAGGCGAGCAGATAAGGCTGATGCCCTGGGAAACTCTGCCCGGGCCTGAGCCTTTCAGCAGCCGGGCTATTTCTGTCCCCGAGGTAGCACGTAAACGAGAGTAAAAAAGAATTTATATATAGACAAGAGGGAGGTGGGCCTGGGATGAGAAAGGCGAGGCAGGGGAGGACTCGGGTGAAACAGTGCCAGAGTCATCTAGAAGGATGTGTTGTTGGGACAAACTGTGTTTAGATATAATTGGCTCTCTGGCATTGGTCTGTATTTAGCACCCACCGCGTCCTGTTTAACGTGAGGGAATAAACAATGAGTGTGATGGGGTGAAGGAAGTGAGGGTCTTTTCGTGGAGCACATGAGAGAGTCGAGGCCCTATAAATAGGCGGGGAGCACGTTGACATGCGTGCTGGTGGATCTCAGTGGTCTTACCTGTGACATACACGTAGACGGAGGCCTGCTTCTGGCTCCTGTGGCGGTACCGGCAGCGGAACAGGCCGGTGTGCTGGGCCTGGCTCCGGCTGACCCGCAGGCGGCTGCAGAACTGCTGGCTCGTCCTCCCACAGCGGGAGGCCTCCACCTCCACCCGATCTCTGTCCAAACCTGCCGGGAACGCCCAGGATAACTCCCAGCGACCCCTGGTCAAACAGTGACAGAAAACGCTGTTCAGCTCTCTTTGTCTAAGAATTGTTTTACCTTTGTTGAGTTGAAGTAGTGGGATTATCAGAAAATGTACAATTTAGAAGGTTCGAATTCAGGGGACTGCCTTGAGAATATGTTAAAACAGACTTTTCATATCTAAACACCCTAATTTGTGTGTTTTTGTGGTTGTACTGTTTAGGAAAGTGCTCCAAGACTCTCTAATATCTGCAGTTTTCGAAATCTTTCTGATTATTTCGAATTTCTCTGAGAATATCTGAAAATAAGCGATAAACTATCACAAGGAACAAGTACAAAGATAACAATCATGAGACTTGATTACTTTCCTGGAAAAGAAACAATAACACTTATTACAGTTGAGAAAAACAGACGTTTCTCTTAAATTACCAATAAATTGCTTCCTTTAAAAAAGTCAAGGGTCCCAAAAGAGATATAATTTTTTTCCAATGTCTATCATCTGACTCTTAAACCTGCTATTTTAATGAAAGTGCTTTTTTCTTTTAAGATTTCTGGCACAAGTCACAAAGATTGCCTGATCCTGCCCCAGCTCCTTTTGGTTTTTCCTGCTTTCACGTGCACCTGCCTGAAACTCACCTGCAGTTGAGCAGCAGTGTCTGGTTGGCCTCCAGAACCAGCTGCCGACTTTTTACATCCAGAAGAGGGACGCTGAATTTCCCCTTTTGATCTTTATCTGGAGAAGTTAGGAGAGAGGATGGGGATACAGAAGAAGATAAGTGACAGAAACGCCCTTCCAGTGAGCAGCACCCCCTCTCCAGATGCTCCACGGTGCCTGTAACCTTCCTCAAATCTTGTTTTGACCACATGTGGAAATGCGTAAGCAGCGTCCTGATTGTTTATCAAATAAAACAATTTCTCCACTTCACTGCTGAGATGTCTCAGTCGATGAGAGATGAACACGCTTGTATGTCCACCCTTCCTTCCTACCAACAATAGCGGAAACATCTTTCAGGAGTATGTCCTTCACTCTGAATACCCCACGAAGGGTGTACCACATCGGCTCCAACCACAGTCGTCCCTCTGCTCTGTGAGAGGTTAAATCAGTGGTCAGGCTGTTAGCAAATTCATCACCTGTCAGCATCATTGTTCCCAGTGGATTCCCCATTGAGTAGATGTGGTCTTACTCACACTGCTAGCACTTCCTATTCTATTTCCTTGGGTTTCTCAGTGTGTGAGAAGGTGTGCATATACAGTGTTAAGGAAGATGGAGGGGAAGTCTGTGATCTCCTCTGGGCCCTTTGTGGCATGTTTAAGCACAGTTTTCCTGCTACTGTATTGAAAGTCCCCATGAAGTCTGCTGGGTTGTTAGAGTTACGGTATGATATGACAACTAGCATCCAGAAGGAGACAGGAGAGCAATATTAAAAAAAAAGAAAAGTTGGTTCTGACATTAGGAAGGAAATGATTCATGATCATATTTGCAGTAAAAGCAAGATAATGAATCATGTGGAATGACTGTGGCAAGGTTCTCACATGGTTAACAAAGTGAGAACTAACATGACTAAATGAAATATAAGATATAATATATACAATGTAAAATTATAATATAAATAATAGTACAAATTTAACAATATACAAAAACACATTTTTTTCATTTTAATGTGAACTGTCTGATCCTTTTCTGCTAAATTTAGTATCACAGTATCAAATGTCAAGAGCCTGGAGAGAAAACATGCCAAGGAAATTAATCTACGTGAGAAATTTTAAATGTGAGCGTTTTTTTCTGCCCTCTGAAAACAATGGTTAGAGACAGATGTTATCATCTTCATCAAAACCACCAGTGTAATTTACGATTAAATCACATGAAAGTGTATGAATTAAGATAAACTTTTGCTTCAGTAATGTGTACATATGAATGATGAGACTGTATATTAATCTTAATATCCAGTTTTAAGATATGTTTTTTCTATTTTCTATGTATTGACTTTATGGATGACTAAACGGACATTTGGATTTATTTAATATAATGATCAGTGGAGGAAATACACAGAAACTTCACGGCTCTTCTTCAAAAAATCCTACACAGATTTTTTTTAAACATTTACTTTGATGGCCACACTGATCAATAGGCACAAGTTTTTGTAAAGATTTCTTTTATACAAACATCCGAATAACATCTTGATTTTCAGGTAAGGAGCAAAATACAACATGTGTAACATAAAATAACTCAATAACTATTGAAACAATAAGGTGTTGACACACAACACATGCAAAACCTATTTTTCCTTATAAACTTTAACTGTATTTAAATACTTAAAGAAGTGTTACAGTTTAAGGGGTAATTTGTATGCAACAACACAGCAGCAGCAATCTTTGCGACTATTTCACCCTATCGAACATATGAAACCGCTCTTCACAGTCGATATTTCCCAATATTTTCCACAGTACTTCATCGTCAAAACCTCCGTATTACAAACTGATCAACTCCAGAAAACGACGCCCTTCGTTCTCAGCTCAGAGGTCCGCAGTATCCAAACAAGTGTTCCCCTGGATGAGGCGCATTTCTCGCCTTGACTAGCAGCCATATCAGAGGGTTACAAGGTGAACATATTTAACCAACCTCGACACAGAAAAGTCCATATTTTGGTGTCATCTGCCTTTGTAATCGGAGCCACGTGATTTATTTGCAAAAAGCGTGCGTAAAATAGAACTTCGATAGGATGCACTTTCTATGTTTAACTCATAGCGCGTCAGAATTTAATGAACGAGAGTCCATATTGATGATTTGTTTTTACTGTATGACTTACATATAGTGAAACATTGTTAATGAAAAGCTAGTTGTTTGTACATCTTACAGCGTAATACACTTAGCCTAATTAACCATCACTCACCTTTTCCAAACACCCCATACAATCCACAAAGCAGGCAGAAGAGAATTAAATTCATCATTTCTGGTCACTCCGGTGAGGCAAGCCGATTTTGAAAACAACGCATAAAAAGTTTTAGTCCTGCGGGAAATTTCTCCTCCACGGCGGGGCTCCAACACAACGCAGCGCAGCCGGCCGCTGCGCCGGGAGGTGATGGTCAGGGAATGGACACGGTTTCCTGAGACTGGCTGCGGGAGATCACGCCACAGAACGCCACGCTTGAACTCCAGAGCAACTTTTTCCCATGGTTTATGGTGGAGAAGCCGATTTATAATGTTCCCACAGTACAGACACCGGATGATTGACTTCCGTTACGTCGACTGGCACACCCACGGTGCGTAACAGCCTTCAGTTCTCCTCGTTTATCAACCGAGCAACGAGGTGTCGATGAAAGAACATTTTGTAACCTTAAATTGACCATTTAAAAATAACTTTGAGTTTGCTTTTTCTTCACAATCCCTATAATAACACGAACGGGTCAGATACAGGATTGATGCGTAAAATGAGCTCAGCAGTCACATTACTGCACACAGCGGTCGGTCCACGGGATGAGCAGCACGTAGGCAAGTGGAAAACGTGGGGGTTCTAATCAGTAGAATGACGAATGCATCCCTCACATTTCAAACTGTATTTTTTTCTTTGGAGGAAAAAAAATTGGAGATGGTGTGGCACGATCCACAACTAAAAACTATTATCTAAGGTATCTTTTGCTTTGAGTTTCCTCAGTATGTCTTATAAACAGAGGCATCAATCAAACTTAATTAACACATATTTCTAGGCAAAAAGTTGAAGATGGGAAATAAATAAAATGCCAGATTTAACCGTTCAAGAAAGGTTAAAAGAGAGAGAAAACCATCAAAACACCAGTTTTGTAGGAACATATACATGAAGACCCAAGTCATTTGGGTGAAAGGGGTGTCTTTAATGTAAAGGAAAAAATACCACTGATTAATTCTGTGACTGTAAGATGCACCATTCCCTCAGGATATAGTTTTTGCAATGGTAAAGATGGACCACTAGGTGGTGGGGTGAGCTGAATGGGAAGGGAGAATAAAGAGAAATGCAAGAGTCTGTACAGAAATAAATCCTAAGGTTCTCTTATTTGTTCCTTACAAAAAACAGCAACTGCATTACGATGTCCCAGGGAAGGTAACCACTGTCCTCATTAATGATTAACGGAGACAGTGAAAGTCCCCCCCCCCAACAGGGAGCTGTTCACTTTTCTAGTAGATTATAACAGAGGGTTTAAGTCAAAACAAAACCAGTGAGCCGTGACAGCACACAGAAGCACGCAGCACATAGACACAAGAGGGCCAAAGGCCAAAAGAAGATACATGTCAGGTGAGAACTTTTACACGTTTAAATAAAAGACGGATCAGATTTTTGTGGAGTGCAAAGCTAAACCAGAAAATATTAGCAACATTTACATTAAATGGTTAAATCATGTCTCGTATTCAAGGATACCTGTAATGTAACCCAAGGTAAAATTGGCTCAGAACAGAGATTTGGACAATATTGTCTTCTTGCATGCGGTCTAAAACTCTGAAGCAAGTCCACTCTCCAAAATGGCATGTAATCCCCTGCTTTTTATGTTACTGAATTGGGTTCCAGATAAGCATCTAGTTTTGCTATTCAGCTAACTGCATTTGCAGTCTGGGGTTTCAGGATGTAAAATATTTCTCACAAAAGAGGTAAAGGTAGTCTAAAAACTGCCTTAAATCAGAGCTAGAGAGCTCTCTGTTCTAAATGTTTTTGTGTTTGGCAGAGATTTACTTGTTTTTCTGAATTGTGTCTGTTCTTCATGGATAAGGAAGTATATCAAAGAGAACACTAGACTTGAAGAATGAGAGCTGAAGGAAAACTGCAGGTGTTCCCACTGAGAGGGAAATGCTGCTGCTAAGAGTTAGATATGCTCATTTCAGTTTTGGAAAAAATCAATTTTGGTCTGTTAAATGAAAGCTTATTATTGGGGACCTAATAATAACCACCACTCTCCCATAAATGGTGTTTTATATCCACAAATTTACCCAGATGGAGCAAGCAAGACCAGTCAGATGTGTATTATATTTAGAGTTGAAAGACCTGCTCTGAGTGTCCTGCAGTCAGCAAATGGGTGTTTTTTTTTAAAAATCTGGCTTGCTACTTCTGTACGAACATTTTGAAGATATTCAAAGCCTATGACATCTAAGCAACCCAGCATTCACAGAGGGAAACAGTGATAAGGCATATCCAACCACAGGTGGTGAGCATTTTTCTGTCCTTATCTACGTTTAGCACCTTTTCTTAGTTGGAAAAAACAAATGACTCTAAAGTCTCACTCGAAAATTGACACTTTTTTTCTCTTTCTAATTCATCATTGATGTGTTTTATACAGGGTTGTTTTTATTTTCCTGCACACTTCATCATCAAAATTCCTTCCAATTCAACAATCCCCTTATAAACTGAGGCAAAATGTTCTTTTTAAAGAAAAAGGGGGGGACAGGCAGGAGCAAAAATGAACTTTTCACACAGCCAGCATTACATGTGCTGCAGCAAAGAAGAGCTTAACCTCCCTCTAGTGTTGAACCTAAAAACAGGCCGGATGCCGACCCTAACGCCATAAAAACAAAACATATCCCCCACAATAACAACAGCCACGCTGCAGTCAAGTGAAAAATTCTAACAAGGAAAAAGACCATGTGGTATTTGGTCATATAGAAAAAACATGTTGACCGCTTGATTGTCCTAACTGTCTGTTTCGAACAGTTTCTGACACCATATCAGGTGGTTTACTTACAGTGTGGCGAATGCAGCTCAGTTGATGCTTCAAATTATAAAAATTTGAGAAAAAAAACATTGATTGAATAGATACAGCTTTTGGATAAAGAAAATAAGTAACTATTGGTGACAAAGCACAATTAAATATCTGTATACCCACACATTGGTGGTACTGGTAATACCGTAAACAATAATTTGTCAGTTTGCTCAAGCATTTCAGTCAAGCATTTAGATGCAAATCCAATTTTAGTTTGATAGAGACTTTGACCTATGTTTTGTGCATGCTAATGTAGTTTCTGCTGCTGCTGACAGTCAGGATGCTGGTGGGATTGGAGATGGGATGGTGCTCCCTCTGGTCCGCTGCTTTCAATAAATCCCAGTAAACTGACTGAATGTGCCGCCGGGACCACATTCTGAGGACAACCTTAAGGACTGAAACCGTCGCCATGTGTGTGAAGTCTGTCGCTTCTCACATGAGAGCGAGATGCTCTGTCACACCTGCCCTTTGGTCTGCTGACGGATCCAGTCAGTAAACTTGACCACCTGTGTGTAAACGCCAGGACGGTTCTGCCTGGCGCAGCCCTCGCCCCAGCTCACAATCCCCGCCAAGAACCACCGCCTGCCTCGTTCAAGACACACCAACGGACCTCCTGAGTCCCCCTAAGGGCACACACATCCATTAGTATTTAGATTAATGTGATGTAATGATCATAAAAGGAAACACACATTTATATCTCTCTGATTCTTGACTGTGTTCCAAAAGATCCATACTCAGCTCTACATTATACTTTGAGGAAACACACTCACTATTCAAGCACTCCATAAATTCCCACTTGAAATAAAAGAGACTCCCTTAATACACACAACGCGGCTGTAATCTAGTCAGAATTGACCGTAAGCATAAACCAGCTAATGCATTTCGTCATAATAGATTAAATCATAAAATTTCTCAGTTAACCAATGCGTATCCACAAATTTGCAATTAAATTTCCAGCAGTATACATCTACCTGGCAAGCATCCACTCCACCGTGTAGGTTTCCGGCGCACAGCATTCTGGGAGTGACAGCATCATCATACAGTTTATTACAGGTGTTCCTGTTTATGATCTTCACTGAAGCCTCTTGCAAGCGAGAGGCCAGATCTCCTTTAATGAACAAAAACACAAGAAATTTGTTGGGTGGACGTTATTTTTAATATCTAACAATCCATCCGTCCATTTTCTGGCACGGTCACACAGATACAAACAACCACACACACTCACAGTCACTCCTAGGGGCAATTTGGAGTGTCCAATTAACCTAACAAGCATGTCCGTGGAGATTACGAGGAAGCCCGGAGACAACGCACAAAGAAAGGACAAACCCAACAGTCTTTAATTGAAAAACACTGTCAGTTTGCTTGCTCCTTACCGTCTTCCATGAGAACGCCCCAGCCTGTGACGTAGCAGCTGGTCCCGGTGGTGAAAGAGTGCGAGGACGCGGGAACACACACCGGCTGCACCAAATCGTTGAAGAAAACCGGTGCGCTGAGCTCCAGCAGGGCGATGTCGTAGTCGGAGGTGAACTGGTCGTACTGCGGGTGCAGCAGGATCCGGCGGACCAGCCTGGTGGCGGCTCCCTGGTTCCCCCTGGTCATCACGCGCATCCCCATGTACGCCCGCCAGGCCCGGGCATCTGAGTACCTACAGACACACTCAGCATGAATACATGAACACAAGAGCAGTCAAGGAGATTAAAAAACATTTTGGGGGGGTTTTTACTTGATGGCATCTGAGTCCTGGAAGCAGTGAGCTGCGGAGATGAGCCAGCGATTGGAGACCAGCGTGGCTCCGCAGACGTGTCCGTATCTTTCCATCTGGAGACTGACCTGCCAGGGCCACGACCCCGCCACGGCATCGGACCCCCCGACGATCTTGGTCCGTTTCCTGGGCCTGGTTCCACAGCCTGGGGGACAGAGGAGGAACGGAAGACAAAAGCCTCACCTCCAAAGCGGCAGCAGCTCAGACCAGAGGTGTTTTGTCGGTTGGGAACTCACCGCAGCGGAGTTCATCGGAGCCGTCTGAACAGTCCTTCACGCCGTCACACTCAGGGTTGACTTTACTCACACACTTTCCATTGAAGCATTTGTAATTGTATGGAGAGCAACCTTTGACATCTACATTGAGAGAAAGACTTCAGTAGTAGAAAATGAAACTCCCTTTAACTGTGTACGGTCGTAAAACACCATAAAATAAACGCTCACATGCTCTGGTGCAGTTGAGCTCATCGCTGCGGTCTTTGCAGTCTATGAGGCCGTCACACACCGACGACTTGGGCAAACACACCTTGTTAGGACACACGTGGTAACATTTACCTCCTGAGAAACAAAGACAAAGCGATGCGGAAAGTGGGACCTAAGCACCGGGACCAGACGCTCATGTTGCTGGTTTATGGGTGCATGGACTCACCACAGGTGCCTTCCTCGCTGCTGTCCGCACAGGAGCTCTGACCAGCACACTGGCTGCTCTGAGGTTTGCACTGGCCATTCCCACACAGCACTTCCCCTGGCCTACAGGACGCTAAATGTTTAAAAGAAATCTGTGTTTAGCACGAGGTTCAGCATCATTTTTACAGTTGCACAAGTTCACATGCTGTTGAACGTTTTAGAGGAAGATGGAAAAGCACTGTTTGCAATTCAAACTTTAAATCAAATTCAACCTTGATTTAAACTTTAAAAACTAGAAAGACAGAATAGCAAGTGCTGAGACAAAAATGTTAAAAGCCCATTTTAAAACAAATAAATGCTTATCATAAACTATTTGTGTTGCCATCATCTCCCTTAAAATGTTACTTAAAAAGCTGCATATCTTACTCAGAAATAATAGTGCCTTGTAAAATGTGGAAGGAACAAATACCAGCTTCCCTTTTGCTTGTGTTTGAATATAACACTGCATTCTCTGAAACTTTGGTTAATCTTGTATAAATAAGATAATGAAATTCTTTGCAATTTTTATATGAGAAAATATGTTGTAGCATTGTTAAAGTTCTCCCAATATTCTGTTTTATCAATAATTTAGATATGTTGACATTTGCATGAGGGCTTACAGCATTTAGCCTCGTCCCGTCCGTCTGAACAATCCTTCACTCCATCACAAACCTTCCTCAGAGGGATACAACGGCCATCTCCACAGCGAAACTGGCGAGGGCAAGCTATACAGGGAAAGCAAGAATGAATGTATTTCCTTTTTTAAAAGAAACACGAAAAATACATTGTATTTGTGAACGAAATACATATTTACGACAAGAAAGGGTCCACTTTGTTGGTTTGTATTCTCACAAATCTATTTTATCAGAACAAATCCCTACAGCATCAGGTCGGACTTACTGCCCTCTGGAGAGAAGGCTCGGTACAACAAGTAGAAGCCCCTGTAAGTCAGAGATTCATCCGAGTGGAAGTGGATGGTGAGAGGAGAGGAGTACACTCGCTTTTTGCTGCTGTCTGATATTGGATTACACATTCTAGAAGAAAAGCAGCAGAACAACAAAGAAATACGGGCCGTTTTAAATCATGAGACAAAACAATGTAGCAGGTAAAATGAATGACGTGAACGTTTCTGAAACGAGTTCAGTCCGACAACTCACTTCACTCCACCGATCTCCAGCCAGTCTTTCTCACAGCCATCGGACGATGAGGAATCCTGAATGTCCATCGTTACGATTGTCATAGAGATCAGGTATCCTGGCAAGGGCACCTGGTAAAGTAACCACAGACGTCTACTGAAAGGGCCGGGATGTTGGAATGTTGTCAGACTGCCTAACTGAAGGAGCATTCCCTTTGTTCCCATCGGCTTCATGTGCTATTTTAAATTCAAACATGCACAGACTAGAGACACAGATAAAACCTTTGCAGGGCTCACCCGTAGAGTCCAAGTGCAGTCTATATTGGGGGGATAATAGGAGGGGTAGTACGGGGAGGACACAGAGCCATTCCAGGAGGAAATGGATCCCCCACAACCTGCAGGGGGAGACAAGGAGAATATGCAAAAAAAACACACAAAGAAATGCTACTTCTGCTATAAAAGATGCCGAACCAATGAAAATGTTGGTGAGACATTTGAAAATAGGCCCTCACTTGCTCTTGGAACGGCCTGGAAGTACGCTTTAAAGATTGCTCCATCTCGTTGTCGGCTGAAAGAGAAAGTGACCAACATCACGTTGCCCGAGGACATCAGCTTCATGACCGGTGATGAGCCTGAAATAGGCAGCCCGCACCACCTAAAAGGGCCAAACACAGGGAACCATTTGGATTTTAGGAGTGTTGTCTGGGTTTGCCAAGGGAGGGTCAGTTACTGCATTGCAAACATTCGCACATCAAGTTCCACCAGGTTCTTTTACCTGGCAATTATCTTGTTCTGCAGTGGCAGTAGGAAGTCGTAGGCAGAGAGCTTGTGGGCAGCACAGCTTCCTGGTGTCGCACCGTGAAGGGTGAGGACGACCAGCCGAACCACGTGACCCGACGGCACCCGGAGGCGCCACTGGTAGTATGGCTTTTTAGGGCTCACAAGGCTCAGAGTGCGGTTGTTCCCATATTTGGCATAGAGATCAAAGGACATTGCTAGACAGAGGAAAAATAGCAGAATTATTGTTTTAATTTGATTACTACATATATAGTTTGATTAAATGGTGATTTAGAGAGAATAGCATCTGATTCATACTCATAGAGATGGTTTCTTCTTATTTCATTGTGGTCAGGGAAACAACTTTCTATTGTACTGTACCGCGATTTAAATGATCCGACTGTACATTTTCTGGTATTCTCATAACAGACACTATCCCTACCTTGGAATCCAAGCTGCCATTTCCCACCCTGGATACTATTTGGACTTTTCATTTTATCAGATTTTTCATCTGACTCAAAGTCATCAGGATCCAAACCTGCAAACATGCAGCAGATTTTGAAAAACCTTTTCAACTCATACGATGCATACTGTAAAACAAGCTTGTATGAATTGCATCTTTGATCCACATATTGTGACAGCAGCGCAGATCTCTACCCAGCAGGTTGAGCGTGTCGTCATCTGCTTCCATATAGAAGCGCTGCTCGTTGCGTCTGTCCCGCTGCACCTTATGCGTGCCTGGGAGCCTCCGCTGTAGCCTCTCTGGGCTGGACCTCTGGATCTCCATGGCAGCGTCGCGGGGGGCAGAAAATTTACTCCAATAGAAGACATTGAGCCCCTCTGCTCCTTCACTGTCACATAAAGAGGCGTAAAATGTTGCTATTTCAGCGGGGACGCGTGTCTGAGGACGCTGTGATGGCTCCTGACGTACGTTCAGGAGTAAAAACCACCGGACTTTGCTTTGTGTCAGTGGGTTTTGTTTTAGGTGCAGCCTACCTGAAGGCAGTAATTCCTGAGTGCAGGTAGTAGGAGCTCCATGGGGTGGACTCATAGAGCTCTGAGAACTGTTTTTAGAGGAAATGAAGAGTAAACAACACATGAGAGGGTTGCACCTCACGTAAAGGCAACATACAGTATTCTAATCATGCCTGGTCGAGCCGGAGCTCAACAAAAGCTTTGCTCTAGTGTGTGCGTGTAGAAGACTGCATGTGTGGATGCTGACTTTGAGCACAGAGGTCCATTGTCTCTGTTGCTGCTGCCAGTGTTGAGGCAGGATTCTGAGTGGTATGGGCTTCTTGCTTTCAGATTAATTAAGAGGTGACCGCAAATATTCCATGGCCAGTTACCCCCCACGACAGCCTCACAGTCCCAGCTGGTTACACGGACAATTAACTAGGTCAGGGCATAGTTCAGGTGATCCCCGTCCAGCGCCTGTGCACCTGCAGCTCCCTCAGAGCATCCACCTCCACCCTTTCTTTTCATCTCTGGTCCTCTGTCATCCCGGCTTGCCCTACTGCCCTGTCTCTCCCTCCTCACCCAGCGGCATCAAACAGGGGGTTTGCCCGCTCGCAGCGGTGTACAGCACACATAGGGCCCGATTGTGTGAAAGCTACACAGACAATGTTTTTATTGAGGGCCTGCTCTTCCTCTCACTCCTGTTGCCTGGGCCAGAATAAGCTCACAAATGGCAGGCTTGTCCTAAGACCTGAAAGGACCCTGTCCCCAGGGGTCTCGGGAACTTGCGCACACACTGTGCACAGCTCCTGTTTCAGCTTTACATTTAACACCACCTGAGAGACACAGAGAGGGGCAGAAGAGAGAGGAACGGTGCACAAAAAAAGACGAACAGAGACAGACAAGAGTGTCTGGAGAAGATAAGGACAGACCCATCCGGTGTGCACGGAGGAGGAGGGAGAAAGAGGGCATCAATGTTTTGAAAGCAGCCCATAAGAACACCGACAGCGTGCTGTTGTGAAGCATATCAAAGTTAGAACAACAAGATCAGCCTCAGGCGGGAGCAGGAAGGTCAAGCAGCACTCTAGTGTGTCATTCAGAGGGGAGGCAGTGACAGAGAAGCTCTTCGTTCCACTTACATAATGGTTTAAAGCCTGGGCCTGCAGGCGGAACTCGGGGGAGGTGGAGTTTGTCAGCTCTGAGGAAAAGCTCAGGTTTGGGAACTCCACGCTGCCCCCCAGGAAGAACACTGAGCAAGGTGGAGCTGGAGAGGAGGGGAGGGAGAGGTTAGAGACAGGTGCACTGTGAGACTCAAAATAAATCCATCCGAAAGGGAGGAGAGGGCTCTGAGACTCACTCACAGATAACAGGGCTGCACTCACATGTTAGGAAGTGGAGAGTCAGTGCAATGGCGGCAGTGAAGGGAAAGAAAGGCAGGACACCCAGCATCCATCTCCTCCAGGAGCAGAACGCTGCTGCTCGCACCCCCTCCACCGCCTGCTCCGCCCGGGGCTTTGTGGAGGGGGTCCGCGACTGGGCGGGCTCCCTTAACTCCCCGTTTCCCTTTCAGACACCAGGGTGTGAGTCACAAAATTCAAACAGGCGTTTAAAATCTCAAATTCCTCCCAACTGTCATTTTCAAGTGAGCAATAAATGAAATGCATCCCCCCCAGTTAAAAATCAATGAGTCATGGATCTTTTTTTTATGGCTGAGCAGAGACTTCTTTTCTGGCAGCGGTGATGAGCATCGTTTAGCCGAAACGATCTCCTGAAACATTTAGAGTAGGCCGGATTCCCTGGGGAAGCAGACAAAGCAGGGCTGGAGGGGTCCGCTTTCCCACGGCCTGGTTCCGCAGTGTCAGCACTCAGTCAACCTGTCATGGACATTTCAGGAGAAACAAACCCCAAATACCTCCAAAGGTGGATTTAAAACATTTTTTTTTTATCAAGGTGGGGCTATTTGGATGGGTTTATTTTTTTCTTAAAAGAAACATCCGCTTGGCTCTAATAGGCACAAAAGATGCACGACATGATGAGAACATGTGGAGATAAAAACACTTGCAGACAGAGAGCAGATCTGGCTCAGCAGCCTGTTTGACGCGCAGCGGCGGCTTACCTGCGCGTCCGGCCAGCCCGGCTGTCCGTGCGCGGACACGCTGTACACTTCACAAGTCCTACTTTCGGGGAGAGTCCTCATAGCACTGTCCCGTTTAGCTCCGGAGAGGCGATATGCGGTAATAACTCTGGCATAGAAACGATGGAGAGAGAGGAAATCCCCGCGATTGCTTCCTCTGGTAAAAAAAAAAAAAAAAAAACAGGAGAAAAAAGCGCAGAAATCCGAGCTAACTGGCTCGGATGCGGTGGTCATTCACCGCCTCCCGTTTACCTGAACTGGGCGGCAGGTGTCACACGGAGCCCCAGAATGCAATGCGGAGACAATGAAACCTCTATGAAAAAGCCACAATTCGCACAAGCATCCGTGTGACAGATATTCTGGAGAAACTAGCTGTGAATGCTCCTCTCAAACTCAGAGAGACACAATAATGTCTGAGGGAAACGTGACAAACTATTCTATGTTTGGAGTCCACACGGCAGTGTGGGACAGCCTGAATGAGAGGATATCTAATCTGTTTCCAAAGATGAAATGCAACAGTGAGACCTGACAATTCCAAGCAGCTAAAGCAGAGTTTCATAGCAATACTTAGAGACTGTACATTCGGGCGGGAGGTTTCACAACACACAGTACAAAATGTTTTTTTGCCCTTTTATTTTTCACAATTTTTCACAATGAATGCAATTCGCAATGTCAGCTGATATGGCTGTAGATCCAAGAGGTGAACTTGTTGACCCTGGTGTAAACCCCGGGTAGATTTGGTCTGCCACAACCGGACCCCCAGCTGACAATCCCCACCAGGAACCAGCGTCTGCCTCCTGGTGCCTGGCAGGACAAAGGCCCCCCTGAGTCACCCTGAGATACAAAGAGTATAGAAAGAATACTTATTTAGAATGAGATAAGCACCGGCCTATCATATGTTCACAAAAAAAAAAAAAGCTTGTGATGAGTGTTTGTGTTGGGTGGGAGCTCACTCTGCAGGCGTCCCGCTCTCCTGATGGGACCCCGGCACACAGCATGCGTGGAGAGATGGGACCATAGCGCTTCTTACACTCCGTCTGGCTCATTATGGATACCTCAGCTTTCTGCAGCACCGAGGGCAACACCTTATCTGCACAGAAACCATACAGCTGAGACCAACATTTGGATGGGACATTTTTGAGTGGGATTTAAAGATTAGACAGAGCAGTGATAATGATGAGATGAAACAATAAAAAAGGTTAAGGAATCGTGAATTTGAATGGCTTTCTGCTGTTACTGTTGATTGAAAAATAATTTAAAAACTGAAAATAGGAGATTCAAGATAGAACTTTAATTCTATTAGATCATTTTCTTTCCCCTAAAGGTGGCTGCATTTAATCAGAAAATGAAAAAGGTTGTGTAGTGCTAATCACTAAACAACCTGCACTGTAATCTATAATTAAGATGTAGCCAATACGTTTTACTAACCAGGTGAAAATAGCAAAGAATGGCCAGAGTGCACAGCGAGATGGATTCCTATCATTAGTTTTACACTTCTATTAAGTATCAAAGTGAACCTATTTTCTGCTACAGAATACTTGCCATCCTCAGATTTGTAGCCCCACCCTGTGACAAAACATCGGTGGCTGTCTGTGACGGTGTGGGAAGAAGGTGGCAGACACACGGGCTCAATCAGGGGGCTCAGGGACCGAGGCCAGGACTTCTTCAGCTGCAGCAGGGCAATGTCATAGTCAAACGTGTGTGCGTTGTAGTACTCATGCACCACGATCCGCTGGATCTCTGCCACATGTTTGGCACTTCCCTGTGTCAGCATGCCAAGGTGGGCGCTCCAGTAACGAGGATCAGAAAGCCTGCAGAGTAGGAAGGAAGGGGCCACAGACTCTGAAAAAGCTCATTTTACAGATGGCACTCATTTATTTCCAAGTTCATAACTGATGAGTTCACATGCAAATTATTTTTTGCTGTTAAACTGATAATTTCTAATTACACAGTAAAATTAGACAGAAATTACAGAAAAATTTCCAGTATACCAAATTGCCAGGTTATATAGTTTGGTGATACCTGTTTTTTAATGTCTCACATTCGAAAAAAAAGACACAATGGAACTTATGATGAGTTACTACTGGTTTGAGAATAGTGTTACATGTATGATGATTGTAAAATAATGAATGAATTGACCTCATCAGTGTTGAGGACAGCTTACCTGTCTTTGCTGAAGCAGTGGGCGGCTGAGATGAGCCAATCAGAAGAGAGGACAGAGGCGCCACAGTACAGGCTACCAGCAAAGTAAAGGCTAACCTGCCATGGCCACTCCCCTTCCATCGAATTAACTCCACCCACAACACGCTCAAAGCCTGTAGATAAGTGCCCTCTCTTCAGCGCCGAGGAATGACCGCAGTCTGAAAAGGACATGGAGAAGAACTTTGTTCTTACATGGGTGTTTAATGGAATATGTTTGGCAGCATGGTTTACTTACATGCCAACACATGTGCTAAGATTGTTTGTGCCGACCTGTGTCTCAGTGTGTACAACATACACGCCATCAGAGACACAGTTGGCAGCTTTCCTGCCACCTTATCAAAAAAATGTTGCTTTTAGTTCCATTTCCACGCATGCATGTGTGCCCTATTTCAGTGTGCGATAAAGTTCAGGTGTGTTCAATCACCTTGAGACCCCATCATGATACAGAGAGAGCAAAAGGAGGCTGGGGTCACCTCTGTGCTGCAGGTGAGCAGGTTCGATCGCACAGATTAGAAATGAACAGCTGTCACATGAACCCGCATGGAGGACTTCGCCGAGAGCAAGGGCAAGTGTGTAGTTCGGAGCAAATAACTACAGAGAGACAAGTTCTCTGTCCAACGATCAAAATGGAAGCAATGCTTGTGCTCTACTCAGGCAAAAGAAGATCACAACAATTTCATCTTAGAAACGACCAAACAAGCAAACTATAATACGCTCAGCGTGGTATTGACAGCCCTGCTTGATTTAATGTTCAAAGCTTTAATAAGAAAGGGCAAAGAGCTGCCACTGCATAATTCTGAATAATTTAAGACTATGTGTAATCTCCAGGAGTTCTTTTAGTCTTTTAGCCAAAACTCTTTGATCACATATCATGTTGGCTTCATATTAAAATCGTCATTTTCCATAAAAAAAAAAGTTTCCTGCAAACCCGTCAGTCCTCTTTCACTTCAGCTATGACATATAGATAGATGCGCCTATTTGAAGTTATCTAGGACACTGACCACAGTCGGCTTCGTCACTTTGATCCTGACAGTCAGGAACGTCATCACACTTTGAGTTTTTCTTCAGGATGCAGGATCCACTGTTGCATTGGAACCTGATTGCAGAGCAGGTCGTTTCTGATAAGACACATTCCAGTTTTAAGATGTCAAAATCAGATGTGCGAACCAGTTTCTTTTTCAATTTCTGCACAAATGCATACCTTGAGTGCAGTTGATTTCATCTGCTCCGTCGCTGCAGTCCCACTCTCCGTTGCAAACATATAATGGATGCGGCCGACTGTTGCCAGCACAGCCCGTTGTGGGTCTTGCTGTGAAGACAGGCAGCTCATACAGTTAAAAAAAACCTAAACATGCACACTTTTACTACAGTATAATGTGTCAACATGACCTTATAGTTGTAGTGACCTTATAGTAGTAGTTATCATGTCCTCACAATTGAAATGTGACATTCCTTTCTCTCTTAAATGACCAGTGATCGGTAACTTGTAGAGCAACTTACAGCAGAAGACCTCGTCACTCTCGTCCTGGCAGTCATCCAGGCCATCACAGAGTCTACTCTTCTCCACACACAGTCCAGAGCTGCACAAGAAGTGGCTTTCTGGGCAGGCTGGTGGACACATAAATGCTCACATGTGAGCAAAAATACCCGAAGGGCACGTAACCTTTAGTGCATTGCACAGCTTTTCTTTCAAGATTTAGGAGGAAACAGGTTTAAGCCACTCCACACTTACGCTGGCTGATATTGTAACTGCTGTAAGAAGCCTGAAAAGGCTGAGCAGAGTTGCGTGAGCTGCACCGAAACTCCAACTCTGGGCTTTGGTTAGGGATCCGAAACACTGTCTGGTGTCCAACGTAGCTGCCACAATAACTACGAAGAGAGAACCACCATCAACAAAACCAAGAGGGCGACATAGACAAGTTCCTTTGACTTTTGTCAGCATGTACCTCTGTAGCCACTTACATGACCTCATTGACCCTCCACCAGCCACTGTTACAGCCCTTCATGTCCTTCGCTTTTAGTTCATAGTTCTTGAACTGAAGTGCAACTCCTAAATTTGAGTTTGGAGTCTGAAAACAGACCCTCCAGTGAATACAAACAACCATAAATGTAGGAGTGTTTATGAGTGAGGATGTAAAAACGTCTACCTTAAACTTCCAGGTACAAGAGCACTGTGGCGGCAGCAGGCTGGGGTAGAAGGGGCTGTAGATATGACTGCTGTGGTCAGGCTCTAACTGGGTCTCAATTTGAGACATACATCCTCACAAGAAAAACAGAGACAGGGACTTAAGTTACAGATGAAATGTTTTTAATATTGTATTTTATCCAATAATGTTTCTAAGCAATGTTCATTTTTGTCCTCCATAAACTTAACAAAAGCAGCGTGACCATATAAGTAATCACTGGTCAGGTAAAAATGTCATACTTTCCACAGGGATAGCCTCAAAGTGACCTTTGAAGCTCTTGTTGCCATTTGTCATTCTGAAGGACAGCAACATGAAATTGGAGGTTGAGACAATGGAGAAGGAACTGGACACTGGTTCACAAAGTCTGCAGCACAGAGACAGCCCTTAGCATGTGTAGTTAAATATGCACCTTATCATTCACACAAATGATTAATGTGGAAAAGAGGCCCCCACATTTAGCTCTGATGATTTTATTATTCTTAAGGAGGAACCAGATTCTGAGACTTCTTACATTTAGGCTCTGGGGCACTCCCTTTCATATGAGTGAGGTACCATTATGCCAAAATCTTGATGCCAATTGTGATACAGAGGTCCTTCATTGGACCGTTTAATCCATGAATTCAGCAACATTTCAAGAGCAGTTGGACACAGATAACGGCTAACACTATCGGCTGAAAGCAGCAATCTTAAAGTCGTGCTGTAAGCAGACCTCCCAGCAGAGTAACAATACTAAGAACAGCTTAAAAAATCGAAATAGGTACACCACAGCCCTGCTGTATCTCTATTTTTGAATTATTAATGTAAACACTGTATCAAAGACAATTGATGTTTTGTTTAAATATGTTTAAAGACATTTTTTCACATTCACATCATTATAGGACCAAATATCCTTAAAAATGTATCAATCTTATCACAAAACCATCAGTAGAGCCTAAAGGTTGGGATGATGCAGACTCACCTGTGCAGAATGCGCCCTCTCATGGGCAGCAGAGCGTCGTACACGGCCAGGGAATCGTCCACACAGTCAGTGGGCTCAATAAGGAGCGAGGTAATGGTCAGACGGATGACAAAGCCGGGGATAGCGGTGAGTTTAACGTGGCAGTTCACACCACCCCACGATGAGTAGACGTTCAGCGGGACCCTGGCTCCAGGAAGGTTGGCATACAGCTTATCTACACACTGCGAGTCTTGAAAGAGGGAGAGAAACGTTTGCGACACGCAGCAGAAGTTGTGCTCTGCTGACCGGTGTGCTGTCACCTACCGGCTGTGTTGGATGTATAGTCTGAACGCTGAACACCTGCAACCGTATATAGGCGTCTATTTTAGTATGGGCACATGATGATGAGCAGACTTTAAGAAATACAGACACATGAACGCACCGTTGACGAGGATGGAGTCCATATCCACTGGGAGACCCAGCAGATAGCCCACAGAGGACCTGTTCTTCAGGCTGGTGTGCACTGAGTCTCTAAGAATGGCCTCTATACACTCCTCGCACATGGCTGCACTCTTTAGTTGGGGGACTATAAACACCATCCAGAAATGCACCAACACACCCCCTTCATAGTTGTTACTTTGGAGGGAGAGCGGGTAAGAAAGGTCAATGAAAACACACTCATGTCAAATAAAAAGTTTAACCACTTGCGTAAGGCTTCAAATAAGTAGAGCTAAACCTTGACTGAGACTTGGACAAAGAGCAGGGAACGTCTGAGAAACAAAAGAATCGCTGTGTTGCAGTGATTGAGGGTGGTGGGGGCCTTAAATCAATGCTGCAAAAACATCAATGATTTGAAGAGAAATAGTCCAGAGTTCCCCGACAAAAACGAGAGACAGCTATTGTCACATAGAACTAAACTTCTTCAAGTTTTGTTTGCACAACACCATGTAACATGTCACGTGTTTCTTATCTGAGGTAGTATTTATATCATTTTAAGACTCCATGAGGATGACATGATTTGAAAAAAAAAGATTTTGATGAGTAAAACCTTTTCACTGAAAGATATTGTACTTCCTATTTTACAACAGAAAATCACACTGAAAAATCCCCTGGATGTCCAAAGGGGACCAAACTGAATAACTGTACCTTAAGTCTGAAATTACTGCTTGCTTGTAGAGTCTGGCCACTGAAGACATCTTGTACACATTGCTCACCTATGAGACACAGGGCAATTAGGTGTTCACGCCCTTAGATCATTATGTAAGCGGCATGGTGAGACTGATACCTACCACGTGCTGTATTTTGTTTGCCATGGAGACAAATTCATGGGACTCTGCGTGACGGAACTCTGGGATAAACTCCACATTGGCAACACGAAACATCCCAGCAAAATATGCTCCGCTGTAACTCTCCCTGCGAACTGACAAAGTCAAGTCAGATTATCTTGAACCTGGGAGACTTTTGAGGTATGCACGTGAGAGTCCCTCTACATACTTATGAAGACCCACAGCAGCGACCATATCGTCACCACCACCACGAACAACACCGCCGAAATGATGACTGCAATGTAAGGGATGTTCAGCAGGTAGGCCAGCAGCCTCTTGAGTCCTTTGGGCTTCCGTCTGCTCTTCCTGTACATCCTGCGCAGCTTCTGCAGCGTGTGGTCGACTGTGGCCACCTCCACAGAGACATCTGCGATCTACAGCCAGGGAGGGCAGCAGAGGGTCACACCCACACAGTCCCATAAGGGCCGGCAGTTTATCCTGCCCTTTGGGATGCCATTTCAATGCGCTCCAGCATGAGACAGAACGTGGCAAATGGTGTTGAAGAAGTATGAAATGAGCACACACGTCTCTGAATGAACCAGACAGCTGGTCTCATCCCACTCAGGGACAATAGAGCGATGCGGGCTCTCTGTGGCAGACGTGAGAAGATCTGGTTTCTGGAGAAATGTCAAAAGAGCACAGCCCTGCTACAGTAAAGCCCTCATCACTGCACGATATCAGGTGTGGCACTTTACATGTCAATGGCCTGAACAATTTACAAATCAGTCCAGAGTTTTTGAGGGAAATGTCTTTTTCAGAAGTCAGATTTTCATGTCGACTTGTGTAACTAGTGACGATGACAGTCTGTGTCTACTGAAAATGGTGCTTGTTTAGTACTCCAGGACAGCCTGTATGTCTGAAAGTAATACTCTATCAGATGTAACAGTCAGCGCTCATTGAGTTACCCAATGAGCGTGCATTATTCATCCAGTGTCATCCCATACTGGGCAGCTGTCACTTCATCCATCACAAGTTAGCAAGATATAGATTCCAACAGAGAAAGAAAATTGTGGAAATTCAATATCCTGTTTAAGCAGATCATTTAGTGTTTTTCAATGAAGATCATAGGACTTATTTAGCTTGTTAGGTAAAACTAACTTCAAGAACAGGAAGCCCGACATACCTATTAAGCACAAGTGTGCTTGTTTAACACTGGATCTTTTGCAGTACAGTTCAACAGGAAATACATCTGGATTTGACACCATAAGTGGCATCGGTACTTGGAGGTACTTTTAAGAAGTCAAATAAAGCATCCAAAGGCTACTGAAACAAAACCAATTCATTAGAAGAATAACAAGAACGTTAGGTAGGGCTAACATGAACAATCTAGAATGACCATCCTGCAACACTGAAGATGAAGCCATAAAATCCATTGCATGGGTGGACTGCACCACACCAATCATTCAGAAAACAGAATAGTTGGAGAATGCCCCAGGAGCATTTAACTGAGCTTCATACCTTCCTTCACTTCAATCAAGCTACAGTATAACTGCTGTAGACAACTAAAAGCAGAAAACCCAAATCAAACAACTAATATCTACAGTATATACTTAGAGAACATCACACAGGTCAAAACGTACCGTTATTTGCTGTTAATTTGACTCTCCAGAAAAAAAAATGTTCCACATAAAACAGTCTGCACTTTAAGACTGCGAATATTATAAGACACTAACTTAAAAACGGTTTGTTAAACAAATAAAGGAACTTTTTTAACCAGTGTGGCTTACTTACGCTGGCAGTTTCTTGGTGAAATCCATCATCATCGTCTCTGCTTGACTTTTCCGTCTCCTCAGGCTTTGTGCCCATGACAGATGTATCCCATCAAACCATTTTCATCTAATTCCTATATTTTCTTTTTCCAGATCCACCACCCTCCCCCCCATTAGCAAAACTTGAACTCATATGAAGAGCTGCAGCCGAACAGCGACGTGAGCACGCAGCATGTCGTTTGAGTCCTCCGTCGACAGGTTTCCGAAACAGGATCCTTCAGCACAGATGAGCAGCAGAAAGAAGAAGCTTTCCGAGGGCAGCGCAGCACCACAGGCCAGCCTGGCTAAGGTTTCGTTCATCAGCCACCATCTTTATCTCGATCAAATTCTGGTGAATTGATATTTACCATGGACTGTGTCATCACCGGTATGACAGACACAGACAGGCTTGTAAACAAACACATTTTTTTTCAAAGGGACTACAGCCTCATTAGCTTTGTTTGTACAAGAGTTTTATTTACAATGTTAAACAGGTTATGTGAATGTGTAATTTAACGTCTGGCCAGTTTGTGCTCAGAGCTGACAGACTCGCAGCAAAAAAAGGGTCCAGCCTTTATGAAACAAACAAACATGTTTCAATGTAAAGTCAGAATAGAAATCATTTTCTTCATTAAAATAAAAAAAACTGGTGGAATTAATACAACAAAGGAGCGGGTGTCATTTGGGTAAGCAGCGTCTTCCAAACCAATAAAATGGACAGTCAGTATTTTAACACTTTTGTCGTGCCCCTTCTCTTATGTGGGCACAGAGTTTAAACATGCAACAAAAAAAGACATGATGAAAAACATGGAGGCACAAAAATAAAACTTCACAGAGCTTTCACAAACAGGAAAAAAAAGTAAAGTGTTCTTCAGGTCTTCAGGACGGTTTCTGTAAGGTCAACAAGCAGAGAAATAATAAGGCTGAAAAGGCAAAGCCTTACTTCCTGAAAAAGGCATTGCGGGTGATGCTGTACAACAGATGGTAAGGCTTTCGTTTTGGGGGCTCGGCCAATGAAAAGACCTGCTGCTGGGGCACGCTGGTCGGAATGGTTATGTGTCGCTGTTGAAGCGGTGGAAGGTTTTGGTGGACAGAACCAGTGTAACCAAGGGCTAAAAAGGCGAAAAGTAAAACACAACGACAATCACAATTAGCAAATGAGGAACAAACTTAAAATGAATGAAAGGACGACTCAGTAAGAGTACTCCCTACTTTTGATCTTCCCATGTTTGGTTCTTCTGGCATTAACAATGGCCTGTTTTCTTTGCTCTTCGCTGATATCTATTCCTGCAAAGACCGCAGAGAATACACCTTCAGATCAAAATATTTACTTCGGCCTACTTTACAGCAACAATCTTTGTGCGGATCTATCCACAGTGGCTGTTTGTGCTCTGGATGACTCACCCATCTCTTGATCTTCCTTGACTCTGTGTCTCTCCTTGGCGAAGGCTTGTAACCACCTCTGCTTGTCCTGGGCCTTCTTACAGCACAGAACGCACACAAACTCCAGCGTGGAGGCGTTACGGAGACGCAGGGCGTTCCTCAGACTCACGCCCAGGTCGGGGTCCCGCCCATCTGCCACATCCACCACCTCGGTCTCATCCATGTCCAGGCGTCCACGGTAGTGGAGCAGGTCTCTGCGCAGGACGTCTTTTTTGCAGTACACCAGCTGGTGGTCAAACAGGAAGAAGCTGCGCTGCTGCATTTTGCCTTGCCGGACAACTCGGGTCAGCTCGCCAGAGTGGATCAGCTCTGAGCTGCGCTCTAGAACGTCCGGCCCCTTGATCCCGTTTGGAGAGAGTTAAGTCACGCACACAGTACAGCTTTATCCCTGAATTTGGAATGAACCTAATAACAATCCATCCTCACCTCCCAGTGCAAAATGGCGACCTGCCAGTGAGCGATGGTGTCGATGCTCTCCAGCCGCCTCTTCCTCTCATTTATTAAGCTGGCCACATTCTTCATCGCCTCATATGCTTGACTGACCCCAATGTGGTCACTGAAAGAAAACAGCAAGAAAGCCTTAAATTCATTTTAATCCTAAAAACAATATCTCCAAAAAAAAAATCATGCAAAGCTGATCCTTCTGATTTCTTATGATCCATTTAAAAGGGTGTGATGGTGTCTTTCTCTGCGTGCCGTTTCACATAAAATCTTATAATGCAGCATCTTGGCAACGTGCAGAGGTGTGGATGCGCTTTAACCTCTATAAAGAGTGGGATATGTATTATTTCTCCAATGATCTTATGACTGGTGCTGCTCTTGTGTGCAGAGGGGGAGGGCACCAGGGCCGAATACTGCCTTCACAAACACAGATTCCTGAGTGAAAGGGAAGAGTGGACTATTTATGGCTCCTGTGAAGGGATTCATATCAGCCCTGGCTTACACACAATTGTTGTAACTATGTGACCACCTTTCACTGTGAAGTGCAGCCGATGAATAATACAGTAAGAGAGCAGCATTGTTGAAACCATCTTTAGCATAAAATGAAACTTGATATGTAGTTGAAATATGCAACATAAAAGTGTTGCTTTTTTTTTTTTTTTTTTTTTTACAATTGGTCAGTTATGAGTCAATCAACTGATCAGCCAGAACATTAAAACCAGCAAAGATGAACAAAACTTATATTTTGGCACTCAATTATGCTCTAGGAACACCTGGGAGGGCATGGGTTGTAAATACTGATAGGGATGCTACCTGTGGTCTTTGGGTGTGTACTTAAGCAGCTCTCCCAGCTGCAAGGGGTATTTACAAATCTTCTGGACAGGTGTGAGTAAAAAACCAGCGATGGAAATGTCAATCATCTGCTGGAGGAGGCGGCAAGCCTCGAAGAAATGCTTGTATTTCCCCATCTTCATGAGGCGCTGCAGCTCGGCGCAGGCGGCAGGATGAGTGTTACAGTAATCTGAGTAGATTGAGAAGCCCTCTCCCTTTCGAGAAAAAAAAGGAGACAATATCTAATCAATACAACTTGCTTAATGACACAGAATCTGAAACAAACAGATGCTTATTTGTCGAGGATTCCATGAATGGCCACAACCTGCAGGAGAAAGCAGGAGCCTATTTCACTGAGATGTGGCTGCTCTTTGTTGTACTTCTTCTCTAGGTCTCGCAGAAACTGCCTCTGGAATTTGTAGATGTCTTCTATGTTGCTGAAGATTGTCTTCAGCTGCTCCTCAGTGAACATGTCGGGATGTTTCCGGCACTGACGGATGTAACCCTGAAACCGACGCCGACACGGAGCGTGTACACGGATCAGACACATGAGAACAGCCTCAGAATTAACCAGCAGGTGTTGCCATACAACCGAGTTCCTCATGACTGTTTAAACGTGTAAATTACATGAATATGACAAACAGGCATGTGCTAAAATGGCCCCTTCAGAGTGAAACAAATACCTCACAGATGTCTTTTAGGTGTTTGATGTAGATTCGTTCAGTATTCATGATTTCCTGAACCACATTTGTTCTCATTTGCTCTTTGTGCTGAGTGCTCTGTGTGTCTCTTGGAGCTGGATCTTCCCGGTCTGCTACACTTTCTACACTTTCAGCACTCGAGTCCTCCTGGTTCACACGAACCTGAAACACAATTCAGTCATTAGAGTCTGTTTAAGATTAAAAGTAGACTTGCGAAACAACTAAAAGTTTCTTGAATTACATTTCTTTTAAAAATGTCAGAAAAAAAAGCGTTTCGGCGCATTTTTAACTGAGTGGAAACAAAACTTAAAAAAAAAAAAAAAATCACCAGCTCACTCGGAAACTAACTTCATTACTTCAGGAAGAACAATAACTGCTTAAACAACAAAAGACTCCTCCGTGTCACTATGGAAACAGCATGTGCAAGCCTAACCAGTCCCCATTCATAAACACTGATTCAGCAGCAAGCACTTACACAGCAGACGCCCATCTACCAATCAAACGAGCTCGCCATGGTTACCGCAGTCTGTCTAATTAAAACCCGACTGCCAATCACTACTAATCACCACAGAAACCAGCTGGACCTCTGAGGTTTGAGCCTTTCCACACATTATTCGGGGGGCTGCAGAGGTTTGTTTGGAGCTAAGCCAGTTTGCCAGCCTTTTTCTGTGCAGCTGGTCAACAAACACACAGGTCAGAAAGTCCACTTACCCTCACAAAGCTGGAGGGGAACCAGGCTTCCCTCTCAAGCCCCCTGCCCCACCACCAGTCCTTATGTAAGACATCCAAAACACGGATCACATCTCCTGCCTTGAAGGCCAGCTGATTCTCCTCCATGGTCACATGGTCCCAGAGAGCTTCAGCATACACCGCGTGGTCGGAGCTTATCCACTGAGAGGCACACACGCAGATAAGATAAACATGCAATTACATGGAGGCTAAGACATGTCTAACATGTACGATTATGTCTAGACATGTGGATTCTGCAGTGATTTACTGTTCTGCTAAAAGTCGTGGAAAGCACGCGCACAAGAGCATTTTCACATCACTTCTCACTATAGAAATAAATCAATGTTTAATCAGAAAATTGTTGCACATTTAGGGACAAGTTGTTTGTGCGTGTTGAAACATGACAGAGTTTTCCTCCTCACCTCGCTGAGCACAGACAGCTCCACCCCCGGCTGGAGGTAGGGTGTGATGTCACTGAGTTCATCAAAGCTGCCCTCCTCCTCCTCACTCACGCTGTCTTCAAGTGTGGCCGAGCACTCAGAAACGCCATCTGAAACACGTGTGCAGAGATTACAGAACTGTCTGAGGCAGAAACATTCACATCTGGCTTGTATCAGCATTTTCCTCCGGCATACTTATTGACATTCCAAAGCCGCAGATTTCCCACAGAATGCAATTTGTGTATGGCTGTTGTGAGTAAACCAGCGCGGTTCTCACCGCTGAGCACTCGGTGGAGTTTGCGCCGACCCACGCGGTCCAGTCCGATGGGGGTGCTCTGGGACAGGACGGAGGGACGAAACCTGGCAGACACTCCTCTGTAGGGGGGCACCTGCTGGGACGGGATTGGTGGTCGGGACAAAGGCTGCGGGGAGAGAACAAGCGAAACAGGAGACAACATCCTGGGATTTAGGAAGAGCTCACTTTCTTTAGCTGATGAATCAGGGCTACACAAAGATAACGCATTCAGCCTCTTAGTAGGCTGCATGAATATGCAACAGGCAACACTAACTTTGGGGCTCCCATTTCTGTTCTGTGTATTTCTGGGTGTGAGTTACATCAAACAAATCACAGACAATTAAGAAAAGAGGGATAGAAATAAAATCTAACAGAGTCAAAATAAGTGATTTTTCAAAGTGAGATTTAACTTCTTTTTACATACATATGCATTTTCATAACACACTAAAGATATCAGGAAAGTTATCATATCGCTAATAGAGGAACACTGTCTCATCATGAGCTTATGAAAGGCTCACTCTAGTTTTTAGAGCCTGTCAAATACTGGGAAAAATAGTGGCCTTGCAATTATCTGAAATCAAACTGCTGAGTCTAAGTTGACGAAAGGTTTATGATTACCCCCAAATGAGCGACAGATTGGCACTAATTTTTTCAGTGATGGGCAAGAACGAGTAAAGCTGTAAAAGCTTACAGAGGGAAAGCGGTCCTCCTTCAGCTCTGCATCTGGAGGAAACATATCCGCAGCTCCTATAACTGAGACGGGACGCTGCTTCTGAACATCTCCGTTCATGCTATGGCTCTCAGGGCTGTGTCCATTCTCATTACCACTGCAGTCTCTAAGCTGCAGCGGGTCGGCTGTCCTTCCCTCATTATGCAGCTCTGACACTTCCTCTGGGATGCAGTGCTTCCTGGAAACCAGCTGTGCGTAGTCCGAGATGGGCCGGGGTCTCTGGCGCCCACTTCTTCGTCTGGGCCTGACGGAGGGCGTTTCTGTGGGAGATGCCGCCGCATCTGTGGGAGATGCTGGCGACTCTGGGGGGCATGCTGGGCTGACGGGAGGTGTGCTGCTGTCTGAGGGAGAGATATCTTCTGAGAGAAGTGCTTCTTGTCCTTGTGGGTGTGTCGTCACCTGGAGGTCAAAGGAAAATGTTCCACACTGAAAAAGGGCAATGACATTTGCTTTCCCTGAGAGGGCACACCGCAGTGGAGCGAGTCGTCTGCTGGTTCCCCGTGGTACTTATACAATACAAGTCAAATGTAAAAACAACTACAGTTTACCAGCAGAACAAAAGTAACCGATTTTACCCTTTCATTTTACCTTATAAAACGAGAAATGTTACTTTTATGTTCATGCATTTTCAGTCAAAGGGAAACAAACTCAACATGTGAATCAATCCAACTCCAGCTGCATTACTATGTCCAATAAAATATTATAATCATACACAATTTACCCAATTGTCAAATGCTGTAAAAAAACAGTTACTTATGTTGACATTACACACCAAACCTCACCTCTTGATGTTCTTGATCTGGGTCCTGGACTCGGCATATACATTGGAAGGGCACGCAGTGAGCTAATACCATGATGAAACAAAAGAGCAAACACTGGCTAGCCTCTGGTCCCCGAGGCCAAGCCCCCTAAAGTTTCTGGAGGCCAATAAAAGCCCCTTGATTTTTTAAGTAAACAAATCTGTACACCCAATTCATAATTGAGAGAAAATCCAACCCTTAGATTAAGACGCATTCGCTAAAAGTTCTGAGTTTATGATCCAGGGTACTTGATGGTGCTGTCAGCTGTCCCAGGCCTGGAGTTCATGGTGCTGGACTTTGATCTATGGAGCAACAACATGAGAGCAAGAGGGAAGGGAGCGCAGCAAAGGGTGCACTCAGCCAAAGCCTTCAGCCCTCCCACAGGAACAGGACTATGGAGCGGTTTTGCGCAAGGGCCACTAATCATAAACGAAGTCTAATCATTAACTCTCCCTGCTCCTTCAGAGAGCCTGGCAGCGTGACATGTGACTCTGCTGCAAAGCAGGCAGGAGTCAAACACAACTGACAGGAACAGTAGGGTCAATCGATGTTATGTCTGTGACTTTATTTACCTGTCACGTACAGAGACTTTGGACTACTTATGGCTCAGTTTTTTTTTGCATATCCACGACATACAATGCCATGAGAACTAAGCTAAAAACTAAGAATTGTACTGGATTCAAAAATCACTTCACATTTGAAAGGAGCAATGTTTCCAATCCGAAGACAAGGGTCAAGGCCAATGAAGTTGAGGAACACATTAATCATCACACTGTTCTATTTGATAAGAGACTTGATTCTCTGTGTTTCAGGGATTCTCACAGCTTTAAAAACTTAAATAATAACAGCTTTTTCAAGCTCAGTTAGATTTGATTAATTCCTTGCACACCTGTGCATCTGCAAAGAGAGCGTCTGCTGTAATGTTTAACCATTTGGTTGCAGCATTTAACCCATTTGCATCGTATAAAACTTTTGAATTGATTCATTTCTTGAGCCTAAAACACTTTTTAGAAATATTGAAGTTAAGTCAATCATTTACTAATAACAGAAACTAAAGATTTAACCTCTCAAATGATTTAAAAAAAAATGTAGACATATTAGAAATAATATAGTTATATTTAAAGTAAAAAAAAAGCTGTTTCAAACAGCTTTTTAAGGGAAGCCTTGATTGTTAACGCAATAGACAATCTGTAAGGATGGAAAAGCTCAGTCCTGAAGCAGTCCATTGGCAGGATGACAACATCCGAGAACATTGTCATCATTTTCTAGTGGAGCATCAGAATAACTCAGCAAAAAGAAAGGAACGGAAGTAGAAAGAGACAGTCGCAATGCCAAGAAACTTGAACCATTTCATCACAGACTCTTAACTGCATAATTTCTCCGTTTTCTGACTCACCTCATTTGGTTGCAGGCTGCCACCCGCTTGCTCTTTGTCTCGTGGATTCTGTCTTTGGTGGAGTGGTGATTCAACCATCTGCTGACTGGGTGTGGAAAGAGCCAGCAGCTCATACTGAGCAGAGTTACCGGGGGACCGCTGCTGTGCCGTCTCTGGGGTTTCAGAGGAAAAGGGGTCATCATTCGGGTTCGAATCGTTATCGGGGTGGTGATGAACCAGTGTGGAGATTTCAAAAGTGTTGGCCTGGGCCGCGGTGGCTGAGGGCCGGCGCTGTCGCAGGTTGCTTTGTAAGCAGGGCAGGCGGCGGGAGTAATCATCGTGGAGGCGGCTCAGGGGGGACACGGGAGACGTGGAGGTGGGGCTGGGGGTAGGACTTTGTCTCCGTCGGACGGTTAAGTCAGTCATGCTGCCAACTAGTTTCAGCATTGGTGTCTTGGCCCTCAGGGGGCTCCGCCTGCCACTGCCCGGGCGGCCCCAGAGGTCCACTGAAGACGCACTGGAGGTCCTTGCAATGTTTGACGTCCCATGTGATGCACTTGTCGCCTGGGAGTCTTCCTGTGTGGAAGGGGGATCTAGAAATGGGGTTTTGCGTCTAAAAGGTGCCTTAAATATATGAAGGTTTTCGGCGCTTTTGCTCCGTTTTCTAAAAACTGTCAGATTTGTGTTTTCCTCCAGGCTCTCTGTCCGGACGCCCATCTCAGAAGTCTGACTTGGTTTCTGTGTGGGAGCTGCACTGTCATTTGTGTTTCTTCGGGCTTGTCTCCCATTCACCACGTCAAGTAAGGAGATGCGTCCTGCTCCATAAGCTCTCCTGATACTTCTGGATAATCGCGAGTTGCGTGTCAGACCGTCTCCGTCGCTTTCCTCATCCTCGTAATCTTCAATATCGGAGCTATACTGGCTGATCGCACCAAACGTTCGACCTCTGAAATTTCCTGACACACTACATCCTTCTGCTGCCTTTAAACGGTTTTCTACAAAAGCGTCTGAACTGTTCAGAGCTGAGCCATTAGCTGTTTCCTGGAAAGGTGAAGGAACACCATGTCCATCGTGGTTAGCAGCCTCTTTGCTCTGAATACCCTGCAGCACAGCTGATCGCAGCTTTTTAAAGGAGTCCACAACGCCCAGCCCAGATAGTCCCGTCCATGGCTGGGGGCCACCGTCACCCTCAGCGTGGGTGGAGGTCGGACTGTCAGTCGTGGGACTGTGAGGAGAACCGGAGCCTTTCCTTGAGTTTGAAAAAAGCCTCATGATTCTTGAAGGGTATGGCTTTCCTTCTGCTTGAGCTATAACTGGGTTGGACCAGGCAGACGAGTTGATGCCATTTAATCTGCCCTCATCAGAGTGAGGACCAGCACTCATCGGCTGTACCTGGGCACCACATCCAGACAGCAAATATGGGACTGAACTTCTGTCGGTGTAGCTCTGAAATGGATATACATCACTGAGGGGTCTACTCTGGATCACAGGGTCAGCTTTTGTGCTGTGGACGCACTGGAGAGGGTCTGCACTGGTGGACAGGACCCTGTCTTTTTGTTGTGCCTACAAAAAAAAACAGAGCTCAATTTAATGACTTCATCATACAATGGCAAAAACTGTAAATCAAAGATCCAAACCGAAAAAAGGAAATTTACAGACCAGATGGAGATCAGATTAAGTGAAAAGACTCTTTTTTTAACATAAAAGCTACCATGATAACAAGAACAATATGGTTAACTGGACAAAAAACAACTATTGTGTGTTGACAACACAGAGTTATTTGTGTTTGGAAGTCAGAAAATGCGTGATGGAGGGATGACAGGGACAGACCCAAGCAAACAGAAAGATGAGTGTCCCTCAGTGAGCACAAAGTCCAGAGTAAAAAGACATTTTCCTGAGAACACTATGTGTATTTGTCCTTGGTGCTGTATTTCAATGTCCAAGGAGAGCTGAGGCCCAGGCTGGGGGTGGTGGGGGGGCTCACTTCAGCTTATGTGTGTGGGATTCTGGGCAGTGCAAATGCAGCCGAGGCTTTGAAGTGCAGCTTTGTGAGCGTGACTAAGCAATGAAACTTGCTAATCCATTGTGATTAATGCAATAAATTGCCCACTTTTCTCCAGATTACATAGAAGCTGAAGTGACGGCGCCGTGGAGGGTTGTGTGGTCCTAAAATCACCAATGCTCTTCAGCTCCTTACAGAGCACTGTCTCACGGTGGATGGAAACTCACAAAACAAAGACAGATAACATTCATCCATTTTTCATGTCTGGAGCAGCATTTTCTATGTTAACATGCAGGTTCTCACAACCTCAGCCTCTGTCATAAGGAGCGACAACAGAGAAACAATCAACCCAATGTCAACAAGCTGACATTGGGTTACAGAGACCTGAGACCTAAAAATGGTCAACAGAAACTGACAACTTGTTGTATTCAGAGTATGCGAAAGTGGAGTACCTCCTCCAAAAATAAAAAGAACAAATAGAATAAAAACCGCTCATCATTAAACATATTTGGGCCCATGTTCAGACTGCTGTCCTGCAGGTTTTAGAAGATTCCCTACTTTCACAAATCTGATTCACATTAATGCTCCATTAGAGCTTTTGAATACATCCATTTCCTCAGATGTGGTTAAGCAGATAAACATCTAAAACCTGCAGGACAGCGGCCATGGGGGACACCCCAGGCGTAGATTCTCAGTCATGGTCATCCTAAGAGCTTAAGCAAAGGCAACTGGACTTCTTTGATCTTCCGGATGTTTCACCTCTCATCCAAAGGACTTCCTCAGTTCATAACTGAGTCTTGACCCCTAAACTGACCATTTATTTGGACATTTGAATCACATATTTGGGGGAAATACACAGAAATCTCCCTTTCTTTCACCAACTCTAAAAATGCATTTCTACTGTAATTCACTTAAGATAGGTCCTTTGTTTTATGTTGATTTTTGTATTAAAAACATGATGACACTGTTCTGGGTTTGAGAGAAACTATGTAGCAAGTATGCAGGATTTGCAGGCTTTCTGAAGCATTCCTGTACTTCACCATGCGTGTTTAGCAGCAGAGGATCTTTCTCAATCAACCTCTCTGTGGAATTTGCTGTCACTTGCTGGCTTGCTCCTTCCCACTGAACACTTATGTAAACACAGGGCCACCGCTGCCAAGCACCGCTGCTGACAGACACTAAACACCCCTCGGGAACAATGTGCAGCTTTCAAAACTATCCTGAATTGTCTTCTTGTGCTTTCTCTTCCTCAGCAGGCAATCACGCTGGGCAGCAACTGGAAGAATGGAGCAGATCAATAATTCCATCTGTTTCCCAAACAGAAAGATGGAGAAAGATAGGGAAAGAATGCCCACAGCCTGGTTAGCTTGTTTTTGTTTTGAATGCTTGTTATGTCAGCCATTCGGCCAACTGTCCTATCCTTCATTGCCTTTATCTGCTCACCCTGCAGCAGGCGCCAACCATTGCAGGCCAGTTGGCATCTTTTAATTCTTGGCAGTGTTAGCAAAAACCAAGCCAGCACAGGTGTTCATCTCTACAGAATTATACTTTTAAAATCCAGAAACGTGTCTATATATTTCTGTATTTCTGACCATCATTTGTAGCTGTGAATATCAAAGATAGTTTTATAATTGCTTTCATTTGGAAGGTAAACATACCTACACTAAACAGCTAGTTCTCAGTAATGGAAACATATTCAACATTGTAATATGTAATATGTGTTTATGGACAGATGAAAGCTTACATTTGTTTGTATACATAAATACAGAGAGCTGAGATACGGCTAGTTTTATTTTTACATAGTAGAAATAAAACTGTCTGACAAATGAATCACAGCCTCTTTATTATGGATTGTGGTAGCTTGAAATTGTGAGAAATCTCTGTATTTCTATAGTTAAGTTTACTTCAAGGAGATGAAGTAAATGGGTCAAATCAACTTGAAGTTCAAGAAGGACTGCCACTAATACAGACCAAATGATTTATCAGTATATTCATGAACCTCATTTTTCATTATTGCAAGAATTTAATGAGCTGCTGCTTGCCAGTTTATACTTTCACAATACATCAACAGTAACAAAACAGTAATGATACATGCAGCCTATGTCTGAAGTCTTGAAGTTGGAGCATTTTCTTTCTTTAATTCTACGATTTAGATTTAAAATTTTCAGTCAATAAGTCATTGCCTCCACACTCATGCAAACTGTAACATCCACACAAATGTTGCTTACCTTTGTTTTAGTGTCACTTCCTACAGTCTGTTCATGCACATCACTTTAAGGACGTTTAACTTTCCTATGATTCCCGCATACCAGGGTCACTGTTTCCCACCCGCTTCCTCTTTCTAATCTGTCAATAGGAGCGGAGCACTGGAGTCCCTCGGCCTGAGTTAATTAAGAGATCAGGGAGGAGTCGGCCCCCACTCCGCACCCCCACCGCAGCCAGCTGGAGCCAGCCTCAGATTAGACTCCCTGAGACGGGGAGGATCGTGCATTCTGATACATAAACATGTACACAACAGCCCAAAAACTCATATGCATCCTTTCAGGCAGTGCACAGCACAGCATGTTTGCACAGAGCAGGCAGGAAAGTATTTAAATGACAGCCTCCCTTCCTGTTTGCTCAGAGAATATAAGCAGGCGGTTATGTAAGGAATCATAAACACATAGTGTGAAGTGACCCTCTACAAACCAGGTTCACCTCTGCAGAGGTATTTTCTGCTCGAGGCAAGATTGAAACTCATTAAGACTAAATGAAACCACCACTAAACTGAAAAAAAAAAACACCAGACGGAGGGCTTCGGAAGAAAGTTAAGACTTTTCATTTTGATTCTCAGGATAAACTCTGAGACAGACACAGTCACCCTGGAGCACCACCATTCCTCTCTAATCTGTCACTTTACCAGTCCCTATTTAATTCTGTCTTTATGAGTAAAAGCTGTGAGGAAGTCAGTGAATCCTAAACAACACACAGAGTTTTAGAGATCAAGTGGGCTGATTATCCAAATCGGTGTGCATCACCATGCATTTGTTAGGCTGAAGCTGTGCATGGTGTTTGGAGAGTACAGGAGGAGAAGTTCACCGTGGTTCATCTTTCAAGTGCATGACTTCACATTTGCGATTGCCTAAAAGTCTTTTCATATTAAGCAACACCAGGCAATAGCGGGTGCTGATATGGCTCCATATCCATTTTTTTTTCTTTTGTGTTGATGCATGTCAGCCAAGCTTTAAGCCTACCTCCATTTGAGGATGAAAATTGTCAGCAAGTTTACCGTGAAGGAAATCTACCATGAGGGGGAGAAGTGGGAGTGTGTAGAGTCTTTTCCACCTCCATTCCAGTAATAATCAGATTAGCAGAGCTTTACCAGCCTGCATTCAAGGCTGGTTTCATCTTCACATGATAACCTAATCAGGAGGATCACTTGGTTATTCTGCACTGACTGAGTGACACCCAAAGCTTCTTAATGGGACACCACTAGATTGTAGGGGGGTAACCTGCCTTTGTGCCCTCTACGGAGTGGGGGGTATGGGTAGATAACTGAAAGACAAACGATAAAACTTACCCAACTTGCTTCTTTGTGTTCATTTTAAATGGCCACTGACTACGTGATGTGTGCTACATTTGAACAGTTTTCATAGAAAAGAAGTTTGCCTTCCCCAGTTAACTTTTAATGACCCAGTTCCTTACTTTTGATCAGGCAAAGAGGAGCATGGAAGGCACCGCGCCTATTTTCTATAGAGCGTGGGAAGTACAGGTGGAGGCGGAACCAGGGAGTGCCTCCGTTCTCACAGTGGAAGCCACATGCTCACCTGATCCGAGTAAGACTGTCACAGAGACAGGCAACCAGAAATCTGATACCCCACAATGTACCTGGCTTAACAGCACAGAGTCTTGTTGTCATCTGAAAGCGGCACAACCTGACAGCAGAGCCAAAACAACCCAAAGATGCTTCATCAACATTCCAAGACCATGAAAACAGGAAGAACAAAATTCCACTTTAAACTATAAAAAGACTTTAGGATTGTGCTTTGAGTCACCTGATATCAAATTACCATAAAATCAGAAGGGATGTGTGTTCAATTTCAGATGTGTATTATATTTCAGTTGGGCCGTCATGTTGTAAAAATCACGATATTGGTACACTATAAAAAAATAGACCTGTACTCTGACCTGCAGGAGTTTAACCGTCAGTGATCCAAATAATCCAAATAAGCTTTTACGAGAAGTGTCGCTAAAGTTTGTGCAGGTTTTGGATGGGTTCGTCAAAAAAGAAACGTTAGAGGAGAGTTCACTGAATGGTTTTCCGGAGTCATAAACAACTCACTGATTATTTATTTCTGCATTCATTGCTTGAGTGTTCCGTTGAGCTCTTTGTAGTTGCTGGCCCTGGACCCCTCCCTCACGACCTCCCTGCACAGCCTGCCATCTCCCCTATCACTATAACAACCACCGCTGTAATGCACCACAAACCCCCCCCCCCCCCCGTGCCCGATATCAGGGACCCGGGGGGGCAAATCACCACGACTGTAACCACCACTGAAGTAAGCAGTTTCACTGCAGGAGTTTCAAATCACGTCTCTAAGATGTCCCGGTGAGGAGTAGAGAAACGAGAACAATCACCTTGCTCATAGTCGCCGATGTTCTCCTCCTGACCTCACGGCAAAGGAGCAGCTGTTTGGTTATTTATCCATAGTGAAGCCGTCTGTCTTCCAGCGACCAGCTGCCTCTTTCAAGTCTTCTCGCAAAAACATGTCGGACACAAATAGTCCGACAAGTCCCAAGGCTTTTTTACTCACCAGTTACTCGGCAACATACTAAGACAAATGGCTGGCTGACTTCTTGGGCTAGCGACTTGCGCTAGCTCACGAGCTGAGTGATAAAACTTCTTCTGAATTGCGTAAGCTCTGCGGTCTGTAATTTCACTTTCGCAAACCTGCAAAACTCGTTTGTATTCAAGTAGGTGCAAGATAACGTTGAATCATACGATATCCCCTTACTTAACTCAAGAACTTGTATTTAATTCGATTGTGAATCCAGTTAAAAGAGCTCCTTCTTGGGGGATTGAGCATCATCAATGCACTTGTTGCTGTGTCTGTAGGGGGCGGGGCTTGGAGAGGTTACGTTTGAGGTTACTGGTTGACCGCCGCGTGACCATTCGGCTGAAAGCCAATCGAATTTCACTCTGTGACCTCAAACCACACCCCCTTACAAGGCTCATCAATATCAGGAAAAAATAGAAATACACAATGCTGCACATCTCAGACTTCTGAGGACAGCAAGAGACCGGGCCGTCAGGTTGGTGTTGTACTGTCAATGAAACACGCCTCGACTTCATACCGCGGCTATTTCTGTGCCCATCCCGAATACCAGAGCAAGAAACTGGTTGACTTCTTAAATGCTCTTTATTGTTGTGCAGCAAACAGTGGGAAGCACAATAGAAAGTCAGCCATTACATACTTTAACCTGCTTTAAATGGCACTGTGCATTTAACATAAACTTGCTCAAATTAGTTGATTAAAGTTGTATTCTTTTACATAATAACAAAGTCAAGATACCAATAAATGTTGTAAACATTGCAAATTAAAAGTAAATGTTAAAAAGTGAAAGTTTTGATGAGCAAAAATGTAATAAAATTATGAAAAGAAGCAAACTCAATTAATTAACATAACATTATATAATTTCAAAAGTCAGATTAACGTCCCTTTGAAACTGTTTGTCTATCTCTTTTTAAGTTGCTGTTTTGTGTTCTGATCTTGAAGCCATTGTTCTGTAAAGGCCAAGAACTTCACCTCCAACTATTTTAGTGGCCCTGGGTAAATTTAGCCACAAAAATGCCTTAGTGATCTTCCCCTTTGGTTATTCCTTTGATTGTAAGTCCTGAACCAGGCTGCTGACATCTCTGCTGCTTAAAAGCCATATCAAGCTTCTACATGGTAGTTATCTTCCTCTAAAGTTTAATGTCATGTTCAAAAATAAGAAAGAACACAGATGCAGTACATTGTGAAACATCCCATGTTAGTTGCTCCATCAATAGTTTATGAATAAAAAAGTGTGCATTTTTCACACATGGCTTTAATTTTCTCAAATTAGAGAAGCATACCGGGATGCTTTTGGGCTCAAGTGCAGTTTTAATTAGCAGTGTAACTAAAAGGTTAAAAAGGTGGAAGCAGTTCCATTTGACATTAAGAAGCATTCATGATTTAAAATATTTGTCATTAATGTTTCTTCTGATACTGATTACTTGACTTGTCCTCTGCAACATTCAGCATAAAATCAAATAGATAGAAGTGGCATCCTGATTCTTTCTAATAGAATTATATCATTGAAAATATTTAATTATTTGTGCAACTAATAAAATGCCCCATGATTACGATCCAAAGATGATAAACCCACAGAATGTTGTATCATCATCTTCATCAGCAAAGAGCCCATTGAACAGCTCTCCTCCAGGCACCTGCAGCCACACCTTGTCCCCCACCTCCAGGTGCAGCACAGCGCCCCCTGCTGCCTGGTCCTCGCTGCTCTGGTAGTTATCCGTGGTGTGGATGATTTTTGCCCCGTTCTTCACGAGAGCCACTTTCACGTTTCTTGAAAAGACCGTGATGTGGTAGGTGAAGTAGTAGGCGCCTGCCACAGAGCAGGTGAACCTTCCTGTTTGCGGACTGTAGTGATTCTGTTCATTGTAAATGATCTTGTCAAACCGGATTGGGGAATTAGCAGCAGGAAGTTTAGTTTGTGCCGTCAGCCCCACACAGAAGGCGCTTTTAGGGATGACAGGTGCATCTCCCTTTTCGCCTTTATCCCCCCTTTCGCCTCGAGATCCTCTATCCCCACGATAACCAATATTTCCTTTAAAACCTGGAACACCAATTTCTCCTTTGGGGCCTAGCTTTCCAGGTGGTCCCTGTGGTCCCTGAATGCCTCGGTCACCTCGGAGGCCAATCTCTCCCTTTGGACCTTCTGGTCCAGGAGGCCCAAAATCTCCTTTAGGTCCTTCTGGTCCAGGTAGCCCAAGTGCCCCTTTACTTCCTTTAGGGCCACTAGGGCCTTGGACACCTTGGGGACCCATTTTCCCAGGAAGACCCCGCTCTCCATCATCTCCTCTTTTTCCTTTGGGTCCTGTGGGGCCAGTGGTACCTGGAAATAAGAAAATCCGATTTATTTGATACTTGTCATATGATATTTGAGAAATAAGTGGCCTAATGGTGAATAGTTTCAGCATAAAAAGAAAAAAGTTTGTTTTGGGATACGTACCAGGATCTCCTTTATCACCCTGATGACCGTTAATACCTGCTGGTCCAGCAAGGCCAATTTCACCTTTTTATAGATTACCGGTAAACAATATAGTTAGAATATGTGTGTTTTAACATAAACATACAGAGAAAAAAAAACCTCCCTCCTCAACTTACCTCGATCACCTTTCTCACCCCTAAGTCCATCTCTACCATCTCTGCCCGGTGTGCCATTATGACCAGGGTCGCCTGGTATTCCAGGATATCCACAAACACAGCCTTTAATTTGAACTGATTCCTCTGCTACACATCTGAATGCAAGAAGCAGGAGCAGCAGAGAGACCCTAAATCTTGTCTGAAACATTGTATCAGTTTTACCTGCCTCACAGTACTTTCAGAGGTCCTTGCATAGCACACAGTTTTGACAATTTCCAAACCTCTGACTGCAAGCATGCACCAATAGAAGAGTCCAGGCACAAACCGGAAAAAAAAACACAAACTGGATAAGATCTTGGGACAATGAACACCTCACATCTCTCAAAGCTTTCCCATTGGTTAGTGTTTTTGGTTTACTTATTGACTGCCCCATCTGCTATGCATCTGTTATGCATCTGTTATGCATTGAGCCCCTCTCAGGTCCAGCTGAGGCTAATGATAAGCTCGATCCACAGTATGTGAGGCTCAGAGGTGCACAGCGTCAGATAGTTTCATAAGAGATGCTTTGCTGTTTAATAAAGAAAACATACCATTAACCTTAAGCAACTGCATGATTACTTGAAATCTTATGAAAGATGCGAAAAATGTGACCCTCTTACAGGAGCTTCTATGTGCTTTTGCTTAAAAGCTCACACTGCAATAACCTTTGTTTAGTTGCAGGGTGCTAAACGTCAAATTAACACATTTTTTTCATACATGCCATTAAAAAAAAGCAATGGTCAAGAACAGTGGAACTCATGAGTTAAAACAGATCACCTGCTTAGACTGTATTGTGTGTTCCATTGCCATCCAAAGCCTAACTAAACCTTATGAAGATGTATCATCTATGAAGACATTAGATTGACCAGTTAACCATGCAGGCATTTGATCACTGAAAAGTCAGTGATCAAAGTCATGGTTACAGGCCCACCATGTCCAACAAGTTAGAGATTAGGGACATTTTTGTTATTATGTGACAATTCTTCATGAAACTCAGACAAATCCTGTTACTTTTGTCAAGAACTAATGCTGTAAGACAAGTGCCATGGGAGTTCCATAGTGGTGGTGGGAGCTCTGCTGCATTTACTGCATCCGCAAATTGAGGATTTCAAGCATCAATGCTGGAGAAGGGAAGGATTTAATATTTTATTCAAGGTCACACAGCAAGACAGAAGCTTGCTGTTGCTCATGGGTTTAATCAGGAACAAGCATCCAAATTATACTGTGCTGCTGATACTTTATTAGATTGTGTACAATGAGGAGACAAGCCGGATGGGCACAAAGGAGGGGCTGGAACATAAAGCCAAGATAAAAACCACCCTCCTGCTCTCAGTAAACTCACAGCGTATAAATCTAATGCTCTATCATAACACTCCATCTTCATTATTACACAAGACTCACACCAATATTTTTTCTCGTATTTTATTTTTTCAATACTTCTTCTTACAAGCCTCCAGGTATAAATATATGTAAAAAAATGTAACATAACACGTAAAAGTGCACATTCGAGCAAATGTGTTTACCTGACACCAGAAATGGAAACTTAACTGTCATACATATTGGCTACTGCACATTCACTTGTTCACTGTACACACAAATTGAACACAATGTGGACGAATATGTGACCGAACAAAAAGAGAAAAACCAGGGCATGGCTCAGAATGAATGACACTCTTTAAAAATTCGAGGCCAGTGTACCAGGACATAGTGTGAGAAGTTCCATAACCAGGCACAACGTGAGGTTGATTTGGCTACAGAGAATACTGCACCAATGCTTCAGACAAGACACACAGACATCCCGGCTCACTGAGCTCCACTAACATAACTGCAAAATAATACCTCTTTCTATAATGCTTGATAGAAGATTTCAATAGATTTAAGGTTTTTATAAATTAGAATACAAAAGAAACATGCTATAACCGTGGCTTATAGCATCACCAGTATAAATAATTTACAATCTTGATGACTTGCATTGTATATTATTCGAAACAACAAGAGACATAAATGACGGACATCAACAAACATGTTGGCATAAAAGTAAAAAGACAAAGCTGGAGAGGAAAAAATAACATAATAAAATGTGAGAAAGGCAGAGGATGTGAGCTTGAAGAAGGAAATCTACAACACTTGACATCATTTTTAGGATGTTGAGAAAAGCAGCAATTCCAGGGAAATTGAGGTTAACACGGCGGGTGCTACAAAGCTCAGGAACGTTTTGGGGTGGCAACTTTTGGGTTATTAGTAGAAAATTAGGAGTGGAAGCGGGGGTGTGTGTAACATTCGAAGGAGTCTACATGATCTGACGATGCATACCATAGCCTGTCATGCCGGACTGAGAAGCCCCGCGGTTGCTGCCCATCTGCAGACCGATTAAACTCTGTCCTTGGCGCAGCTGCTCTTCAGTAAACTCTCGCCGGTAGCCCTGAGCCTTCCTACACACATGAAATATGACAGTGACATAGCAAAATAGAGGGATTAAAATGTGTAAAACACAGTCAAATAAAACAATAGAGTAATAAAACTCTGCCGTTCGAGCAAGGTTTTTCTTTACTTGTGGAACCACTCCCGGTCTCCTTTGTACTGGCCGTCGTCTTTTGTGACAGCCAAACTCCCCAGAGCCATCAGGGTCCTTTGCACTGCTGCCAGGTCCTTTGCTGCAGCCAATGCATTTTTGGGGAGACAAGTAATCTTTTAAAAACTGAAGAAGGGAAGCAGTCACAGGCTAGATTATAAAAGGCAGCTAGTTTATGAGATCCTTTTACCTTCCCAGAGGTCCACCGTTTGAAAGATGTCAGTGGTTGTCACCCCATAAGCTTCTGCTGCTTGCAGGAACTGGGAAATCTTCTCCATTTGTTTAAAGGCCATCTGGGTTTCTGGGATCTTTTTGATTGGTTCTTTCCCCCTTGGATAAAGGCTGTTGATGAGTCTACACAGGATCTGAGAAAACAGAGGATGGAAATCTGCCTTGATCGTATCATACTGACCACAACAGTGTCCATATTTGCATCTGCTATTGTAATGGTTAATGTCTATATAATTTTTACATGTAAGTAACTGTTTCTGATACTGCATTTACTTAAAAGTGCACATAGATACTTTGTTGCTTTCATTTACAGAAAGGATGAGTGACTTTGGGAAATAACATGTTGTCTTATGGCATTGTATAATTAACCTGATAAATGTGAGTATTGCTTTAAAAAAAAGCTAATATGAGATTCTCAATAACTTAAATCGAGTTCTTTAGGATTGGTATAAGAAGTGGGTACATCAATTTGCTAACTTAAAGGGCTCTTTAAAGCAAAATAGCTTTTATGTAGTAACATAAATATTGAAGATGTTTCTATTTTAGGCAGCAAGTCTCTGCAGTTACTCACTGTTCCGTCCATAAGCCATTTCTGAAAATGTTGCTTCCCTGGTTGTGGCTTCTCCAGGTTCCCGCCACACTGTGCAACTATCCAGTCCACTAGCCGTTGTTCCAGGTCGGGGTCGTACTTCTGCTCGATCTTCTCCTGCACCTCCCGGCTCAGTCCGTAACTGGGCCCTCTGTTCGCCATGGCAGGTCTCCCAAAAGTCTAGCTTACTGTATGTGGCGAAAAGCTGCCCAGAGCACAGCAAGTCACAGGTCAGGCATGCTGTTATAATGTTCTGTAACAGACTACACCTCCTATTGTTTTCATTTGAAGTAGAAACTAAACATGCAATGTTTTTAGGGAGGCACGAAAAGCTGCCTCTCCTCCCTGGAAAGTCCACTGAGGCATCTATGGATGCCACAGCAGAGAAGGGTGTGGTCTCTTGGCTGCTGTCCCGCACAAGGACCAGCCCTCTTATTGCTATGGCAACAATCAAACCAGTTTCCGGCACACTGTGATGTGCAAGGACGTTGGTGTATGAGACCACCCGTGGGCAGTGACGTGAATGAAATAATAAAATACATCAACAGAAAGTTAACACTGATTAAAACATGATAATCTAATATAATGTAACGCTCAGCCCTTTGTACTACATCAACATTCAGCATACGGTGCAGTTAATTAAATTGCGCCAGTCGTCTGTGACGCATACGTAATTCTTCACTTTACTATACCTTACTGACGCACAGTTTTTTTTTTTGGTGGTAGTTAAAAGCAGTCCATTTTTAATAAATGCTGACATCATTGCCCCAGCGCCACGCTGATACACAAACATATCTTGTTGAAACGTTTCCAACCAAAAACACAGCTTCCAAAAGCGCACACAAAATCTGCTGCGCACCACAACTTACAATAACACGTTATCCCACTTATGATGAGCACCCCGTCGTCAAGCTAAAGAAACACTTACCGAGGAGGGGAGATTTCGTTCTCTGAGCCGTCCCGTGGCACTGTCTGAATTCCGCTGAGCTGGGCAGGACTGGTGGGATGCTGAATTGCTGAAGCATCCATAAAACGCCACACGAGCGCGTCGGACCAGACTGGACCTCACTTTGTCCGGGTGGGGCGAGTGACTGGTTTTATATGCCAGCTCTTCCAGGAGGGGTCCCTAGAGACGCTCTGCATGTGGGATGCGACGTGACTCCGCTCCAGGATGGTGGTCAGTGCAGTGCAAGCTCAGCTCTGCGCAACGTGGAGTGACCCTCAACCGGCAGAGGCACATGACGGATCAATTCCACTGCTGGCTGGGTCTTTAAGCCAATATTGGATTCAATTGTGTGCAACCACCATTCTTATCTTATCGGACCAAGACTCAGTGCTGACATGGTTGCTCCTAAAACTTGATTTGATCTCTGAATAATAAGTTAGTTACGTTTCTGCCAAATGTAAAACGGCGTCTCCTAATTTGTGTGATGGATGTTAACAGTAGCTTAAGAACTCTGCCTACCTAAAAACTGCCACAAGAGAAAGTGTAGCTACCCTCTTTAAATCAAAAGTCTTTGCAGATAAAAGTGTTTAAAACAGGGCCACGTGGTTCTTCTATCTTAACTTGAGGCACATGTAACCATGGCAAAGTCAACTGTTGAAACATTGTAAAAGAAATCTGAAGTACAAGCTATGATAACCATATTTTGCAACAGTAACATGAAATATTTGTTTGCATGACATAAGCAGCCTTTCATTGAGTTTCACAGGAATTTACTCCCATAAAAACCATTTAAATCCAGCACAGATGTGAACTTAAACTGGACGTTTAACTATTTTCTCAGTCCAACACAGTTGTTGTTGTTTTGCTGCTGCATTCAGGATGGTTGTCCTGTTGCACGCTTCACTTTTGGCCACGTTTTTATTTCATTTTTTATAAGTGTTTTCTAAGTGTGACAACAAGTTTTGGGGTATTGGGTCTGTTACCATTTAGAACATTAAAAATCTAACATCTTTTTAGTTTAATTTGCAATTTATTGGTATTTGTCACTCAGACTTTGGGGTGAACTTCCTGGGATGTCCTCTCCTAGAAATGTTGACAATTTTATTGTTATTCATTGGTGAATTAATCCCCATATACGTAAAATAATATATTTAAAATTACTTTCTAAATTCATGCAGAAGCAGTTGGGTGTATTCGATTTTCCCTTTCACTGCTTCAGTAATATGGTATAACTTTTGTTCAGTAAAAATGTACACATTGTTATGTGGTGTGTGTTGGTTATCTGAGAATACGATCATCCCTGGATACATAAAGCAACATAACTGAAAAAGGCTGCATGCTGCAGTCCCTTTTCACCATTTCTCATTTCAGTGGTAACTGTCATGCTGTTGGCTGCTGTAAACTGACATTTTAGTTTAGACATAAAAATGAGTGACTACAGAGCTATGTCATAAGTTAAAGGTCACTGCTGCAGTTAAGAGGACCAGAGAGAGATAAGTGGTTGATTTGCTTCAATGAGCATCGAGCAGCTTGTGGACAATTACATGTTAATAATCAACAGTCCATTGGCTCCATTGAGCAGGCCTCACAACTAAAGGTCAGCAGGTATGGGGTGTCATGTAACGGAAAGTTCACCCTACAAAAATAAACCTCATATGTTTGTAGTTTACGACCCTGATAAATACACAAGGCAAGAAGCCATGTACTCTACAAACTGTTATGTTTCTGAACCACAGATCACTCTGTGAACTGTTCTGTAATGATGGTGATATGGGGTATACACCTCTTTTTCCTTTTTAACTTTAGCTTGGTAAGACTCCCACACAATAGGTTAAGTCTATAATGAATTGATAGTGCTCACCCTGTGGTATCCATGCTGCCCTATGTGCCTCAGGTCTGAAGTTTTCCTTCCCCACCTCCTACCGCATTGCTCAATTGCTGTTTGTTAACTCTGCTTTCAGCCAAATTAAGTGAATTGCTCTGCCATACTGTAATAAAGGGTGTATACTGCAACATATTTCTAGTCATAAACAAAACATCCGTCAAATACCAATACAGATTTTTCCAAGCATCCCTTAAGCAGTCATTGCCAAACACAAATATGTTTAAACAAAAAGAAGAAAGTGGGTGATGTGCTGTAGCAATTTGCCCTTTTCAACAAGCCAAATTGAAACAGAAATGGGATGAAAATTGTGGTTTACACAAACACAAGACGTCTATGCTTTTAGTGCCTCATAAAAGAGGCTAATATGGAAATATGTAGACAGTGTGTTGCCAACACAAAGCTTAAAGATCACAATGGATTATAGCATGTAATATGTAGTAATGTCAAAGAAGCACTTATTGGAATAACTGACATTCACGAGTGCTTTCCATTATCAGCCTGAATAATTCCTAAGACTAAATGTGTGCTGTAACACACTGCTTTGGTATTTCTAAATAAGGGTAATTAGCCGCCCTCCCCAATAATACATTTCTTTTGAATGTTTTCATATTTGAGCCTCCTTTTCTATATTGTCAATACTTTAGTACTATGTACTTTCCACATTTTAATATAAACTTTACAGCAGTCGAAAAAATTGTGTCTACTGTGTGTGTACTTTCACAGACTTGCAGACCTGCACTCTAGTGTGCAGAGGTTTTATTGACCAAAAAGGGTGAAAAGTGATTAAAAAGGCACAGGAAAACTGTATCTACTTACAGAGGAGGAAAAAAACCCAAAACAGCCCAAAACAGTAAGAACAAGCAGAGGGACAGCAGCAATGGCAGACCTAACAGCAGCTGACCAATGTAAAACTCGAAACAACAATCCTAAGCACATATAAATGTAACCTGAAAACATTAGGGAGCAGCGATCAGCGGAACCCCTTTTTGAAAACGTTTGCTCTGCTATGGCATATTGACATGATAATGCAGACAGAGGAAATACAGGGTAAACAGGTGGACAGAAGGTCACATTTGGCAGAGAAACATGCCTTTGTTTGGTAATTTCCTTGAGTGTTGACATCCCAGTTTCCAGTCACTTTTCTTCTCTTAAGAACATCTCCTCTATCCATTACTCAGACCATAGTGGTCAGCTTGTCTATAAGATCGTCAATAGTGTAGACCATAAGCTTGATGTCATCCTTATCAGACATGCGGTGCTGACCGTGTCGCCTGAGGATGACATCCACATCAGGGCTGAGAATACGTTCTGCCACCTGCATGGAGATGTGCCAGGGGACGTCCTCATCTTTGAGCCCATGAATGAGCCGCACGGGGCAGGTGATGGGAATGGGACTATGAAGGACACAGTGATTTTCTGCCTCACGCAGAAAGTCCATGTTAAACTTGTAAAGACCATCCTCTGCATGTTTGGAGGGCAACACCCATTCCCCCTTTTCCTCGAACTCCTTACGAGTCTGTACAATAAACATAAGGGAGAGTCACTTAGAAAACAAGGTTTTCACAAAATGGCAGTAATAATACCACGTCCTCACCTCCAGTGGAAGAGATTTGAATGATGTGACGATGTGATCAGCAGCACTAGAGATGCCCACCAGAGCAGCAGTCTTCTCTGGTCTTGCGATGGCTGCCAACAGCATGAGCCAGCCGCCTATACTGGAGCCCACCAGTATCTACAAGTAAGCAGAAAAAACACAAGATAATAGTAGACTAAGTCTACTCCTGATTAATGGAACATGAAGGACAAAAAAAAACTACTTAGGGATATTACAAAAAGAAGACTGCAAACCAATTCAGTAACTGTGCCAACACAATACTGAAGTGTACACATTGCAGCACAGTGCCATCTGCTGGACACAGACAAAAGTGCAAGTAAAAAACAGAATTATCAAAGAACTTAACCCGGTCTGTTCCTTGATCAGATTCTTTGTCAATAAGCTATACTTGATATACATTTTCAAAACAAAACACATTTCTCATTTCTTCAACAAACAATAAACATTAAAAAAGCTAAATCCACCATGATTTACACTCCTTAATGTGTGCACAGGAGTGTCAGTCCAAACAATATTTACCTGTGGGCCCTCCGCTAGCTCATCCAACACAAAAAGGACATCTTTTTTCCAGGTACCAATGGTTCCTTCTGCTAACACCCCTTCTGAGGCCCCATGTCCTGTGTAATCAAACCTGGGAAAACATAAATAGAACAGCAAAAGCCCATGACTGTTACTAATGAAAACAAAGCCCCAGGAGACCACTGGCCAGCTTTTCAGAAAAAATGTTGAACCCTTCGGGACATTGGGAATAGATTTCTCATTTGCATTCAACGGATATATGCAGAAAGTAGACAAATTACATTTTTAAAGAATATCAAATATAAACCAGAAACATTTAAATGTCACCAAAATGCTTCTTTATAAGGGCATCTATAACCTTGCTGTTGCATCAACCCTCCTTAAAGATACTAAATTGAAATACAGAAATGGCAAAGTTGAAGGCTTTCACCTCAGCTCAGAGCCTCCTTTCTCAAATTCTTCATTTGTTATGGGTCAAATGTTTTTGATGGCCAAACTGTTGTAGTTTGGCATTGTTTTGCTAAAATGAATATTTAATATCTTTATTATCTTCTCTTTTCTTTTAAAATCACACTGTATACATTATTGCCATGCCAGAGCATAGAGGAGACTGAGTGAATACACTACTTAAACGTTAGATATCTTAACTAACTAAATGGCACAACACATTTAGCTAACTTACCTTGGCGCCTGACAGAACCAACACAGGTTTTATTTTTGCTTTAGGTCAAGTACTAATGTAGCATTAAAGGGATCGATAAAGTAATTGAATCTGATGAGTATGGTTAATTGTTGGGTACGGCTCCAGTCTACTTGAACCCTCTTGCAAAGGCTTATGCCACAACTCGATCACTTCGGTCATCAATGGATTGTCATCTAGCAGTGCTACACAACACTTAAGACAATCCAGACTGATTTGTGTGTTGTTCCAAGATGGTGGAATGATCTACCAAGCGCTACAAGAACAGCCTATGAGAACTGTCTATCTTTAGGAAACTCTTAAAGACCCACTCTTCAAAGAGCATCTCCTATGCTAACTCTTCCCCATACCTCTGTACCCCTCTACTACTCTGTACTTCCCTCTATCTCTTTGCCTTCACCACTGATTCCGACTAGGGATTTTTCTCTAGAGAACTTATTGTCATATGATAACTGTAACATTGTGTCTACTTGTAAGTCGCTTTGTATAAAAGCGTCTGCTAAATGCATAAACATAAGCATAATTTGGAGCAGTGAACTAACCAACCAGTGATAAGCCAGTGTTTTTTTTTCTTCTTAGAAACACATTCATACATCTAAACAGAGCTTCGGTTTAATGGCTGCAGATAAAGGGTTAAGAAAACAGTTCTCCCACATTCCATCCTCCATTAACGGCACATATTTTCAGTAACTGGTTCTGTTTATCATATCCAGTGTTTTTACATACCACCAACAAGAAATATAGACTTTTGTTTGCTGATGGAAGTTGTGAGAGCAGAACTGGGTTGATGTACATTATCAGGTCCACATATTTGTGGTTCTTGCTGCTCTTTGACACAAATAGACTGTGTCACTTTGTGTGACTTTGTGATTTTTCTGGAAAAATACAACTTGAACAGATTAGATTAATTTTTTTAGTGAATAAGTGAGTAGAGCATGCTGGGTGCACATATGATTAATTTGATCTGTTCAGTGTTCACTCCACCCAGTTTTGTGATGCATTTGGGTGACTTACCTGAGGCATGAGTGCCCTAATGACCTACAAAACTCTTCCAGTGCCTCGGCTTTCTGCCCATTCATGTTGGAACCATATCCTGGAAGGAAGACCACACCTGGGCTTTTCCCCTTCACTTTTCTGTAGGCCAGCTTTGGGAGGTCTGGTCGAGAGGCATACTGAACTGTAGATTTGTGTCTCCGATCTGCTGGAAAACAAGAAACACTGATGTAATGTAATGTAATGTATGATGTAATGCAGTGATGTAGCAAAAAATATGTTTCCAACACACTGCATATTAGGAAAATCTTAATTGTATTCTATTATAGATAACAAAACTCAAATGTTATTGGATAAAGCTTTAATTGACGTCCCCTAGAAATAAGAACATGGAGTCCCTGAATACAGCATGTACATTGTTATCATATCACCCTCAAATTCCAGCATTACGACACACTAACACATCAAAATGAAGCTAATTAACGTCAAAATGTTTATAAATGCTACAAGAATAAACACAGATGGTGCAAATTCTGTCACTCGTACAAAACACAGCACCGTTTACATGCCCTGAATTTTTAGGACGGCGCAATCACCACACCCCCTTCGGTGCCTTAGATAACATTCGACTGACATTACAGCGTTGTAATATTAAATTAGTTGAATGGAAACACTTTAACAGACCTTCCAGCCGCTTTGAAGACAAAGCTGCGAGTCCTCCATTACTTAATATATTTGAAAGTCCTCTGCGGCAGGACCTCAGCGAGACGGCTGCCATACTGTTCCGCGACCACTACGTAAATATCGCGAGAGAACAAAGTAGCTCTCGTTTACTTACACTCAGGGAACACAACTGTTTTGATTAGCATTTTAAATAAGTTAAAAGCAAAATACGAAGCAGAAGATATGAAATAGGTATTTAGATTTTAATTACAACAATACATGTTATTTTTGACGAAATGATAAATCACCATGAATGTGCATTTATGCACAAAGCTTTTTTATGTACTAATTCATTTAAACTATAATATACAAATACTTCATACATCATCTATTAATCTTTTGACAAAATAAGTGCCAACAGTGGTCAGAGAAATGTTGCAGATGGAAGTGGCTTGATTTTAATTCAATATAATGGAGAAAAAAATATTACCAGAAAATGTTACAACATGTTACAACCATTGGAAAGTATAGATACAATGACAATTTCAGATTTAATTTAGGATGTTTGCAGGTATCTTTATAATTTGATTACATTACCCTTTTTTCAAGCAGTTAGTCTCTGTCAACATCCTGTTACATCTGTTAAATGTGTGGCAAATATTTAAATGTTTTTTAATTCTTTGAGAGGCAGAAAATGGAAACATGTATGATACTGCCTTGGGTTTTTATTTATTTATTTTTTTACCACTGCCTGTGACCCATCTTGGGTTTCAGCCAATTTATTAAATGGAATTCAGAAGAATTACTTTTATTCTTAACGTTGACAACAACCCCTAAAGGACAAAGCTAGTGAGACGCTGAATGGCAGCTGAATAGATATGGTTTAGGTTACAGAAAATATCAATATATCATACATTACAGCAAAGGCTAAATTTGACAAGACACATATAACACATAAAACACAATCAAGTACAAAAAGCTGAAAAACACAAACTGTAAATTGACTATAACTTTCTCGGCCAGGCGAAGACATTTGCATTACCAGTATTGTCCTAAATTCCGTCCATAACTTACATTTGTATGTTATTTTGGGCCACGGTCTCTACATGGTAACTCGGGCGTTTATTCATGGGGGCTGGCAGGCAGGCAGTTGCTAAGCTAAGCAGCTTCCCGGTGAGCTTTTATTTTGCTATCAGCTAGCGTGGAGTCCGGCTAGTTCAGAGGCTAAAGTTGCGGTGTGTGGTGAAAATACTGAAGGAGGCAGAGTTGGAGTTGTTGTGAGTTGGCGACTGTCATGTGAAGTGTCAGTTCGTAACATGACTCAGAGCGTCACAGGCGGAAGGTCATTGAGCAGCAGAACGGAACGGAAGCGGGAGTAAAAAAGCCTATCCGCCATTGTGGAATATGGTGAGGGATATTCCAGTAAGGCACCAGTCTGTTTCAGATTGACTGTTGAGCACCGTTTGTGGCAGGAACGGACGCGTTTGCTGACGCCTTCTCAACGGACAAAAAGTCGCCGTCTGTAAGAGCCAGAAGAGGCAGGCCGTCGTGAAGTGAGAACACGGCAGGAAAACGCTGCCTTGTAACGCTCCCAGAGTGATTGGACAAGCGGAGAGACGAGCCAGGAAGGCACCCGAGTGCGGAGACAGAGACAGGCAGGGGAAGCCGTGGACACACAGTCTCACAAGCAGCGACCAGTGTTGGTTCCCGGAGGATGTCTGCGACCACAGTCGATCAGGTTCGAGTTTTCATTCGTGATTCGTTGCTGAATGTTAGCGTTGCCGTGAAATGAAACTTTTGCCGACAACAGTTTGATCAGATTTGGCATGCCAGATCAAACAGGCTACAAAGTCCCTGATATGTGATAGCTATTAGCTGGAACGTAGGCCAAGCAACTCTGCCAATGCGACACCGTTTACTGGATGTCAGAGTGTTTGACATCCGGTCAATAAAACCAAGAAACCTGTAAATGTTAACATCCTGGCTGGGACTTACTAAAGGGGACTACAGTATTTGTAGTTCTACGATGCAGCCCGGTCTGTCAGTGTATTTTTTGTTTCCTGACGTGATCTGAAAACAGTCTAATCTCTCTTCCCTTTCCGTTATTTCAGAGACCTAAAGGACAAGGAAGTAAAGGTAAGGATTTGACCGTGATTTGTAGACGGTAAACAAGTCATCACCAGGATGGCTCAGCAAGCTTCTTTCTCATAAGCTAACGTGCTCTCAGGTATTTACTGGTAAATATTGTCATTTTTAAACTGTAGTCAGCAGCATTGTTGCTACAACACAAAAAAAAATCTTTGGCCAAAGTTATTAAAACTGACATGGTTATTTTACAATTACACACTGTACACATAAGTGCGTGTCTATTTAATGATTTCTCTTTCATTATATAGTACAAAACGGATCAATGCATCAGAAAGATGGTGTGAATGATGATGATTTTGAGCCTTACCTAAGCGGCCAGACAAATCAGGTAAAGTACTAAAAAGGGGATGTTGTGATTGTTTCTGACAGACAGTGTCCTCCCCCTCTATTTGTGGGCAATATTAATAATTTAACGTGATTTCTAATTTATTATATATTACAAAAAAACTATGAACACAAGTGAATTGCTGCAAATCTAGCAAATCAAGTTCTTAGAATTATTGTTCTCTGCTTTTTTTTCTGAACGAGTCCATTTGATGTTCATTGAAGAGTTTTTACATTTGTTTTATGGTCTGGTTAGAAATAATTTTACACACTGCAATATTAAATAGCACATTAATGTTCTTATACTATACACTAATGCAGCACATTTAGGTATTTTCTCTTTGAATTGCTTCTTTTCATCTTCTGTCTCTTCATTATTTAACCTAAACCAGTTCCTTAGCTCTGATTGGTCAATTTAACAGTCAAAAATGGCTGGCATGAAGAAAACTGCTAAGCTAATCCTTTCTACTAAACCAGAGCAGAGCAAGGGGAACAGAGCGGGAAGTTTTTGTTCCCTATGGCTGTTTTTATGTACAAAGTCAGTGTTGTAAATGCACATATTATTACGTGTTGTGTTATTCTGTAAAATACATTACATTTCTTTCTGTGCCACACAGAATAACAGCTATCCACCCATGTCTGATCCCTACATGCCCAGCTACTATGCTCCATCCATTGGTTTCCCTTATTCTCTGGGAGAGGCTGCTTGGTCCACAGCAGGAGACCCACCAATGCCCTACCTAACGACCTATGGACAGATGAGCAATGGCGAGCCGCACTTTATCCCAGATGGTGTTTTCAGCCAGCCAGGTGCCCTGGGAAACACTCCTCCCTTCCTTGGCCAGCATGGCTTTAACTTCTTCCCCGGTAATGCAGACTTTTCCACCTGGGGCACCAGTGTTTCTCAGGGTCAGTCGACGCAGAGCTCGGTCTACAGTAACAGCTATGGCTACGCTCCCAGCTCTCTGGGCCGGGCTATCGCGGACGGACAGGCAGGCTTTGCAAACGACACCCAGCTCAGTAAGGTCCCGATGCTGAGTAGCATTGAGCAGGGTATGGCGGGGTTAAAGCTGGGTACAGATATGGTGGCAGCTGTCACCAAAACCGTGGGTTCACCCTTGGGAGGCACAGCAGGTATGAGCAGTATGGCGGCCAATAACCTTCCTCCATCTGTCAGCTCCTCTATACCTAAACCAGCCTCCTGGGCAGCGATCGCCAAGAAGCCGGCCAAGCCCCAGCCTAAGGTCAAACCCAAAGCCAACATGGGGATGGGTGGCGGTGCCACCATCCCGCCACCACCCATAAAGCACAATATGAACATTGGTACTTGGGACGATAAGGGCTCTCTGAACAAGCCCCCAATAGCTCAGACTATGATGCCACCCCAACCTCTGGTGCAGCAGCCTCTTCTCGCTCAGCCCCAGCCCTTACTACAGAACCCTTTACCCCATCAGCCTCCACACCAGCCCCATCACCAACCCCATCACCAACCCCATCACCAACCCCATCACCAGCCCCATCATCAGCCTCATCACCAGCCCCATCACCAGCCCCATCACCAGCCCCATCACCAGCCCCATCATCAGCCTCATCATCAGCCTCATCATCAGCCTCATCATCAGCCCCATCATCAGCCCCATCACCAGCCCCATCATCAGCCCCATCATCAGCCCCATCATCAGCCTCATCATCAACCCCAGCCCTTCCAACTCCAGTCCCCCCAACACCCCCAACCTGTGCCTCCTGGCCCTCCGCACCTACACCTCACCTCTCAACCAGGTCCCCCACAGCCCCTCCACCATCCACACCCCCAGCAGCCTGGCCCCCCTCCCAGCCGCTGGGTGGCTCCAAGGAACAGAGGGGATGGCTTTGGTCTGGGAGGTGGTGTTCCACTGAGTGCCTCACATTGCTCTGGAGAAGTGCATCCCGTGTTGGAGAAACTCCGCGCTCTCAACAACTACAATCCCAAAGACTTTGACTGGAACTTGAAAAATGGACGTGTTTTCATTATCAAGAGCTACTCAGAAGATGACATCCACCGCTCAATCAAGTACTCCATCTGGTGCAGCACAGAACACGGCAACAAGCGCCTGGATAGCGCTTACTGCTCAATGGGCAACAAGGGGCCCCTATACCTCTTGTTCAGCGTAAACGGCAGTGGGCACTTCTGTGGCGTGGCCGAGATGCGCTCGCCGGTGGACTACAATGCCTATGCGGGCGTCTGGTCTCAGGACAAATGGAAGGGCAAGTTTGAGGTGAAGTGGATTTTCATCAAGGATGTGCCCAACAACCAGCTGCGGCACATCCGGCTGGAGAACAATGACAACAAGCCAGTGACCAACTCCAGGGACACTCAGGAAGTGCCTCTGGAGAAGGCCAAGCAAGTGCTTAAAGTTATTGCCACATACAAGCATACCACCTCAATCTTTGATGACTTTGCACATTATGAGAATCGTCAGGAAGAGGAGGAGGCTCTGAGGAAGGTGAGATGAATACACATTTAAAAAAACATGCTATCAGTGCATACATGGTTAGCATGTATGGGACAGTTCAGTGGAGCTGCTCCTCAACTCAGAGGGAGGCTAACCTGCTCTGAGCCACTGCAGCAGCCTGTTGTCAGGGCGGAATCAGCTGTTCTGAGGTTGTAACGTCTCATCGTTGCATAAACTGCCTGCAGTAGAAAGACCTTCTTAGAGGCCTGTCAGCACCTCGATGCGCCTCTGTTCCTCATACGCAGGCTCAGGAAGACCTGACTCCTGAACAGCCATCTTCTGCTGTTAAGATCGCAATGGCTTTCCCAAGTGGAGATGGGTGCATGTTTCCTGAAATAACCCACATTCCTGGCATTCCCTCTCTCAGACAAAGGCAGATGTAGGCCCAGATCTCCCTTTGAACACGAGCCTCCCTGCTCTCCACAGGCTCCTCCTGCTTTATTAGCCTTTAACAACATAAGCCCTCGGTGAACAAACTGGCTGCATCACGCCTCGGCACAGTTGGCAGAGTTTGATTTTTAAAAATATTCGCTGGAAAATACATGAGAATATGCTTGTTTACTCACACACAAAGCTACACAGTATTAAAGGCTTCGGAGGAGAAAATGTGTTAGAAATCCTAAAAATGGGGTGCAGCCAATGCTGTAAAAGCTCTGCAGGATGCTACTGTGTGGGAAACGGCAGCCAAAGAGCAAAACCTGGCACAGCTGATAGCCTTTTTCTGCATCCATTCTTAGCTCTACTCTTCTATTAATGTCATGAAAAAAACCCACATGACCTGCCCCCTCCTTTTCTCCCACTCCCTAACTGCTGCTCCTCTGCTGATGCCGCTGACCTTGTTAATATGCACCAGGTTACCTTCTCATAAATATTTCAAGTCGGTGTTTTCAGGCTTCTGAAAACAACCTGTCAGTAGGAAGCCAGTTTCATTCTGTGCCGGGCGTTGCGCTGCGCTGCTTTTGTAGCCCTGACCTCCTACATGACAGGATCGGCCTCACCCTCCTTGGCCTGACAAGGTTAATTGTTGTCTTTTGTTTGGCCTGTCCTTCCCCAACTTTGAGAGGCATCAACCAGTCCAGCTACCTGCACAGCAACACCATCCTCATGCTGTATTTTGTAAAGATACCTTAGCTACTGAATGTTTCCGCAGGATTTAATTAGCATAGTTGATTTCATAATTATTATATGTAGAGTTCTACCTTCATTTTTTCTCGATATACTTGTAAGGAGGAAGCTCACTAGAGTGTAACAGTGTGTCATCAGGGAGGAGAATTATTAATACTTATTTTTCTATTTAAGTTAATTTAAGCGGTTATATAAACGGCGTTAACCCCCATGCCTTGTATAGACTCAGCTTTGACAGGGCCTTATTGAGGATAGAGTCTCTCTTCAGGCCAGTCCTTTAGAAGTTTTCCCCATAGGACCATTTTAAAGGGGAGTCAGTCCAAATCATTAAGATCTGTGGCTAACTTTGCTGCTTATGTTTGATCATAGTATAATTTTACTCCTGACATTGTGCCATTAACTCACAACGCTCAACATTCCTGTTTTCATTCTCTGCAGCACACCTGTAGGCATTCGATATTTTCAGCGTATCACATGTTCTCTTGTTTTGTTTAGTGCGTCAGCCTTTCTTTCCCATCTTAGAAAATAATTGAAGGCGAATGTAGTAACTGCAGAGTCCTGCTAGAGTAAACATAGCTGAATATTTGGTTAAGCGCATTCCTTGGAACCTTTAAACACATTTTTAACCCCATGTTTTTGTCATGGTGTTGACTCTGCTCTTTGCTCTCCCTTTCTTTTTGTACTGAACAGTAAAAAACATTAGAGATAGATTTCCCCCATCTACTGTATCAGGAATAGATACGATGATCACAAAACTACCCAACAACAAGACATGCAGACTGTCTCTCATCTAGGGAGGTTAGGTTAAATGTGCCTAAGTACACAACAAGCAGCATGTTGCTGTCAGCCTTGAAGTGCTTGTTCCTGGAACCATTTTTTAGGATCCAGCACTTTACACAGACAACAGGAAGCTAACTTCTGCAATAAGGTGTCAGCAAATCTAAAAAAAACACTGCGCTGCAACATTAAAACCAGCTTCCTAATATAATGTGGGCCACCTGGTCCTCTCCCCATGGAAGGGTCTTTCTTGGTTTGGTGGCTGGTTTGGATCCAAAACAAATGCCAGGACCTAAGATAACCCAGCATAGTGTTTCACAGAAATAAGATAAGCAGTTTTATTCACCTCACCTGTCAGGGGTTCTAATGTTGTGGCTCGAGTTGATATTTATACTTTCACTGGGTAAATAGGGTTGATATTCTTAGGTGTTATTTGAACTGCCTCTCTTATTGACATTACATATATGAAGACATGCATAGTCAGCCAAAACTTTTGGTTGAGTGTTCCTGTGTGAATACAGTCAAATAATGATTAACCGAATGGCTCCCAATTATCTCTACATGTCCTTGCCGGTAAAACAGGAAAGGCCTGCTTTAGAGCCCGTGTTTGTCCTATCTAGGCTACAGGATGCCATGCTGTAATTTGAGGAATGGATCTTTATGTGTTCTCAGCACTGAATGTCTTTGATTTTGATGCACTGCACTGAAAAACCAGCAGGAGACCAGTTGTGATGCTGCATTTGAAGCTGCTGTGGAGCTGTTTTTACTCCTTTGATGCTCTTCTGCTGGTGCCATCCACTGATTATCTCTTTGTGTCTTCTCTTCCCCTGCCAGGAGCGCAGTAGAAATAAACAGTAAACTGCAAGCAAGCCCTGCGAGAACTGCAACACTAATGATGTAGGACCTTAAATCAAATTTGCCTAACCACGAAGAGGAAAGGCCTTCACAATCTTTCCACTGAAGATGACAATGTATTTGAACACTTGAACCTGGCATTAGGCGGACTCATCTGTTTCTCCTGACTGGTGCATCAGACCCTGTGTTCCTGTCTCACAAGAAAAAGAGCATCACCCCACTTTGAAACCCAGTCTTTAAAGCACTTTGATTCCTTTCTAAACAGCTTCTGCCAATCCCCTTAACTCTTTAACTCTGTTCTTTTTTGTTTTGTTTATGATCAACTAACTGATTAACTAGAGTAGTCAGAATACTTCCTGAACTTATTTTTATAGTTTTTTGTTAAAGCGTCCAATGTTAGGTTATTGATGAGGCTCAGGGGTTCATCAGGCCTTGAAGAGTATTAAAGATATATAGATTAGTATTGTACATGAACCTCTGTTTAGCCATCTAATCCTCGCAGTTTGGAGGCTGTGGGTGACTAACAGGTGGGATAGAGTAATTGGTAAACAGCCACAATGATGCCAATCTTCAGATTTTTTCCTCCCTAACTTTTTTCCTTTTTTAAAAAAATCTTCCTGCATCTGTTTACCAAAAGATAATGATGCAGCAGACTGATGACTGCTTTACATCTTTTTTTTTTTTTTTTAATTCTCTTGCGATTTTGTCCTTCTGAAGTGCATTTGTCTGAGGAGAAACCTGCTGCTCTGGTGGAACTAGTGGTGCCCTCCATTGGGCCTGCTGGTGTCTGTCTCTGCTCTGATGTTGACGTACTTGAACAGTACCTCAGGCTCAATCAGACCGTGCGTCCACAACAACTTTCAGCACTTTTGGGAGAACCTCCACAGCGTCCCACTTAATCAAATCGACTTGAGATTCCTCCAAAATGGCAAAAACGTATTCTGCAAGGTTGTGACAGTTTTCTCCTCTTGGTAACTCACATAGCTAAATAAAAATGATACATGTTTAGCGCAAATGTTGCTTTTGTGTTTTTCCTGACACATACTTACAGTTACTTTGAATCTGTTGGCTATTAGTTATTGCTGGAAGAAATGCGCCGCACAGGCTGATTTCTCAGTAGGCTTTGTGCAGGTGTACGGCAGCAGCCATCCTCAGAAGCCTTAGTGTCACCTGTAAGACCTGCAAGGACAGGAGCATGCAGACAGAGAGGGTTAAGGCACAGGCCTCCTCATGTGGTGCACATAGTTTCAGCCTCAGTGCGTCTTTCATGCATAAGCTACTCTACACTTAAGCAGCAAATGTTTGTTAACTCATCACATTTATGTTACTTTCAGATCGAGATTGGAGGGTTCATACGTCACATCATTATAAGCCTCTTCTAACTCATGCAAGCGAGATACATGAACCATTTGTGAAACATCACTTACGTTCTGTAAGTGGTCATATTAACTGATAATTGACATAAAGATAAGAGTCCATGTCCTAGATGTGAACTGAGCTAACTATATCCATCATTTCTTGTAACTGTAATCATCCAATGACCTCTTGGACTGATGTGTCTTATGGAGGTAACAGGAGTTAGTTAAATATAGCTCTATTAATACAGCATCCCACCACTTTCTAGATGTTCTTTAATATAAGTATTGCTATTAATATTTAACGTACTTATGATGTTATGATAGTTATAATACTTTATTACATTTACTCAAGTAAATTAGCCATAATCGAGGCTTTGCATTCAAAATGGGGAATTTCTGCATTTTTAAAATTGGCTTGTAAGAGCATGCTGTGAGTGCTTCTATCACCCCTGTAAGCGGCACACCTGCCAAGAGACAACTGTCAGTAGAAAGCCAGTTTCTCCTGCCAATTATTGAATAAGCTTGACTGGTCCGACGAAACTTACTTTCAGTTACACAGTAATGATGGCAGGCTAGCGTTAGGCTGTGAGAGAAAAGGTGAGGCATTCACTCTGACAGGTTCCTGCGCAGCCAGCAGGAGATGCCTCAAAGTCACAGCACAAGGATGGATTAGAAACGGTTTGTGAAACATCCAGCACGAGTCATAATGTTGATGTACCACAAACTGGACAGCAAGCACCTCTCTGCTGAAAGTACAGCATTCAGAAAAAAAAACTACATTATGCTTGCAGAAAAGTATGACTGTGTTTTGTCTAAATACATTTAAACTATCATTATTTTGGAACAATTTGTTTAGTATTGAGCTGTATCTGAATTTATGTGTACTGTATGATACCAATGCTGGCTGGGTAGCTTATGAATGTCCCTCAGATATCTGTAAAGCCTCATGATGTATGATGTTTTTCTTTCTCCTTTTTTTAGATATAGTTCAGCTGAATTTATTGCTGTTATACAAGGCTGGTTTACAATTAATGTATTTTCAGGGAAGAGGAACCCAATGATCCTCAGATAAAAAAGTCCTAGAGACTAATTTCTTTGTTAAAAATAAGGCCATATCCTGAACACAAATAATTTCAAGGTTCCTCAAAGTGTTCTCAGTAATCATACAGTTAGACTGGTCTTTTGGATCATCAGTTCAAATCAGTTAAGTCAAAAAAGAATGAAAAGAATAGTATACTCCCCTCGGAATCATATTTAAAGTTAGATTCCTTTTATTCTCCAAATACTATTTTCACAATGGCTGAAATAATGATAAACAACCGAACCCAACAAATTTAGTCACAAACTGCCCAAAAGATTTTCAACTGTAATGATAAAAACAAACAACAAAGGATGAAAATAAAGGCTTTCGATTCAACCTTATTGAGTAAATGTCTGTGCTGCTGAATAATGCTTACTACCTGTTGGGTAGTAAATATTGGGTAAATAGGGTAAATATTGATCTGAGTAACTATTTGTGTTGTCCTTATGAAGGTGATGGGCCTCATCTGCCACATTGAGTTAACAGTGTGTTAAATGGCAGGTGGTGTCTGTAAAAAACAAAGCAGGGGTAACATTGTTCCATTCTTCAGGATTCTGGCAGTTATCATACAGCGTCTCAAAATTACTTTCTAGAGCTGGTTGGTTTTTCAAGCTCAGTGAAAAAGGAACAAATATAAAAGAGGAGAGAAATGTTACAGCTAATGACAGAACATTTTTAGACAAGATACAATAACTCGCATGTTTTGTTAACGTAGACAGGTTGTTCTATGAATGTTAGATTAATTACAGAAAGGAAACTGTTTTTATGTGTGTTTTCACTGGTGTCAGATATGTCATTTGCGCACACTCCCCTGGTCAGTTCTTATCCCTGTGATGACATGATTCCCCTCCTTTCACCATGTCTCCACTAGAGCGCGCCATCATGTCACTTTATAACAAATACCCTCTTCACTCAAAAGGCACGCTGCCACTCTTTTCCTGTGAGCGGCAGAGCCCTCTTTCTTCTCAAGCCCCCCATCTCCTACGGACACAATTATTACCAGGATGAGAAACACTTGTTGTGCTTCCACGGCTCTTTGGAGCAATTAATGCCAGCCCGCCAAGCTGTGTGGTGAGAGGTGGAAAGGAGAGGGTGAAAGAGGATGTAAGCGGGGATGAGAGGAATCCGCCTTTATGCGTGTGAAGGAGGAAGAGGGAGTTGTAATAATAACAGTGCAGGCTTTGGCTTGCAACCTCTCTCCTCCGTGTGTTAATTTGTGCATCCGTCAGGTTTTTTGCAGGCAGCCCCTTGAAAAGGGATGTCTGCCTCTGTGTGCCCGTTATCAGCAACAGACAAACTATGCAGGAGACCCGCTATTTATTTGCCTCACAATGCCTTCACAATTACTGGTTGTGTGCAGTGTCCGTATTCTTAAATGTGAGAAACACAATTTAATTAGAGAGCTGTGGTGTGATGCAGCTCTGACCCACGTCCAATAACAAGGGTTCTCTGTACTGTTTAATGAGCACAGCAGACTGCTCTACGCACGGACTTGCTCTTGCTTTTCTTAGCATTTTGGAATCAAAGTAACTGATTAATGACTTTGATATCACAGTGCAGTTAATTTGTCCCCAACTAGAGTGGTCAAAGCTGTTTTGAGGAATTGCCAAGAAAAACTTTTTCCCCCTCCCACCCCCAAACCATCAAAATGTCCTTCTGGAAAAAGATTCTGATGAGTGAAGATGAGAGAAAACGTATCTTCTACTTAGAGAGCTGAAGTGCCTTTGAAGTTTCAGTCACACTCAAGACTCATCAACACATGGCTCAAGGCAAGGTTAGGGAAAGTCTCAGGGTTGGCACTTCCTCGATGTTTAGAAGGTTTTCACACTCTGGGCCATGTCACAAGATAAGCACTCACAGAACATCAGCGCTATTGATGACTATGTTAACTGACACGCTGTTGATTGAAGAAATTGGAATTTATTTGTACATACAGCAGGTTTTTTTTTTACAAGTCTATTGTCTTCCTGCCTATGCTGAAGTTTCAGTGATTCTCAGCAAGCCCGATGAAGCAATCAGCAGTTTTATTCCCCGTTTGAGTAAGTGGGGATTTGATTGACAGCAATGTTTAAGTATTCTTACTGCCCTTTCCCAAGGTGTCTCTGTTGCTATGGTTATATCATTATCTGTGAACTGAAAGTAGAGCCTGAACATTTGTGGAAACACAGCGATTTGATGTAGATCTGAGCTGAACCCACTGTATTGTTCTGCACACAATGAGACAGAACTAAATTATTTCGACTCGAATATTTTTTATAATTCTGTTAACGCAGGTCTTGAATTGTGAAGATAATTATCAAGGAAATCATATTTTGACTTGATCAGACCATTTAAAAAAAACATCTTTTAGTTTTCATTTAGTTTGTAGTCAAAGCAAAGAATAAAGGTTCAAAGACAAGTTATGCAACACATTTTTGGGGTCTGTCTTATTATCTGTAATGCTGCAATGCCCACAGAGAGGCAGCATCCATAAAAGAAACCAAACTGACTTTAGTCTACTTTTTATGTGCCCCCAAATTTACAAATGTGTTTATAGTGAAGGTTACTTGTACGTTTTTCGGTTTCTTTAAACACAGCGACGTGTCACTCAGTTTTTACCACAAAGTGTTCTTTCCTTCACAAATAAGCTTATTTCACAGAACACACTGCAGCTTATCTCAGACAGAAAAGCACAGGAGGAGCTGGAGTCGCACTGCACATGCTGGCCTACAGCCATAGCTTAATATTTGATGAAAGTGAGACATGACTAATGAAAACAGTGTCACTGCTTTTCCTGCCTAACAAGTCAAAAATATCTGTCCAGAAAAATCAGGCTTTGGCCAGTGTGATGCTGAAACTTACAGCCTGCACCTCCTCTGAGACATATAGCAAATCTGTTGTCTAAAAAAGTAAACTGATAGACTTTTAATGTTGGTGGAGGCACAAATGTTGTTTACCTGAATTATTTGCTCTATCCACAACAACCACAACTGAAGAATTACGTAGGATTTGATATTAAAAAGCAAACAAAATGCAGTGTTTGTTAGTCAGTAATCAGAAGAGTAATGTTGGTGTGATGAATGTAGGCTTTCAGTGCTTAATGGAATAATTTTGAGCCATTAATCTGTTCAAATGCTTCCTTGGAACAATCAGAACTATCAAATCGTTGTTAACATTGCCCTGTGGGTAACGATCTTGTTTTCCTTTTTTATCGGTGTGTTAGAAATAATGTCTATCCTGTTGCTCCTAGGATATTTGCAGTTAATAAAATAGACATAATTGTAGTTTGTAATGCTTTATCCACAACAAAAAAAGGAAACAGTGAACAGTACAACATCTTGCTTTGCACTGGTTCCTAATTTGACCATTGCCATTCCCTTTAAAGTGGAGCAGGTCACACACTGCTCCTGCCTGTGCCCTCAGGTTTTAGTTTATTGAAGATACACTCTTTGAGTCATGGTCAAGTGAGAGCAGAATAAATAAAAAAATCAAGAACAAGAGGGAAAGGGTTTGCAAGAAAAGGACGCAAGAATAAGTTACACAGACTGAGGCTTGCTCTTCTTCTTATGCACCAATATGTTTCTATACTTAAATATGCTTTTACTGCTGCTTTCAGGCACTTGGTTGCCAGACCCAGGCCTAGTGGATATGAGTCTGTCATCCATGAAGGAGATGAGTTAAATATATAGAGTCTAAGAATGGGAGAAAGCACTGAATCCCAAAGTTTGGAATCACATCTAAACTTCATAAAAGAACCATTTTCTGCTGATGATGGCTGAAGACTAAAAACCT